GGAGAACATGCAAACTTCATGCAGAAAGACCCCGTGCCAGGAATCGAAACCAGAACCTTCTTGCTGCAAGGCAGCAGTGCTATCCACTGCGACACTGAGCATCCCTTAAAAAAGGCTGCTCAGTGGCTCTGGGGCGTAAATCTTTTCCATCATCATTACTTACCTACTTGTATCAATAAACATTCTGCATAACATTTTCAAGCAATAATATCTACATAAATTTATTATTTTATAAGTTTTTATTAAAATTGTTATTTATCTATTATTTTTACTGAAGACTCCCAGGTGACTTGCAGAAACACATAATTTTCTCTTTACCCCATGTAACACAAAATCCAGTTCTGAAAAGAGCATGAATTCTGTATTTATCATCTTTGATGTTAGTATATTGATGTGTATAATTAACCACAAAAAAATTAAATGTTTTGAATATTCCACTTGAAAGTATTACTGATGCCACCATCTGTATTAGAGGGAGAAAAATGGTAGGGGTGGCCAATGATTGGCTAAGCGTGGCCATGGCCACCCCTGGCCCCCAATTAGCCCCGCTGCTGTGTTAACTTGATAGTAGTTTATAAATTCAACGTTTAAGTTCAAAATTCATTCTTAACAGTATCCAGAATATGTTAGTGTAATTGGAAGCTGTTGGTGTTTCCAGCTTGTAAAAAAAAAAAGAAACAATGAAGTTTAAATAGTTGCATGGTTCTGTTGCCTTTTAAGAAAAGGGTCCTGTTCTGAATCCCAGTGTTGGTTCTTTCTTAATGAACTCTTCATGCCTGCTTTTCTCCAGTTAGCCCAGCTTCCTGTTAGAGCCACACAAAAAAAACAAGACTTTAAAGTTGATTGTCTAAAAATCAATAATTGCAGTGTGTCTGTCCTGGTGTTTGCTCTGTGGGTTTATGTGTTTTCCTGTGATGGACTGTGGAGTGGGGGCACTAGCCCCCTTGTTAACCTGATAAGGACAAGTAGGTTTAGACGACAAATGGATGGATTCATAGTGCATTTCTAAATACACACATAGTAGCTTTAATTCCATGTTCTTACAGTTAAATACCTCTGTGTTCACCTGGACAACAGGCTGGACTGGAGACGCAGGAGTGAAGACACACAGCAGATTTATACGTCCTGAGAACATGCAGCTTCCTGAGCTGCAGACCTTTATACGTCTGTTGCATGCTTTCTCCTCTGCAATCATCTGTTCCTACAGATGAAGACAATGTTTGGTTTTGATTTCAAGTCTGGATCTTCATGGAACTGCAGGGCCACCTGGTGGATTTCTGCAACTCAGCCTGAAAAACATCAGTCACCTACTGAAAACATCCAGATGGAGGAGCTGTGTTCTAATCTTGTTTCAGGGGCAGTGTTTTGAGTGTGATATAAATAAAATGAGGCAACAATACTCCACTTTACAAAGATGTGCTTTATTCTATTCAAATATCACCAATGATAACAGTAAAAACTAACATATGCTGAGTCTGACTGCAACCTAAAGAATTTTGGTATCTATAAAATATCATGCAGTTTCTGAGTCCATTTGGTCAAAGGCTGGTCCTGTTAGTCCTGCTGTCACTTTTAATTTGTGAACCTATAGTTAATGAGGTAAATCTGAAAGGTCCGGCAGTTGACACCCACCTATCCTCCTCTAGATATTATTCATACACTAACTAGGAGTAAATGTCTAAAGGAAGCTTACTAGAGTGCATGGGGTTTTCTCCTCAACAGATAAACCCTTAGATGAAGAGTGAAGGGTATTGAGTTTAGACATTATTCTTAGCCAGAATAATTTTAAATTTATCAAAAAATCTGTTGTTCTTTCTCTTTTTATGAAGACAAGTTTCATCCAAAGCTTTTAGAACGTCTCTCTTTTATTCTAACATTCATTATAATAGCAGCCTCTTTGTGTGTGTGTGTGTTTTTTTTTTACATTAACACAGCTGGTATTAATTGATAGCAGATTAACAGGGTTTCATTGGAATCAGGAGTGTTGAAGCAGAGAAACACCTAAAACATGCAGGGCAGTGTTTGAGCAAGATGGTTGAAAAACACTGCCCTACAGAGACCTACAATAATAGTGACTCCAGGAGGGAGTAAAAACTATGTCACCTTTAGAAAAAAATAAGCATGTGGATTTTTCTAATAAACAGCGAGGAACCATATATGTGTTAAAGGGTAGAAGGACATTAACCAAGACAAACTCCCAGGGATAAGGTTTGGTGTTTAGGAAATGAAAATGTGCTCAAAGAGTAAAACAAGAGCTGGTGACTGAAATTTGAGATCAATATGTTAAATCAAACATTCTGATTGAACACCTAACCATCAACACCAAACATGCAAAAACACTCAAGAACCTTCTAGAACTTCTACTTGTTGGGATTCATAAAAATATCAGTGACATGTGATTAGAGAAAAAAGACTGATAAAAGACATACGATTTTTTCATGTATGAACCCATTAAAGGGGTTATATGCTATATTATTTATTTTGAAAACAAAGAAAACGAGATTAGTGACGTTCCTGTTCACAGATTCTTCCACTTGATTGATGGCAGCAGCTCTTTGAGAATTACAGCGGGCGTCGATGTTCCTCCTTTTCCTATTCAGACGTCTCCACTATTCCATCATTGAGTTGGTTGATCATTCATTATTCTTCATGATGCTGTTTTTTCACTAATGTTCTCTAATAAACCTAAAATGCCTTCAAAGAAACACTATAATTTCCTAATTTTATCATATTACACAGATGTGGATCATCAATTAATTAGGAGTTTGTTCCTTTGGACTTTATAGGCCTAAAAGAGTATAAAGACTATCTGTTAACCTATGTTAAGGAATATTCGACAGAGAGGACTTTTCATCGTCATTTCTTGTTTTATTCGTTAGAAATAAAACAAAAAAAACAAAAAAAAACATTTGAGCTAATGTTTGTAAAAATCAGATGTTTCACAGTGTTGAAAACAGCCACTTTGAGTAAAGAAGTACATCGAAACAAATGCACACATTCAGAACAGCACAACACAACAGTTTTAAGGTTTCTCTGGCACTTATCTACTTGCCGTTTTAAAGAGGGAGACATTATACTTTTGAGAAAGAAAAAAAACTTGAACAATATCCATTCTTTATATTACACAATATACAGCACGTTTGATGGATGGCCTCACAATCAGCTACATTCAAATGCAGAAATCAATCTCACAGAGAACATAAAATGTGTTCAGCACAAAATCAATCTATTATGCAAGTATTTAGCTCTTTTACATCAGTTTGTCCCAATTGAGACGGTGACAAGTGCAAATAACAGCTTGAGAAAGAAGTTAGTGCTTTATGCTTTCCCGCTCATAATGGACCCTCTCAGTCATCACATCATATAACAGAGAGCTTTAACAGGAACTAGATGAAGGTTTGCTTACATGTTTAAGGCTTTATTACGTGGCTCTTGCCTTAAACCAAAGATCTTTATCGCTGTTGGGGGGAAAAAAAGCAATGAAAAGTTTATAATGCAGTAAATAGCTGTAGAATTTAACCATTTCTGTTTGGTTGTATATGTGGAAGAAAACTATTTGCATGCGCTTCAGTTAAAAAGTTGACTTCTCTTTGTTTTGTCTCTAATTTACGTTTTGATTACAGGGGGTAATTTTACATGAAGTTGAAATAAAATACAGTACGTTGCATAAGTGTTAACCCGTCTGCTTTGTGTCAACGTCAATAATGTCTATTTTTAATCGATGGTATTCACCGTAATATCACAGCTAATCAGGGTGCAGCTTGTTTATCAGTGTACATTTGCTGTCCTTATAAAATTACTCCTCACATCCATAAATATAAAAAAAAAATGGCAACAAAAGGGAGAGCTCTAGGTGAGAAAAGTCCAAACTGTATCCAATCATGGTTTGGGACTGCAGGTGTGCTGCCAGCTGAGAGGAGCTACATTTCATTAAGGGGGAACCATTTTATGTGACGTACTGTACTGGAGCAGAGCAAAACCACCCTTTGACATTTTCACTAATGGCTCTACTCACTTTTTCTTATGGTTTAGACCTTCTTATAGAAAAATGTACGTGATTTAAATGTGAGAGAGGAACTCACTGAATTCACAAAAGACTTTCTACAAGATTTAAAGTAATTTTTTGGGGAATTATTTTCCATTCTTCAAGCAGACACTGATGTTGGCTCTTTGCAGGGCGTGTTTAACTCATTTGTTCCTTGCTTTATGCATTGGTCCAAACTCATTTTGATGAAACTCTGTTTCCAGAGTTGGGAACAAAAAATACATAAATCTTTTGGAATGTTGAAGTATATGGAATATTTAATAGTGGATATTAAGGTCCTCAGTATTACGTAGATGATTATGGAGATAATTAGAGTGCCTGACTTGGAGGGATGAGCAAATACTCCCAGTAGTAAAGAGTATTTTCACCTCTTCTTATTAAATGATAGTGAAAATATGATGTATACTTCACATATGCAGTATATATCTTCTGAAAACTGTATAGAAATATTACTGTAAAAACTAAACCAACAAATAAAAAATAAAAAAAAGATATATTTCTCGACACAAAAATATTCATACTTGATGGGCAACAGTGTATATTTTTGAAAGTTGGACAAAAACACAAACAAAACTATAAGTGGATTCTGCTGAGCTACTGACTTGACTGTACACAGGCTAAAGACACAGAAAACTTTGGTCAAAGTTGGGCTGTAAGGTCGACCTGAAGTCCACAGTAACTGAACCAAAAGCCAAAAAAATGGTTTTGATTTTTTTGATTTCGCTTATATCAAAAACAAAAAACTTTACTAAACATTTATTTTTATCTTTATGCACAGATTATCTTTTTTCTGGATATGTAAAAAAAAACAAAAAAAAACTATTGTTTTTACTTTGTGGGGTTTTTTGGGATCAAAATTCCCTTTCTTAAACCTGATTCACATGTTGCTACTTGCTCATATATTTCCAAACAATGTCACTAATTTGTCTTTTGCTTGATTGAGGTGTTTTTTTTTATACTTCTTAAGTTTCTGTTATTTTTGTCTTTAGTTATATATTTTGTGATTCCTATCAATCACCTCTGCATCTAACTGTAAAACTCAGAGGATGTTACAGTTAAAACCAGATATTTACATCTACTTGGAAAAATCTGCACTTATGACAGTGTAATGACAACAAAAGTAAATAAAACCTAACAATAATCCCAATGAAAATCTGAAAAGTTTAGTCTGATTTAATGTGAGGCAGCAATAAATTTGGTTATTTATCATTGACTTCTACAATGTAAGTAAATATCTGGTTTCAACTTATTCTAACTGCTACAGTAAAAAATTAACATGAATTCTGTAATGAATGTCAAAGAGCAGCAGAGAGGAAAAGCGAAGGTGTCGTTTTCAGAGGCACTCCTGATAAATGCTACTTTCAGTAATGAATAACATAAAGGTGCAACTTTATCTGTAGATATAAAGCAAATTTAACATCATTATGCATTGAATAATAAAAATAACTATCTGAAACACACCTAAACAAAAAACAAAACAGAAATATGACCGACTGACAAATAAATAAAACTGAGTTATATTTAAAGTAGAAAATAGGAAGACTTAAATAGTTATTCATTTAAAACTGCCAAGAGTCATATTTTGACCAAAATAAAAGTAAGTATAAAACAACCAAAAAGGTTATAAAATAATTTTAAAGAAGGGCTTAAGTTTTATTCTGTATAATACATTTTCTTTTGGAATGTTTTCAGGTAAAGGTTGGTGTTTCTGGATATGTTGTTGTACAGCTACATATTAAGCTTCATTATACACTGCTAAAAAAAATGTAAGGGAACACATAAACAACACAATATAACTTCAATTAAATCTACGTTCTGTGAAATCCAACTGCCCACTAATAAGCAACACTGACTGACAATTGCAAATGCTGTTGTGCTAAAGGAATAGACGAGTGGCAATTAGCAAGACACACTCAATAAAGAAGTGGCTTTGCAGGTGGGGACCAGAGACCACTACTCAGTACCCATACTTTCTGGCTGATGTTTTGGTCACTTGAATGTTGGTGCTTCTTTCACACTCATGGTAGCATGAGACAGACTCTACAACTCACACAACTGGCTCAGATAGTGCAGCTCACCCAGGATGGCACATTAATGCACGCTGTGGCAAGAAGGTTATCTGTGTCCCAAGGCTGGAGAGCCTACTAGGAGACAGGCCAGTATACCAGGAGGTGTGGAGGAAGCTGTAGGAGGGCAGCAATCCAGCAGCAGGACCGCCTTTGTCCTAGGAAGAACAGAAGGGGCACTGGCAGAGCCCTGCAAAACAACCTCCAACAGGTATGAGGGTCCGACTTCCACAGATGGGCGTTTTGCTCATAAGCCGACACAGTGCAGGATGCTTGACATTTGCCAGAGAACACGAGGATTGGCAAATTCACCACAGATGAAAGCAGGTTCACACTGAGCGCATCTGACAGATGTGAGTCTAGAGAGTGATCTGCTTCCCGCAGCATCCATCAGCATGACTAGTTTGGCAGTGGGTCAGTAAAGGTGTGGGTTGGCATTCCTTTGGAGGGCCCTACAGCCCTCCATGTGCTCGCCAGAGGTAGCATGACTGCCATTAGGTACTGAGATGAGGCCCTCAGAGCCCTTGATAGACCATATGCTGGTGAAGTTGCCCTGGATTCCATCTAATGCAGAGCAATGCTAGGCTTATTGTGGCTGGAGGGTGTCAACAGTTTCTGCAAAATGAAGACATTCAAGCTATGGACTGGCAGAGTTTACGGAGGCTTTAGTCCATGTCTGGCAAGAAATCCCTTAGGAGACCTTCCACTACCACATCAGGAGCATACTTTCATATTGTAGGGAGTTCATACCAGGACTTTCCATTTTGGGTTTGTGTTTGACTCCAAACCCAGGCCTCGATTGGTTAATAAATTTGATTTCCATTGATGATTTCTGTGTAATTTAATTGGCAGCACATTCAACTTCTTACAGAAGAAATTATTCAATGGGAATATTTGATTTATTCAGATCCAGGATGTGTTATTTGGGTGTTCCCTTTATTCTTTTAAGCAGTGTATTTTGTATAACTTCAGTCTAACTGGCCATTCTGGCAGCCTTTGAGGAACAGCTCATCCTGTGAAAGGTGTCCGTCGAAGCTGTCCATGTAGATGCTGCTGGTGCTGCTGCCGCTGCTGCCCAGGAATGTCCCCACTGCCCGGCCCTGGCGGGCGTGGCCAACGGCGTCGCTGAACACTTTGTTGATCTGCTCTTCTGAGGGCATCCACCAGTCTGGGTTTGAGGCACAGTGCATCCGGATAAACTCTGGCAAGATTTGGAATGACAGGTTGTTGTTGTTTTTTTGCCTATTTTTTTATATAGAATTTTAAGAAAGTTATTTGTTCATTTAATTCTGGATTTTACAGTTTTATCTAATCTGATTGGGGTTTTAACATATCATGGTGACAGCAAAATAAAATTAAAATGATATTGTCTCACAAAAGTAAAATAAAGTGAAGGATTATAATCCCACAAAATTATTATAACATAAATTCCAGTCCTTTGTAGGAATTTAAGCAAAATGTTTTTAATATTAAAGAAATAATGAAACATTCTTCCCTGACAAGGAAGTACCTTAAAGAAGGAAAAGTAATCATTTAATTGTTTAAGAATAATCTAAGAAAAATTGTGTGACTTAAAATAAAACTTGAACTTTATCCCGTTTTATTTGGCGCAGAAAAAATAATTTCATTTTTTTAAGCATTTCTGTGTAACTTTTAGCAACTAGAGGCGCTAGATCTGTAACTTCCAGGCTTAGCTCCCCTGAAAACAACTGCACTGATAAAATCAAACAGACTCACTTTGTGTTTTAAATTTGAGACCATCAGATTGAGAATCCATGAAGTTACTGGTAAAGATAAAGCCACATTCACGCTAACAGCCCAGACTGTAGTTCCAGCTCAAGATTTCTGATGTTCTGCAGCTACTAATGCTGTCCGTCCGCTCACTAATCTGCACGTTGTTAGTGAAAAACAAAATCAGCAGGCCATGAACACAGCTATGAACTGTGAGATTAAGTCAGGTCGACACTTAAAAAAAACCTGCCTGTCATGAGGATATTGTTTTTTTTTCTATTTAATTTGGTTATTGTCTATGAAAATGTCCTGTGTGAAATAGATGCACTCTTGTCAGATCAGACTGCAGGGATCTGTCACCCTCTTCTTTATCAGATACACTGTTTTTTTTATCAGCAGATACACACTGGCTCTCAGGATTATCTGGACCAGTGAACATCTGGTTACTCAAGGACTGTTTTTGTCCCTTTGTTATCCAAGCTGTTCCTATGGACACAATCAGAGGTTAAAAAGTTAACAGACCCGAGTCTGAGCAGGGAAGGCCGACACAGACATGGTTTTGAGGTATTTTTCTGTCTTTTCTCCTTCCAAGAATTAGTGATTAAAGTTCCGCTATTATAATTTTCAAGAATCTCCTTTGTTGACAGAATTTATTCAGGTGCACATTTCAGTTATGAGGCTTTTCGTTGGGGAAGAGCTGTGAAGCTAGGGCTGTAGCTCAGCAGAGACCCAGAGGGAGGGACCTGTAATCCTTGATCCTTGATCTAAATTTCAGGCTAAGTCCAGAGTTTTCTCAAAACTAGCTACTGCAGCGTTAAGGGGAACTCAGAACATACCTGTTGCACACCTGACTGCGTATAGAGAGGCTACAAATAGGCAGGGTAGGCAGATCTGCACAGATTTTTTCAATTCTGTATCTGTGCTATTGACATGGACAGATTATGAAAACACCGAAGCTTTCTGGGAGTTTATAGGAGTTTGTACGCTGTGCTTACCTGCTCTGTCTGCCCCTTGTTAGTTTTTTTTAATGAGATAAAGTTTTATATTCTTTAATGTTTCATTGATTGTTTTCGCTCGAGTCTGTCCCGCATGCTATATATGCAATGTGCGACTCCAAAAGTTTCCTGCACACTTACCGGTAACAGACTTTTTTTTTGTTATTTCTCCCAAAGCGGATGTGTTTTACTTTGTAACTGTGTCTCTCTGCCTATCAAACCCATGAAATTGCCACTGGATTGCTGCGTGATCTGACTAAAATAGACCTGGGGTCTATCTCAGTCGGACCTATCCAAGCCCCCTTGCATAAAATTGTGTCGGGTGTGATCATCCTCGTTGACTTTCAACGTCACAAGTTCTGTCTGATCAGAAGCAAAATCGGATTTAGTGTGTTCTGGCCTTAAAGCAGAGCTCTAGGTCACATAACTAAATTACATCAATGCTCTGACACAGAGCATTGATGCGCCCCATATTCTATATATTCACCTAAAAAAATCCTTCAATATATCACAAGTTAAGCTAATACATAGATCAACACTTACAGAGTGGCTTTAACATACTACTGAATTTTTTGATTGCTTTCAGGGATTGATTGTCATATAATATATAACAGAAATCAAATGGTCTGAGACATAATCATGCTGGAGAAAAAGAGCTCTACCTCTGAGGCAGCTGACTTTGACGGGGTTGAGTGGCCGTCTTTCTAGGCCCGGTTCTCCTGAGTGCACCGACCGCTTCCTTTTGCCCAAACCGCAGGAGAACTTCAGCTCATCCGTGGTGAAGACATAGCGGATCAGGTAGCGCAGGAGCCGCCGGCCATCTTTCTTAGAGGAGTTGACGGCTTCCTCCCACTGCTTGTTGGTGATGAAGAGCGGGTAGTTCTCCAGGAGCTGTTTACTGCCCTGAAAGGAAGAGGAGTTTCACTCAGAGGGGGTTTGGAAGTGAGGAGAAATTAACGAATGGTCCACAGATTAAAACAACAGACCTCAAAGACTGTTTGTTGTTCTTCCTCCTGCAGAGATACATCTTTTAAATCCATATTGTCACACTGCTTGAAGATGGATATGGTGTTATGTTTTACTCATATACTGATGAAACTTAATGGTCACGAGCGCAGGCCTCTCTTACCTCTGTATACTGCTCCTCCAGCATTGGCTGAGCCAGCTGGTTGTGAAACTCAAGAACCGCTTTAAAGTAGTCTAGGGCACTTTGACAGGGGGCTGCAGCAAAAAGCATGAAAATAGAAAAAACAAGTGATATACTGAACGTTTCTAAGATGAAAAAGATAATAGGTTTTGTAATCCAGCAAACATTTCCTTAGATGGCTTTAAACCATCTAATGAATTTTGAGAAAATAATTATTTGCATTTACTGCCATTTAAAGGAACTTGTAAAAGGCAGTTTATTTAGCAACATTTGATTTGGTTCTTATTCAAACTGTCTCTAAACTGCACTTTCTCTCCTATGGATAAGGTTCGAAAAAAATTAATCTATTAAAATATTAATTGTAAGATAAAGCTGCAGTTTCTGTCATCCCAGCAGGAAGCCAGACAACTTTTTAATTAATCATCAAAAATCATCAAAACATATATTTAGCCTAACCACTGGGTTCTTTAAATGAAAGCTGGATTATACAGAGAGTCAAATACAACAATTTGAATAAAGCATTTATCATATCACAGATTTATTCTCTGACACCTCAAAGTCATCAACTATGATTACATGGACACATTACTTAACATCTTTATCTGAATCATTTTGGCCTTTAATTAATCATACGTCAGAATTACCACAAAATATTCACCTGTGTGAAAAAAAGAAATTATAAAATGTTTCCCGTTTCAACTGATTTACCCAATCAGAATGACTGTATATTGACATTTCTACCAATGGCATAGAGTTCAATGCTGCCTTGTCATCTATAATCTCTACCTATAGCACATCTAACACTGTTTCACTTCGAATTATGATTCAAATGCTTAATCTTTTTTCCAAAACATCTGAATACTGTCTGTCAGGACCCTTCTGACAAAGACGTAGACCGATAAGACTGGCTTGCTGATATTTAGGACTGGTATTTGTGTCTGTTTGTGTATTGATGTTTTCGGCCCAAACGTGAGTGTGTTGGCTGCTTCATCAGTGCCTTCAGCAGCCATGCCTTGATTTCAAGTAAAGTGAATATTTTGCTGCTCACTTCATTTAAAATCTGTAGTGAATGTTTTGTTTGATTTGTTAATAGATGGTTCTTATTGTTGTTGTTTAAATGGAGGCTCGTGCAACATTTGTTTTCATTGGTTCCTATTATGTGAATAGAGCAACCAAAAACTGGGCTAACTCAGAGTCAACCAGACCTTTGCTCAGTCTCCATTGGTTCTGTCTGCTCACATTACAGCAATCTGTGGTTTGAGCATTGATGTCTTTAAGCAGTCCTGGAGCTCATTCCAAAGAAATTACAGAGGCACACTCATCATGATTCAAATGGCCTAACACATACCCATGCGCAATAAAGACTCCATCAACCTCAGAGGATGAAGGGTCCTATTGTCTGAGCTAACAGAAATGACAAAGACTCCTGGATAGATGTCAAAACGTCTTCAGAAAAGCTTAGAGAAAGTTTGGTTGGCTCAGATTCAAGTCTGTTTCATGGCTGGAATGAACCGGATGACTGAGAATTTAAAAAGACATAAAATGAGTTAGAGAAGGTAACATCAGCTTTGAAAATCAGCAGCACATCGACAAGAATGATGTTTTAAAAAGCCTGTATGAGGGGATCTGTAGCTCTGAGCATGCTTACTGCACCTGGAACGTTCTCCAGTTTGTTCCGCAGCTCCTCGTTCTCCTGCTGCAGACACAGCACCTCCTGCTCCAGCTCCAGACAGCGCGGGCAGCAGCTCTCCTCCTCCTCTTCCTCCTCTGGTAGCGTTGAAGACGGGTGCCCGTAGGACTCTGATGGAGCAGGGGACCCCCAGCCTCCCAGATTGTGTCTGGGTGGAGACACTTCTGAGCCGGGCTCCACAGAAGCACACTGGTCACCTTCATTCAGATGTCGATGAGGCCCAGGGAGCAGGTAGTTCTGCAAGGAGTCTGTGAAGATGCGGAGCACCGCCGAGGTCCGCTGCTGGTTTGAATGGCTTTGTTGGGCCTCATTCTCCGGATCTGTGGTGGTTGAACTCTCCTGGGGTTTCAGCTTTCCCTGTGAGGAGCAGTGGAGCCCCTGTGCGTCTCCTCGCTCATCTTCCAGCTTGATGTTAGAGCTGAGGGAGGAAGAGGGGGGCTCCAGGAGACGGCCATTGTTGAGAAGGCTGAGGACTCTGCTGCACTGCTGGGCAAAGGCGTCTAAGATGAGACGGTTTTCTGTGGCAGAGGAAGAGGTTAGGAGGAGAAAGAAGAAGTCTGTTTGATAAGCTATTAGTTTCACCTGTTGACAAGAATTCATATCTGAGGGGGGAAAGCAGCATGAAATACAGCTCAAACGGTGCAAAACTACACGTTTATGGATGACTTTAACATGTTCACTTTTGGCTGTCATTTTCTGTACTGTCAAATTTTAATCAGAGATAGATTATAAAACATATCTGGAAGGGATCATCTCTATAACTGACTTTTAAGTTTTTGGAAGCTGGACTCTGAGTCCACCACCTCTGTTTAAAGTCGTTTTTAAAGTTGTTTTTTTTAAACAAAGGTGGTGGACTCAGATTCCAGCTTCCAAAAACTTACAATTCAGTTATAGAGATGATCCCTTCCAGATATCACCACACCTCCCACCCCATCACAGAGGAACAAAGTACCTCTTCTCCTCAGCCGGTGAACAATACCTCCTTAACGACCAACCCTTAACAATCATAGACAGATTTCAGGTATTACAGGAGACAATCCTCCCCTTTAGCGACCGACCTTCAGAACCATAGGAAGACAAGTTTCAGATATTATAGGCTAACAATGGAACCAAACGACCCACTCGTCGGGTCCATTTGCATGTTTCCTAGCATGGAGGGGCAGTGAAACGTCTTCAAATCTTGGAAACCAAGTCCAGTGGATTGTTTTTTAAACTTTACGGAATGACTATTACCTGGATGACTGAGAATCTTCATCAGAACATTTTACCTTCACTCTGATTTCTGTTGAGTAATGTACATGGAAGTTTGTAGTAGTTGTAGTAAAAAAAAACTTCTAGTGTTGTGAATATGTATGCAGGATGTTTGATATTAAAGGTTTAAGTAAAATGCAAAACATTTATTTTTCTGGATTATGTTGCTCTTTTTGGATGTAAATCATTTGAAAACTTAGCAATTTTCCCTGCTAACAATTGTCATGCACTTTCTTAGAGTAAAGATAGCAGGAATGAAAAGATCTTCTCATTTCCTAAAAAAGATGCCCCCTCTATTTTTTTTATTTGTTTAATTTAGCTAAAGTGCTTCATAAAAAGCTTTCTGTGGCCTGCTTTGTTCATAGAAATGTCAGCTCGATTATGGTGATTTATTCACATGTCAATAACTCTAAGGTTGCAGGGTCTGCAGTGACCGAGACAATCAGCACATAGTTACAGTCCAGATTAGGACCTCGGTGCATATTTCCCTGGTAGTCTGGGCACGTCTTATTGTAATCAATGCACACACGGCCACACAATGATTATGATTCTAATGTAGCTGCAAACCAAACACGCACAAACAGACAAAATAAGTTCTGGGTGGTCGCTGCGGCGGGGGCCGCTCGCTCAGACGTGTCTATCAGGCTGCCGCAGATGTGTCGCATTTATTAATATGCCTGCTATCTCTGTTTACCCGTGAAGATGTGTCTGATAATATTCGCCCTTACCCCTGCACCCACCTCCTCACGACCCCCTCTCTCTCTGTGGCACTGTGAGCTGAGAGCCTCATAAAATTTCATTAAAAACACCAACGGTCGACACAAGCAAATTTATGAGGCCCATTTGTTTTAATCACGACTCTTTGAGAAAGGATTTCAATGCAATTTGGGTTATTGTGTGCTGAACTGATTGCAGGTTCCAGGGTCTCTGCTGCTGCTCTTCATAGAAAAGGACACTGTTTTTTTTTTTTTTACCCTAAAGCAAGGAGAAAGAAAATAACCTGTCTCATTTGAGCTGATAAAAGCACGTTGATGTATCATTATCACCTGAAGAGTGGCGCATCTTGCATGGTGTGTGCAGGTTCAATTTAACCTGAGAAGACTATGAAAAAACATATGCAAACAGTAGGAGCAGGTTCATCTTATTTTAAGATGTTTGCAATAAAAATATTTACTATGCATCTATTTAAGCCACCCACTGTCTGTCTGAAAACTTGACTTTAAAGATGCAAAACAAAACAACAAACAGCATGCGGAGCCTCTGCTGCATACACAGATAAGCAGATTAAAATATGATTAGAGGATGCTGTGTCTAATATTTAATTTTGAAACTGCCAGGATAGGGTTCATTGCTTTCATCTAAATGTTGGCTCCCATAGACCAGCCCTCCACATGGGGAACACATTTCTTGCCTGTATGCAGCCCACTAATGAACAGCAGCTGAGGAGAAGAAAAAAATAAAAAATGAAAGCAGGGAACAATATGTTTCAACAGGATGATGATGAGGACCCTTAATGGAGCACAGAGAAAAAAAAGGAGAGAGATGCAAAGAGTGTAATTTTGTGCGCATAAAGTGGAGATTCAATCACGATTGCTCCCATTACTTTAGTGAATCAATCACATCTGACAGGAGGAACAAAGGAAGGAGTGGAAAATATGAGGATTATGTGATGCTGGTTTTGTTCTGTAGTTTATTGACTCTGTTTATTACGGTGGCCTGCATCTTGGACATAAACACAAAATATACACAATGAATCAAATGGCAGAGGTGGCCTGAGGGCCTCCAAACCACAGAGGTAAAACATTTTAGGTCACAACGTTAATGATATCAGAGACAGAAGGTCATTGAGTTCGTTGAAAAGGGTAACATTGGTTCGGGGGGACCTGATAGTCAGGAAGCAGTTTGTTAAAAAAAAAAAAGAAAAAGTTTTACGCTTTAATCTATCATAAAACAAGATGGCCACCCCTCACTCTATAGTATAGTCTCAGTTTTCACTTGGAAAACTGTAAATTCATGGGGAGGGTTCAACTTTGTCACTGTTGTCACATGTTTCTGTTAAATATATGTAATCAATTCAATTCAGTTTCAATTCCGTTTATTTATATAGCGCCAATTCACAACGCATGTCATCTCAAGGCACTTTAAAATTCACCAGATCATACAGTCAAATTGACTCTAAGTTTTTTATCTAAGGAAAACCAGTTGATTGCATAGACTCATTGATTCAATCAACATGCTTCGTAGCGACAGTGGAGACCAGGCTCGGACTGGTAATCTGTGATACCAGGCATTTGCCCGGTGGGCCGGTCCTAATTTCTGCATGCGAGGGCCGGCCCTCCTTAAATCATACCGTTCCTAACACTTACTCTCCGGCTGAATCACCTACCTGTGACAGTAAGTAACTCAAAGAGCTCAAGAAGTAATACAATGTTAACTACATAAATGATGCATGCAATATATATAGCCCTTCTTGTCATGCACAGCCTTGTGACGGTTGGCATGTGGTGTAATATTCTATTTCTTCATACTGTAAAATCCTTGCAACAAACCAAATTATAACAAAAACTAAAATGCCTCTTATATTTGCAGAATTTATATTTGAATATTTTGCGAGAATGGGCTGCTCAGTGGCGCAGTGGGTAGCACTGCTGCCTTGCAGCAAGAAGGTTCTGGGTTCGATTCCCAGCCCGGGGTCTTTCTGCATGGAGTTTACATGTTCTCCCTGAGCATGCGTGAGTTCTCTCCGGGTACTCCGGCTTCCTCCCACAGTCCAAAAACACAACTGTTAGGTTAATTGGCTTCTCTAAATTCTCCTTAGCTGTGAGTGTGTGTGTGTGAATGGTTGTTTGTCCTTTTTGTCTCTATGTTGCCCTGTGATGGACTTGTGACCTGTCCAGGGTGTACCCCGCCTCTCGCCCATTGGCAGCTGGAGATAGGCACCAGCACCCCTCGCGACCCCAATTGGGACAAGCGTGTCAGATAATGGATGGACGGATTTTGCAAGAATATGTTGCAGTGCATGATGTGGTTTTGCATCCGTTTACATTATTCCATTTCATTGCCCACATGCCACCTAGACTTGCAGTGAATGCTGACACACCGCTGAGTTTTCATGTATTGATTCTTGAAGAACTGCCTGTCTTCCTCTACATTGTATTGTTTTATGTTGGTTTTATGTCTGGCTTACGTTGTAGACCTAGTATGTGTTGGGTGGGTGTCTGGCTGGCTTCGTGCAAGTGTGGACATTACGCAGCAGCAGTCACTGTGGCGTCTGTGTAAATAACCAAAGTCTTGGTGATGGTTGTCGTGTGATGCTTGGAGATAAATCGGGTAATCCACAATGTGTATTCGTATTGTGTTTCGCATTTGAGACTGGTGTGGATGGAAAAATGCCAGGGCCAAAAATCGTTCCCAGTCCAAGCCTGGTGGAGAGGAAAACTTCCTTTTACCAGGAAGAAACCACGTAGCAGAACCAGACTCAGTAAGACTGGTGAGGCCGACTGGGGTTCAAGGAGACAGAAGCTGACAGAAAAAGAAGCATTTTTACAAACTGTGACTATTTTTTCCTGACAAAGATCTAATGTTTCAGAAAGCCAGTTAGTAAAAGGTATTAACTCTGTGCAAAGTTGCACTTGACAACGAAAACATGGAAGTTGAGTTGTTTGCTGGTTTTCTGTAACTGTTAGAGATTTATTCCCTACAGCAATCTCCCATAAGAGGCCCAAGCTTTCCCCTGGAAATAATCACTGCCGGTCAAAACTCTCAGATGTCCTAAACACAAACAGGGTTTCATTTCTCCTGGCTGCTAATGCTGTATAGACCTTTTTACTCAATTCAACTAAGTGAACAATTTTGTCTTTTTGGTGTTCCCCCCAGATTCCTACTCTCATTTACATCAGATTTGTTTGCTGGTGTTGGTCTATCAGTCTTATTACTGTTTTCATTCATCTGTAGGCTTGTTTCATTTCCACTCACATTCCCAACCAACTTTCCTCCCCATCATTGCTAGTTTTTGTAGAAATTGTAAAAAATGCACTTCAAAAATTATCTAGAAATGAGTAAAAATCTCGTAATTAATTGTATTTACCCTTAATTCCATCATGTATATAAGATGACTTGCCAATAGAATGAGTATTTTACACTTAAAATAAGATAATTAGATATTATGCACTGGAAATAAGACAATGCAATTATGATTTCTTATTTTAAATGTAAATTATCTAATTCCTTTGGCAAAGTGTCTCACTAACCTCCTCAATTCAAGAAAAATAAAAAATCACTAATTATAAGGAATAAAATGACTTATTTTGCAGTGTGGAGGCATCTTGTACCATTTAGCCTGTTTTCATGACAAAAACAGCTGCCCCTAACTTCATCTGGTCCCCCTCTTAAAGCGATTGAAATAAAATAATTAAAAAAAACATAGATTTAAAGCAGTTTAGTCTAACTTTCCTGCAGTTTTGGCCGAGGGATAGGAGGTTAAGAGTAAAATAATTTCTATAATGAAAAACCTCCAGTGGATTTTGGGTTGGATGTTCCAACTCAAATGACGGATGGCCCCCATTTGACCCCTGACAATACCTCCCAGAGATGATTGGAGTGAACGCCTTTTAAATGGGTGATATAAAGACAACACTTACTCTCTTTATAGCTTGGAGTAGATATGGGATGACAAGAAGGGTGGTAAAGTCTATTGACTCTTAAAAAAAAAAACTAGAGAGAAAGCAGAAGCAAGAGGGAGCAGTTTTCACCTGTGCTGATTCCATAGGAGCAGTCTGGGGAGAACCTGGGCTCCGATCCGCCGCACACGCGCCTCTGGGGGCCATGGGATGCTGCTGCCACCGAGGTGGATGTGGGGACCCTGCTGCTTGGCCTGGCCTCACATGGGAGCCGGGGATGCTGCTGACTGCTGCTGATGGTAGAACTGCTTTGGTGGAGGTGCTGCACCCGCTGCTGCTGCTGGAAAGGAGGAGGCTGCTCGGGATGGAGAGTGAAGTGATCACCAAACAGAGGCAGCTCCAGCACAGCGGAGCGGTCAAAGCGCGTCTTCCCCGCGGAGCGCCTGCTCTGGAGGGGCTTCAGGGTGCTGAACGGACCCCGCTGCTGTCGGCACATCTTCGGGGCGCAGGGCCCTTCATCAGCGGGTTGCATCTCTCCCTCCATACCGGCACGCTTATCTATTTATCGGCGTGCTGCTGGCTTTGACAGGCAGCTGATGGGTGAGCGTCACTGTCTGGCACCGGTTTTCCCTTTCACACAATCGGACGGACGCGCACGCGCGTGCGCACGCACGCGGCGGAGCTGCTTAACTGACAGGCGCGCGCTCCAATCCCAGACAGAGAGGAGATCCTCCACAGGGAGATACAGGCGGGACTAACGCGCAGCCAGCCAGCATCCCACCGAGAACAGCGCCCCGCTGGAGCAGCTGGAGCTACGATATGAAATCTAAATAAAGAAATAAATAAATCATACAAAGAAAGAAAAGGCAGAGGCCATTTTGGTTTGGAGCAAACAGGAGCTACCCAAATGAGAGAGAACCAAATATAGCGAAAAACTCCCAAAAAGTTATATTGATAAATAAAAAAAAGGGGGATAAAGAATAAACAAATAGACTTTATAATTTTGAAAAAAAAAAAAAAAATATTCAATTAAACCAAATAGAAATAACAGTGTTCAGATGTACTGCTGTTCCATGATCTGATCCATTTGGCCTTAAGACAGCTCCAATATAACCACCTGAAACACTCAGTGTTTATATCTTTCTACAGTTAATGTTTTCATCTGCTGTTAGAGACAGAGAGCAGCTGCTCAGCGGCCCATGCATGAAAAGTTAAAACCACCACAGGGGGGCGCCAACTCGATACTTTTAGACCAGGAGATCCTTTGGAGCTTTATCAACTCATATGAATTTAATGGTTGCAATAAGATAAAGACTATATAACATTTCTTAGAGGATAGATGTAAATGTGTGCTTTTTGTTAATTTCAGACGATAAAACTTCAGAAATCCAGAAAAGAAAATCATGAAAGGTGTTCAAAATAATATTGTTATAAAAATAAATAACAAAATATGTTTCAAAAAGACCTAATTAGACTCAAGTAATTAAAAAAACCCACAATGAAAGGCAGATTAGTACTTACCTTACAGTCCAGGTCATGGTCAAAGCTTAAAATGCTCAGTTTCAACAGTTTGAACCTTTCAAGCTTTTCAGTTTTGCACATTTTTGACATCACAACCACACATTTTAAAGTGTTTTGGATGTGATAAACACGTTTCTTTTTATTAGGAACATTTTCAGAAATTGAATTTCCTTCTTTTGTCTTTTTAACAAATAAAACTTTTATAATTGTGGTTTCATTTGTTTAGCCCATTTTACTCCAAGTGGGACAGGAGACTGTGGAGGAAGAATTATAATGTGTGCCAGACATCCCCCTGAACCAACCAACTCCTTGGTGAATCACAGTGATGGCAGCAGCATGCTGTGGGAATGCTGTTTTTCCAGCAGGAACAGAGGAAGTGGATAAGCACTGGAAAAACGATCTGTAAATAAGTAAAAATGCCTTAAATTAATTGTATTTACCCTTAATTTGAGTACGTAAATGAGATGTTTTGCCAATGGAATTAGTAGTTTTACTCTTTAAATAAGATAATTAGATAAAATTCACTTGGAATTGGGGTGGCCAATGATTGGCTAAGGGTGGCCATGGCTAACCTTGGCTCCCCATCTAGCTCCGCACCTGAACTTAAGAAAACGTATAACGAGTTTTTGAAACTTTTATAAAACATAATTATCAGTCTAAGAAAAAAAGATATTATATTCTTTTGAATTAATTTGTTGTTAGGGAAATAACTTTACTCTCTTTAAGACAATATGTTTAACCCTCATCCAAACAGAAAGCGGGGAAACATGTTTGCTTCTTTGGTAATTTATCAAATTAAAGATGGTTTTCATGTATTTAAAGCTGCTAATTTGAAATTCCTCTTCATTTACCTTAAGCTAATTAAGATAAGGACAAAGTGTTGGTATTTGAATGTCTGCATGTTTTTCAACCACGTGAACGCGCACGTCCTGATCCAGTAGGGGAGCGCGCGCGTCCTGAAGCAGCAAAGCAGCAGTAGAGAGGTGGACTCACACACACACAGGCTGAGCTCAACCTGCTCCACAGAACAGGAGGACAAACCCGGACAGTTTTGTACCGTTTAACTGGATCTTCGAGTCTCCATCTGGACCAGAACTCACCACAGAAATGAGACTTTTAAAAATCACTTAAACCCAAATATTTGGATTGTGTTCGCTTCCAATCTGTTGATGCTTTGGTTGCAGCAAACATGGCATAAGTTTCCATGCATTGGGGTCCAGTTTGGTGTTGGGACATTCATCCCAGAGTCCAGATAGCTGAGGGCGAAGCGGTGGAAGGAGGGGGAACCGGACCCTCAGCGGGATGCTGCGCATCTGGAACTGCCTGCTGCTCGGATATCTGACCTGGAACCTGCGCATATCGGACGCTCAGGGGGAGTACTGCCACGGCTGGTTGGACTCTAACGGGAACTACCATGAAGGCTTTCAGTGTCCGGAGGACTTTGACACCACAGACGCCACCGTGTGCTGCGGTTCCTGCGCCCTGCGCTACTGCTGCGCGGCCGCGGACGCGCGTCTGGACCAGGGGGGGTGCACCAACGACAGGGAGGCGGACAGCACGCAGTTTGCACCGCGTAAGTTTGGACTTCTGGAGAGTTTCTATGGCTGAGCAAAGAAAACAGAAAAACTAATTAACATTTTAGGATCACTTATCTTGTTTTTAATACTTAAAGTTGTACTTGAAACTTTACACACCCAATAAAGACAGAAAAAAACATCTGCCAGTAAATTGACAAAAAATATAAATAAATAAAAAATGAAAATCATGACCTTTATTTTGAAAATAATAATAATAATAATAATAATAATAATATATATATATATATATATATATATATATATATATATATATATATATATATATATATATATATATATATATATATATATATATATATATATTATTATTATTATTTTCACTGAAATCAGGTGTTTTCTGTGATGTTCAGGAAATATTCAGTCAGATTTCTGCACCTGTTGAGGTTTGTTGGTTCAATGCATGAGCAAGGTACTTTCATTTGTCTTTAGAAGTATTTTCTAAACAAAAAAATTAAACCAGTATTTTATAAACTGAATATTGATTTAGTAGATTTTTTTTTTATGTATTACTTTTTTCAGTTTTGTATTATTCATATCTATATATTCTAGTGTGAATGTATCTTTTTTTTTTTATGGGAGGGTATGTAAACTATGAAGCACAACTGTATATTGTTACCAAGCCTGTTTGGTGCTGCAGAAATGGCCAGATTGCCATTTTTAAAGTGAAAGGTATAAATAGTTTTTTTGTTTTCTTTTGTAACTAGTATTGGTTGATCTTTCAGAGGAGGTCAGAGGTCAGTTAAAGGCTCAGGTTAAGTTTCAGAGGCCTCCTCAGGAGCACAAACTTCTCCAACAAAAAGACAAAATTTCACATCAAGACAAAAGCAGGAACATTTCTAAAAATGTAGAAGCTTTTTACATCCTTTTTTCTTTCTGTTTTTTTTTTTTTTCATAAGCTTTGAAACCTTTGTGGGAGCTGCTCTAATTCAATAACTTCATGCTGTTTTAAAGTGTCTGTTTTAAAGCTTTATATTTGGGAAAGATTTCTAGTTTCCAAACAACCTGCTTACATCTTGGCGTCCTTCAGATTTTTAATGGTGGAAAAGCTGGATAAAGTCTCATTGTGCAGCATATCTGCTTCTCTGCTGCAATCTTTCTTTTGAAAGATTTTTTACTTTTTCAATTTCCAGATTGCAAACGTGGATAAACTGATTTTACTGAGTGCCTCATAAAATAAATAAACGCTCTCAGATTTCCCGTCCCTGACCACAACCAGGCTGCATGAAGAGAAACTTTGTGTTTGAAAGGAATGTTTCCCTGTTTAGCTTGACAAATGGCAAGGATTTAAAAAGGAATTACAGGTTTCCAAGTGATAGATAATCTTTTTTTTATTGGAAAAGTTGATTGTGTACAGCATATTGTTAAAAAACATCCCATTTATTTCATGTTTTATTTTGTTGTGGCCACAATCATTATTGTATTTTATTAGGTTTCAATGCAATAGACCATAAAGTAGCAACATTTTTTGGAAACTGATTAAAAAGAGTTTGTTTTTTGGAATTTAAATAAATAAATAAAATACAATTTTAAAACTCTGAAAAGAAAGGTAGATGCCCAGGGTGTCATTGGAAGCACGAAAGAAAACAACATAACATCATCTAAAAACCTTTTCTATTGCTTTTCTGCATGTGCAGTCGGGGACATTCCCACAGCCTCACTCCCACAGTGTGGCGAACAGACGTCCCACAGTGAAACACGGTCATGGAGGCTTTCTCCATTCTGTCCTGTAAAGATGATGAGAATATAAAGGAGCTCAGTGCATCCTGGTGAGCAGTGGGAAAGAAACGGTTTCAGCAATATTCAGATTTATACTAATAAAATTTTAAAGATATTCAGCTTTATTTACCTACAGTCTCAATGAAATAAATGATTGTTAGTGTTCGTAAAGCTCCATTTTCATGAAGTGTAAAGTCTAGCCTTTCCAGGGTGCAAAGGTAAAGAGTAGATAAACCTCTAGAACCTGATCATGAATCTTAAAATCAGGGTAAAAAGTTTCAGTGTAGTATTTCTTAAAAATAGATAAATAATATATTATTTCCTCTGACAGATATTGAGGTTTTCCCCTCAAGGCCATAGATCTAACCTGCCTCATCTCTCCCTCAGAGCCCATCTATGTCCCCTTCCTGATGGTGGGAAGCATCTTCATCGCCTTCGTCATCGTTGGCTCCCTGGTGGCGGTCTACTGTTGCACCTGCCTGCGGCCCAAGCAGCCCACCCAGCAGCCCATCCGCTTCTCTTTACGCAGCTGCCAGGGAGAGACCATCCCTATGATCCTGACCACGGCCCCTCCCAGCCTGCGTGCTCCGTCTAGGCAGTCCAGCACGGCCACCACCAGCTCTAGCTCGGCTGGCGGCGGGAGCTCCACTCGGAGGTTTTCTCTGGGGGGTCAGAGCCAGCAGCAGCACGGCTGCCTTGTGTCCGCCGCGGTCTCTTCGTCAGCTTCTACCCCTACTCAGACTCCACAGACTCTACTACCTCCACCGCCACCTCCGCCCTACACATCGCCACCTGCAGCGATAACAGGAGGCTTCCAGCACTCACAGCTGCAGCTGCACCAGGCCTCCATCTCTACGCAGAGCACCAGCTTCCTGCTTCCCCAGCAGTACTTCTTCCCCCTGCAGCCTGACGCCTTCACCGCCACCAAGGGCTTCGCTGACTTTGGCCAGAGCTGACAGGGATCCCAGCCGGGGCCCACTCAGGCTTCTCACCAGAGGGTGGAGCTTGAGTCGCTGAAGAAAAACATGGCTGCCGAGCTCGGTGTAAAGGACTGAGGTCGGATCAACAAGCGCACAGAGCAGGCAGACATAAAGTCTCCTCTTTGGGACTATTTTATACACTTTTATAAAAACAGCAGATCTCTGGGGTTAAAATCCTCAAAAAAACATTAAAAATGTCCCAAGTTAATATTGTTCTTTTAATAGAAGTATATTATACAGCAGAATTTAGGACGTTTAAAATGTAAAAAGGACACCTAAAAGTGAAAAGAATTTTCTTATAAAAGAAACAAGGACTTTCTTTTCCTGAGATGATTCTCTAATGTGAGATAATTAAAAGCTGTTTCTTGTCAATTGTGTGGGTGCACTGGTGATGTTTGCCAAGCATTTCTGACCTTTGAACAACTTCAGAAGTTTCAATCATTTTAAATAATTACATAAAAAACTCAGGTATTATAAACACAAAAAATAAAGTAAATACAATTTAATGTCTGTAAAACATTATAAACACTGCAGTGATAAATTCTAAACTGATGTTTAACATCAGATACACAAAATAAAATCATTGTTAGTCTGGATTTGGAAGGTTTGTCCAGTTTGAACCTTAAACATACTGTTTGTTGTCTTCCCTTCTGAAAAAAAAGTCTTGTAGGAAATTTAAAGAGTTTTGAAAAAGATTTCAAAATCAGCTGTTCTGATGCATGGAAAATATTCTATAAGTGGAGGGAAATTAAAACATACCATATGTGGCTGTTTATGCAAGTTCACCATGATAGTAGATCGTAAGATACTAAAGGAAGTCTCTAGAATCTCTAAAGTGTCATTAATTGACACAAGGTGACTTTTATTTAAGATGAAGGAGGAAATGTTTGTTCTTTGGGGTAAAAAAACAGGAAGTTCCAGGAGGAATGTAGACAGATCAGGGGTTCTGTGCTGTTCTTTGGGCCATGAAGTCAATCATCATGTATAAGAAGGCACTTGAGGAGAGAGCAGAAGCAGAGCTGGACCCTACCTCACAAAACACACCAGCAAATGAAGAGGAATTGGGCTGAGAATTCCTTCCATCCATCTTCCAGGGGCGGGTCGTGGAGGCAGCAGTCTCATCAGAGATGCGAAGATTTAAGAAATCCACAAACACCTCCTGCAGCTGCTCTGTGGGGACCCCGAGGCAACAGCAGTCCTGCTCAGAGACTGATGTTGGTCCCTCCAGCGTGTCATGGGCCTTCCATGAGGCCTCCTCCCAATGGGACATGCCTGGAACACCTCCAGAGGGATGCGACCAGGAAGCATCCGGAATAGATGCCCGAGACACCTCAGCCGGCTCCTTTCCACGTGGAGGACCAATGACTCTACTTCGAGCTCCTCCCGGGTATCTGAGCTCCTCACCAGATCTCGAAGGGTGCGTCCAGTCACCCTGCGAAGGAAACTCATTTTGGCCGCTTGTATTCATGATCTTTTCCTTTCAGTCATTACCCAGATCTCATGACCATAGGTCAGAGTGGGAACCTAGATCGATCGATTAATTGGTAGCTTTGCCTCCGGACTCAGCTCCGTCTTCACCACGACGGTCCGATACAGCGACTGCATCACTGCCGACGCCACACCGATCCGTGTATCGATCTCACGCTCAATCTGTCCCTCACTCGTGAGCAAGACCCCAAAATACTTGAACTCCTCAACTTGAGACAAAGATGAAAATTAAGAATGGGAAAAGTCCAGGAGAACAGAAGCCCAGAACTTTACATTATTTTAAGTGACATGAAATATAAACGTGGAATAAAACTGTCAAACATCTCATCTGGAGAAGTGGAGCATACAGTGAAACTGATGGATGGCGAAACAAAGTGTGAAAAGCTTTATGGTAGCTGAGCTATCACAACATGCTTCTTTTCTGACATAAAAGTAGATCAGAAGGAGGTATTATAAAAGAGCTGAACTTATAATGGGTGGATATAGCTCAGAGCCAACATGGCAGCTCTCTACCTGTAGCTCCTCCTTGCGCCAGACTTCACGGCAGGAATGCAGAGCAGAGATCCATCATTGTCGGTGCTCAACGAGCATGGCCTGGTCACAGTGTTAAAAACAAGCACCTCCAGAAACAGGTTTAGGTTGAATCTGCAGCTATAGGGGAGTCTCCACAAAGAGCTGTCTGTTCCCTGGCTACCTGACTGTGAAACGGATCTGCTGATCTGCATCTCCTGAAAGCTGCCACGGATGTTTGCTGCTGCATACAAAGAGGATACATCAAATTACAGCTTTATCAGTAAAATGCATCTGACAGGATGAGTTTCAGGCTGAACATCTGCAACACATTTCATTCAATGGAAACGGTTCTTCATGCATTTGTAGGAGCCCTCACACTGCTTTTGTTTAAAGAGAAAAGTGTGAGTTTTCTGCCTCTTTCTCAAACCTAAACGCCTAAAACATTTTAGGAAAAAAAAAAACACAACCTCCGTTTGTTACAATAAGACCAGGAGCCTATTAGATAGGGTTCTTTAGATTTGCATGGAGTCCGACCCTGTCCTTAGGATTTCCAAGCGGGGGTATTTTTCCAAGTGAAACAAAGTACTCACCACCATGGTTAACAGCAGCCACAATCATCCATCTAAATTATGAAGAGATGAAAAAGAAACCGAGTCTGACTGCTCTGTGGTGAATCAACATTAAATATCACAGACATTTAAGCAACAGACACTAGAAATCTTTAGTTTTTAACAGATTTCTTGGCTGAGTAGCAATCAGATACAGCGATGAATAGTTTCTGAAAATGAAATAATTAAAATATCTTTAGGCATTAAACTGTATAACTGATGATCAAATGCATTTATGGGGAGTTGTCATTTTTCTTATGAAGCAGTAATATTTATCTTTTTTTGCAGCTGCATAATCTCACACTAATTTTATTTTTAAATCCAAGAGTTGAGTTCATTTATTCTGTAGGTTTCTCAAATTTTGATTTTTTTGATGAAATAATCTTTATTTTAAAAGTCTTAAGCCCTCCTGAAAATGAACATCATAGTTGTTTGATGCTGTAGTGCACGTATTGTTTACATTCTGACCGGTCTAACTAGGGAGTAGCAATATGGCGGCTGGTGACTTCACTCCACCCTGTATTACCAATGGCCTATCAGCAATCATCTGAATAAATAGAGATCAGTGGATCCAACCTCTAGGAGATCTAAGTATGTCTGGTTGGCAAAGAGGTTTAACAAAGTAAAAGTTGTACCATTAATTTACTTCAATCTGATTACCGTATTTCATGATTCTATTTATTGAACTCATTAAAATTTTAGATTAATCTCAAAGCTTCAGTGCGGTTTTATCTTGCTGCAATAAAAATATTCATCCGTTTTAAGGCTTTTAATTTCTCCAAATGAAAATCCTGGTGATGATGGGTCTATATTGTTCCACAGAGAAGTGAAATTAAGCCTTTATTTTAAAATGCTGAAGGTGTGCGGATCCATCTGGAACAGGAAGTCAAAACCAAACCAATAAAAAAAAACTAGATTGAAAAGAAAAAAGAAAACAGCCAAATCAATTTTAGGATAATTTTATTTTATTAGAGGAATAAAAATAGCTTAATAACTAAAACAGTTTTACAAATTTGGTCTTCTTCCATAGAGGATAACGGTACTAAACTTTACTCTTTTTCCACAGATGTTCGACATGATGTCTGCTATATCCTTTTTAGTCGGTTTATTAATGTGCTATCCTTGGATCATTTCAAATGATGGCGTCTGTTGTGTTTTTACAGCAAATGGAGCCGAAGCCAGCCTCTAGTGAGAATAGGGGTAATTAGTCTGGAGCCTCATCTGTTATAGTCTTTGTGGGATAACACAATTAAGACTAAGGAAAAAAACCTAAAATGAATCAAAAGTCTGCATTTAATTTATGATCTTGGCTTTCCTTGCTATGTTTTCCTTCCTTTCCTCGTTTCCCTGATTTTGTTGTTTTAAGAGATGCACCAATCAGGAGGTCAAAGATGTGAGTCGGCTAATTTTCAGTTGATCGGCTCCAATCTGAGATAAGCCGCTAAGATCATGAAAACAGCATTCCTTCAGTCCATAAATCAACAAACATGGTTCGTTATTAGGTTTTATGTGGGAGAAAAAGGAGCAGCCCCAAAGAAAATCACAATTCAGTGGGGAAAGGCGAATTTTACAAATCTCTTGTTGCTGAATCACTGATACCGCCATATAAAGGTGCAGAAGAATCAGTCTGAGTGTTTGATTGTAAAGTTTATTTCAGTAGTCCTTCATGGCAGTAAAAGACAACACTTAGTAGGTTTGCAGTCCAAACATGCAGAACAATCAATGAACAAAAGAATCAGACATTTAAAACAAAGAAAAAAGTTAAAGGTGCAGTTTTACCATCTTTTGCAAAGTGATCAACACTCAAGGTTGGATTCAGCAGTAGTACAGTTAACGCTGGGAGAACAGTGCGCGTCTTCCACTCATGCAGCCCACGACTTTCACAGACAGCTTTATGTTCTTTGCCTTAACAAAAAAAAAAAAAAAAAAAGAAGAAGAAAAAGCAACAATCTAAGCCTCCCCGCGAAAAGACGAAGACGACAGCCACGTTCAGCTGCTTGGAAAATTCCCCAACAACCAATTCATTTTACGTTATTAAGGAAAACAAGTAAAGTATCTGAAACCTAAAACACAAAAGAGCATTCCTGTAGAGCAGAGGTACGTCGCATGAAGTAAAACAAACAGACACACTTTAGAAATGACAACCTAGATCATACCAGATACTAACACCTGCAAAGGTACATAGAGTGCATTGTGTAACACTTTGTGTTAAAGCGAGCTGAACACACACACAGACACACTGTCATCCTGCACACAGACACACCCACTTCCCTGTAGGGGCCATGCAGCAGCACACAGATTAATCAGAACTATACCTGACGTCGTGCAGACGGACAACTGGAGCGAGCATCAACACACACACACCCACAGATAATAAAAGAAACACACCAGTACTCCCAGTCTCATAGAAGACAAACACATGCACACACACACACACGTACAGCACATGCACAGGCGGGCTATGAAGTGACACGCGCACACAGTGGGAAATCTGATCTCCCATAGGGAGAAGAAACCAATCACACAGACACGGGTCAGTCAGTTATAAATAAAACAAGCCAGAATAATAACATCCATATTAATAATAATAACGAGACATATCAGAAAGCGAGTTTCCACGACGGATCGAGTTTATCCTGCCAAAAATCAAAAGTTTACAGACGATTCATTACAAAGCCAATCAATGCAAAAGTCATAGATCTCCAATATAAAAATACAAATTCACAAAAGAACCATAGAGACAAAGTAGTTTTGATACCGCTGTGGATTTTCCTGGTCAATATTTCTCTCCCTTAAGCTAATGGCACTTATGTTAAAAGGGATAAAATCTCCATTTTTAGGGGAAACACTACCGCTACTGTGAGCTTGCCTTTAGGTCAACTCTGCAGGAGCAGATCTGTGGTTTAAAACACTGCAGAAGTGCAATACTGTGGAATTCAGACAGTGGTTTTGTCTTTAGGAGTGTGTGAGACAGAAGGAGAGTTTGAAAGTAGCACTAAATTATTCTTGGCAATACTTTTTTTCTTCTAGGAGGGAAGGTTTCAGGTAGGCACCGCTGTGATTGTTGAGACAGGAGTGACGTGTGGAATGCCATTCTAGATCGAGAGCCGAGCTCTGGCTGTTCAAAGATGAGGAAACAGGAATACTGTCTGCTTCACAGTAAAAATCTAAAATCATTAAAAACCAGGCACGGCATCTACATGTTTAAAAGCTGGAACTTAAAAACCTAAATAAAAACAACAAAACGGGACGAAGGCATGAGAAGATGTAAGGCGTCACGAGAGATGCTCACCAAGTGCATAAAACGAACAAAAGCATTACAAACATTTGCTCTGAATCTGGAGAAAATTCACCTACATTTAGATAAAAGGAAAACAAAAAACTGTCCGAATTCACTAGTACCTGGACGATTGTTTACACGACTGCTCTTTGGCAATCTTTCACAAGCTGGATTCCTCTGACCTGCCCGCCGTCCTGCGCTCTCACCTCTGCTGACAGTGTTTAGGAGTGGTGGAATACAATGACGTCAGGCGTAGTGGCTCAGTGCTGGAAAAGGAGAGCTTGGCTCTGTCTAAACGCAGCGAGAACAGTGAAGAACTTTGGACCACAGAATGCCTAAAAATGCACAGTGCTCATCAATTCTGCTGGACACACAAACACAGCTGATAGTGAACACGGTTTGTTTCCTTCCTTGCCTTTTTCTTTTTTGTTTGTTTTTTCTATCTTCACGATCCTCCTCAGTTCATCTTTTTTTGTCCGTAGTTTCCCTTCGGTGCTTGAACACCTCTTTCTGTTAAATATCTGCTGTGGAGACAGCAGCTGTGGCTCCAGAGGGTCTGACTGGGTCCAGGAGGGGCGATGGATCACCACTCGGCCCTCTGCTTGGTGGTGTCGTATGCTCTGATCACTTCAGACTGGGACACCACTCCGTTCTCATCTTGAGAAAAGGCATATCCATCTGAAAACAAAGCAACACAATAATTATTATTTAAAAAATGGGATGTTCCCTCCACTCTGTGTTACACTTCTTCCACTTTCTAAAATTTATTTGCAACTAAATCTCCCTGTTTTGGTCATTATTACCAAAGTTATTCCTATTTACTGAATTCTGATTGCTTTCTACGGTATATACCTGAAATGATCCCCAAGCTTCTTACAATATTTGGCTGTAAATGGGATAGATCTCTCTTGAAGGAACAAATTTAACTGAATGAAGCTAGAGTTTTAAAAGACCAAACCTAAAATATCTTTGCTATCATTGGTTCAGCTCGGTGTGCCTCGTCTGTATCCAGTTTCAGGCTCCTGGTCTGAGTCTTAAGATTCTGCTTTGATATTTCCACGTGTTCTGTCCTCAGGATAGCATCTCTTTTGTTTAAAGCACCTTGATCTCTTAATATATATATATATATATATATTTTTTATCTCTTAATATATATATATGTATTTTTTTTTATCTTGGAGGGTGTACAAAGAGCTGAGCTTGAACCGTGGAGGTCCATAATCCTCTTCCTAATATCTTGGCTGTTTTCATGTGTTGCATTAAATACACCGCAGCTCATCCTCCAGTTATCTGAAATATTATTAGAAGGCTTCAAGTCTTTTAATACATACTTAAAACATTAAAAGCTTCCAGCAGACCTTCTGTTGGGCTCCATGCGACAGTGATAATTACAAACCGACTTGTTAAGACACTTATTGCTGTTTTCTCAAAGAATACAACAGGTTCTTAAGAATTGATCTATTAAATCATATATTCTGAAAAAGGAAATCTTTTCACTGATTTTCTAGTTCACTGAGCTGCAGTGTTTTTAATTGTGGAGTTCAACTTGTTCAAATGTTTAGTTATATTATCCATCTTTAATGCTGGCATCATTTTAGAGACACAAGGAGACCTTGAATGAATACAAAAAGGTTTTTTGTTTTTGGTACAAGGCACATTTTTCAGAGAATATCTTACTATCATGATAAGCAACAGCAAAGCTAGATAGGAGTAGCTCCAGTTTTCTTATTCGATTTAAGAAATAAAAGAATAAATAAAATTCTTTATAAGAAATATAACACTGAATGTGATAAATATATTAAAACATTTGTTTAATTTCCTCTTTACTGTAAAGCTGCACTCTCATCTACACCTTCACTCTCCTACAGGGTCTCATGTGACTTTTCGCCCCTGACTCACCTTCAGGTGTCAAATGACTTGCTCAGTGCCTGGCGGCCAGTGGGCCAGTTCAAAGGACCCCGCTGAAACGAGTGCAGTGTGAGGGAATAACATTTTATGGTTATCTGGCTCTACTGAGCTCGACTCGGGAAACACGGAGGCACACGGCAGGGAGAGGGCGAGAAATAAAGCTACGAGGAGGAGAGATAGAGGCGTCTATGGAGGAGCTACGAAGGGGGTGGAGACTTAAATAGGGATAATTTATGAAGTCAAAAACGTATTACAACACAATGATTTCGTCTTCACCTATAGGACAAACAAAACAAAAAACAAGCTGATCAGACAAGAAACACAAAAAAACAGAAAAGCACACAAAACAGCAAAATAAAACCCATGCTGAAGATGAAACAGACTGGATTGATTTCAGGCTCCAATGGAAGGAATCGTTCCAAAAACACCAACTGATCTGAGTTTATTATTACCAGAACTGGAGTAAACAATAAGCTTTTAGGTCAATTTGTTAAGCCAAATCCAGCCCTGACAGAAATGGGTTTTTTGGTGAGACTGATCTCTAAATAAGCAGAGCTTTGAGATATCTGATGGACACCAATAAATACTTAAAGGTATAGAGGATGATCTTTTATATCCGGGTGGATCATCTAAATAAGTGGTCCTCCTAATTGTCAGTCATGTGGGTGATAAGTTTACATAAGGCCGTCCCACATGCTCGTCCCGTTAGCTATCTTTTTCTGTGCATGTGCTTTTTCAGGCGTATATCTGTGGTGAGCTACGGTTTCAGACAGTCATTGAAGCTCACCTTTCTCACAGCGGTTCTTTGAAAATGGCCGAGGGTCGTAAGAGAATAAGTTTCTACGAAGTGTGAGAAGAAAAGAAAAGCCTTAGAAGAGGCAGATATATCCCAGAATGCTTTACGCAGAAATCTTTCCTTGCAAAGCATTATGGGATTTGCTGTCACAGCGGCCTGCTGTCGCCATAGGCTGCTGCTACCCAACAGCGGCGACTGATAACAAAGATGGCGCAGTTTCCTAGCAATAGAGGAGGGGTCAAGGGATCAACGGGGAGCAAAAAGCAGTGATTATCTTTCGGTAAAGTCCACTATTTATAGTGACTGAGGGACTCAGGTTGTTAGGGCGGACGTTCGGGCACAGTAAGCTTGTATGAGCGATGAGAACAGAAAATTTTAAACAGTGCGTGTATGAGGAGAAATGGACTCCTGCATGCTCTCGCACGCGTTTAATAGGCGTTTCATCTCGGGAGCGGTTCAGAAACATTTGCCCTATTTTCTGAGTATGAGACACTATCTGTGTCATCTTTGCTCAGTAACAAACCTCCACACTAAAGCTAGCAACCAGGTAGGATTAACAAAAGGTTTTCATTTCCCAATACATACATCAATGTTGCTCAGTTTTATCTCGCAGGAGAGTCTAATTTATATGAACCACAGATCAAGTAGAAAATGGTTGTTGACCTATATTCTCTATAAAGACTAATGTTGAAGGTTAGATAAGCTAATTATTAAAGTTTGATAAGGCAAACATCCACATTATGATGTGTGTACGAAACAAGCTGATGAGCTTTCATTTCTAGTAAAGGAGACATAATTTATTTCAGTGTTTGGGTTTAAGCTTTGGTCAGTGTGTCGCTACATATTAAAGCTAATTCAAGAACATAGCAGGACCTGAGAAATGAAATAAAAGACAAACAAAAACATGTAAATGAGGGGACATCCTGTGATCCAGAGGCTAATAGCAGTGTAGCTGTTTCTTAATGCATAACTACGGACTTGTTCTCACCAAGTGCGTTCTTGAGAAGAACACAGGAAAATACGGACTCCGGGAGAACAGAGGCACGCAGCATAAATCTGGGTCAATAGGAACAGAAGCATACTCCTGACATCACCACATCCAAAGCTCGTCTGGAGCTGCATTCACCACCTGTTATTAATAGTCTCTAGATTATCATAAATTATGACTTTTTTATTTAGTGGGGGAATAATAATAACACAGTCAGATAAACACAAATCAAATTAACGTTTTGCAAAAAAAAAAAAACCCAAAAAAATGCCATCAGAGCCAGTGAAACTTCACACACAGCTATGTAGAGAGAGGGCTAATGCAGACGGGCTAACATTAGCCCTGGCTGCGGTTAGCCTTCGGAGGTCTGCTGGTTGCCACGGTCCTCTTAACATCTGAACTTTTTATAAACTACGCATTACATCAGTAAATGGGCCATATAGTGATGCTTAAAAGTATAATGTTCTCGCCTCATATGATATTAAAACATACTTTTATAGAAAAACGGCAACAGAAAAGAGAACTTTTAACTTAATACTCTGAGCTCTGTGAGCGCTCCACAGGAACCTGCTGCTACCACGGTGCATGCTGGGACAGCTGTCGAGCTTGATAACGGACAAGTCTGCTCTGATGCATACTCGGTAAAGAGGGAGGGGCGAGAAAAACAACCGGGGACTTTGTCCATTCTTGGTCTTGTGTTCTTTTGAAATGGAATAGTGCTGGGGCTGATGACCTTTCACGAGCACACGAGAACGCACAGGTACACATATTGAGAAACGGCCGATGTTTTCCTCCATGTTTCTCATTGGTTTTGATTTTTTTATTCCCTCTAAATGCACTAAGCCTACGTCAATTATTGCTAAATAATAACTAAAACTGCATGAACTGAAATAAAAAGAAAGCAAAGAGAAGAGACGAATGTGTGTGTAACTTACGGAGCAGGTTCTGCTGCATGGAGTCGGAGCGGTACAGACTGACCGTGCTCTTCTTGAAGACGTTCTTCAGGAGCTGGGCCCTCTCCGTCAAACTGCTCACACAGAAACATGGAGAGTATTAGCTGCCTGCAGAGTACAACACCTAGACTAAATGACCCACATCAAGGCTGTTCAAGCAGCTCCAGGATGCTTAGATCTACAAACTGCTCTACCTGCTGCTTAAAACATCTTACAGGGACACTACTGTGAAATAGAGGGATGGCTAAAAGGAATTCATGAACACATGTGGCACAAGGCATCTGTGTGTGTGAATGTATGTGCATCGGAAGAAAACCATCCATGTGTTTGTGTGTGTGAGTGCTCCAGCAGCCTGCTGGCTCTTGGACAGCTGCCAGTCAGGGGGATCGCTTTCCGCCTGCAGGAGATCTCACACTGATATGCTCAGTGTTGATGCGTGCAGCAGAACCAAAGCTCCAGAGAGCAGAGGAGACCTGGCTCGGCTAATGCGCTATAAAACTGTATGGCTTTCATTAGGCGGGGGGCTTTTGCTCTGAAATCCAGCGTTATGTATTTTAAAGACGAAAAAACAAGCAGGGAAAAACCACCATTATGACAGGATTACTGATACTGCAGTCAGACTCCTGCAATTTAGCAGCAATTTAGAGATTTTTCTTCTCCAACAGGACGGCTGTTGGCAGGGCGGCCCTGTATGTTCGTGGCATTTTCGTGACAAAAAGATGATTCCTCCTCCTAAATGAAGTTGGAAAAAGTGATTCATATTTTTTCAGAAAAGGCGAGAACAACAGCTAACCCCTCCATTATGTGGTTGTGATAAGGTCAGGAGAGAAATCCCAGCATTAGATGACACTAATCTATCATTTGATTAAGCCAGTTAAAAAAGATGTGTAGGAAATTTAACAGAGGAGAAAAATGACTTCATACAACAATCAGTTCTATCTCTGTGCAGATTTAGGTAGAGAAAAATGATTTGTGTCCTGTTTTGCAAAAAGCTGAAGGTCAAAGAGGAGAAAAAGGCAATTTAAGATGAGGATTCTTGTGGCATGGCTCAAATCATTTCAAAAACGTTCTGCTCTAATAAAAGCAAACGTAGAAAATTGATCAACAGTTGGCGTGTAGAGGTCATAGTATTCGTAGTGGTGATCTCCAACTCTTCTTGAGGGCAAATGTCCTGCAACCTTTGGCTGCATCTCAGCTTCAACAGTTTTAAAGTATTAGACAGTTTAGCTATTTGCCTTAGAGCAAGGAATACATTGAAAAGTAGCAGGACACACTTTAGCAGGACGCATTTAGGTCCAACACTATGGGGAATCTTCAGGGCAACGTTGTGACGAACGGGCACACAAAATAAGAGGTCCAGTGGAAAGTGTAGGCCAAGATCTAAAGTACTCCACGCCAAAAAATATTTAATTTTACTTTACTTTAAAAAGTGTAAGGTCAAAAACTAACTAACACCTTCATGTCTTATCATCCTAAACAAATGTTTATGCACTGATAGATCTTGAGTAAACAGGTGTAGAAAAGTTTTTCGCCTTTTTTGTTTGACTGGATGCCACTACAGGATAGACTGAGGGAACAAGTAACTTGCTGTAAATTAAAGCCAAGGGCAAGCAGGCTCTATAACATACGTGAAGTTTAGTCATCCATGCATTTGCATCATTCAGGAACTGTGCAGATCTAAACCAAAGAGTGAACACAGGAGTAGAGAGGAGGAACTGTACCTCTTCCCGTGCACTACTGCTCCAGGGTCCTTAGATAAAGCCTCCAGCTCCTGCACCTCATCCACCAGGGTCTTGAAGAACACTTTCTTCACACTGTAAATCAAACATGCAGTAGATGATGTTTTGATCATATTTTACCATGATGAGCTATTTGGAGTATGGTGATATATATAGAGTGAAGGAATGTAGCTTCTAGTTAAACTGCTCTTGAAACGCTGAAGCTGCTGATGGATGATGCCGACCTGACATCTCCCGCTGAGCATTCACAGAATGGAAAGTTCCTTGGAAGTTTGTTCAAAAAGAAACAGGAATTTCTTCTGGCGATAGGAGAGATACTGAAGGAATTTCCTGTATTGCATGCATGTGTGAGAGAGATTGGGGAGCGAGTGAAGCGGAGAGAAAACTCACACTTTGTAAGCCACGTCAAAGATCAGCGAAGTGACCGGGATGAAAAACAGGCCCATCCAGAAGACCCCCGAGCTGAACATCATTTTTGCCTGCAGGGAACACACACAACAATTAAATCTAAGGTCACTGTGGACAATAGAGTTTAACAGAAACACCTGATAAACATGAGCAACAATCCCTTTCCTCTGGAGCCCCAAACAAACACGGAAATGGAAAGCATAGGTTGGGATAATGTACTCAAGGTGGGTTAATAAGCCATAACTAAAGGACATCATTGTTTCATTTTGTTTAGATCCCCTGTACCCCTCTGACCCTATTGGATGAGGAAGTACCTGCAGTGCATTAAGATAGTTGAAGCTTTTTCAAAGAAAAATTCCTGTTTGGAGATTTTCTGTCAATGCAACAGAAATGAGACAAGAAAGTTCTCTATCCAGTCATCTTGAAATTGTTTATCTTCTACAAATAGGTGAACCTGGCATTTTTAGTAGTTATTCTAGAACTTATTTCTTTAATATTTATAGGCATACAATCTTAAACCAAAGATATTTCTTCCATTTGTTTCTTTTTGTTGTTTTGTACAGGTAAAATCTGGACAAAATTTTTTTAATTTGGCAAACATTTTGTCCCAGACCAAAAGAAAAAAGCTTAATTTTGAAGGTTTTTGTCTTCAAAATATTTTTATATATATATATATATATATATACCCAGCTGTACTGTATTTTGAATGCGTCACAGGCCCATAAGACCCCTTAAGGACAATCCGGTTGAGATGTAAGTCACGTGGACTCTGGGCTTCATGGAAGAGTAGCAGGAACAACACTACTGGTGAAAGGAGATGTTTTCCACAATCCAAGCAAGAAACGGCCATGCATGCGCTTTTATAGGATCAAGGCATGGCTGCTGAATACACTAATGAATAAGAGAGTGTATGCCATTATCACAGTATCTACATGTAGAGAATCCCAGCTGATTGTGTTGAGTTATTGACTTTAGGATTGCCAAAGTTTACAGGAGATGTTTTGATTAAGACAAGTAAGACAACAGCCCTAAGCTACTGAGCTTCAACTTTACATCAAAGTACATTAAAAGAGCTAAAGTGACTTACTCAAAGTAAAGACAGTAATTCAAGAATGGATGTTTAAAAGATTTCCGTCCAGTCTGACTGAACCGCTGTAAGGGTATTTTTCTTAATCTAAAAGGAAAAGCTAATGGGATGTTTAGACCTGGTTAGAACTGCTGTTAGAACCAGGTTCTACCAACTGCAGGTGCTGAAGTTTAACATTGTATTTGTAAATAAACAAAACAAAAATGCAATTTTCTCACAGCTTCAATACTTTGTGTTGGTCTTAATACAATAAAATGTTGGCACTTATGGCTGTAAATATCCAAAACTTCAACAAGAAAAACATTATTATTTAAGTATCCCGCCACGGTTTGAAAAGGCTAAATCCAACTTAAAAATCTTTCTTGGGTCAACTTAGTCTTCAATAATAAAGTACTTTATCTTTTAAAAACTCTAAGTAACACATTTACTTGATGAGTTTTTGCTTCAGTGTAATTCAGAAACTGTGGAACGCCATGATGGTGGTAAAATACTTTAAAAACTCTCCTGTTTTCTTTGGGGCACCATCCTAAAACTATCTGTCATTACATGTCCGACTTACAACTTATGTTCCTTGCATTGTAATGTGCCATTTATTTAGACTGCCGTGGCCCATTGACAGTACCTTTCCTGCAGTGTGACAGCGCGACATGACGCACACACGGATCAGTGCCAAAACCATCAAAGCTCTCAGGTTAGCCTAAATTAGCTAATCTGTTTGGCATTGCCTGTAAAGTGACTTTGATGTCTGACATAGGACCGAGGAGAGGAAGCTCTCCTAAAGGGCAGGAAATAAAAAATGGCTTTTCTATGACATTCAGTGGCTAAACATATGAGGGGAAAATTATGATTAGACTTACGCTATTTTCAAATCAGTCTTGAAATTGTGCAGCCCCCATTTAGCAATGTTTCTTTATATATAATTTTATGGGGTTTAAGCGAATTTAATTGTTTTCATTTTCATAAAGCTTATTAAACATTTTAAAGGCGGTGTTTAAACTGTCTACAGAGCCTTTTCAAAACATCCCCGAGTGTATACTTGGCAAATCAAAGCCAAGCAGAATGAAAAATAAATAATGTCGTCCACTGGTTCAGATTTTGACCCATATTTATTTATACAACTGTATGACTGAACTTCAAATTATGTAAACATTAGCCTGATACAGACATGAAGTCAATTAGGAAACACAATCCAATTCAAGAACTTAAATGTGAGGTGCAACTGAGGAAAAGTACATCTGTGGAAACTTAGAGTAACAAAGTCAAACTAATGGAGAGTTTTTTTTATTATTTTATTTTGATGTGAGTTTCAAAATCCAAACAAATCGGAGGAGCTACAAACAACAAATGTTTGTCTGCAGGCATCTGGAAAAGCTCCATAACTGTGAGCGGGTCCAGCAGTGTTGGTGGATGTCTCATACCAGGGGGCCCCTGGGAGATGGAGGGGTGATAGAGGCCCAGGGAGCAGGACTGTATTTTTAGGACAAACTAATAAACTTGTCTGGCTGGACAGACAGTAGTGTCCCCTCGCATAGAGGAGGTGGGGGGTGGTGGTGTTTTGACAGGCCATGGACCCCCACCCCTCCTCTCTTTGGTCATAGAAAGCCACAGACACACAGAGCTTGATTCAAGCCCTCCCTCCCTGACCACATGTGAACCTTCGGCCAAAATAACTGAACCTCAAAGTTGTAGTAGTGGTGTGGAGGTGCATGTCTGAGTGTGAGAGTCTGTAAATGCCTCTAATAGTGTTTTATTGGTTGGTGAGAGCAGAAAAAATACATCTTAGTCTTATGTGGTCATGGAGTCACAAATATATAATAAATTAATTAAAGGTATGCAAATAAAAAAAAAGATCATATTTACTTTAGAAAAACCTAAATCAATCAACCAGAGATCAAAATATTATGCGTATTCTCCATTACGCCAGGCTCACACTAAAAACAGTGCAGCTCCAGTTTGGACACAGCACGGAACCCTGATGATTAAAATTAATGTGAACACTCATCAGTCACAGGCCAGTCGTGGTTAGCAAAGCTGACGGAATGATTCCGCAAGCAGGAAGTTTGGCCGGATGCGGCAGCGGTCCCTCGTCGAGCCCCGGGGAATACCAGCAGGAAAGAGTTTTGGTACATTTCAGAATAAGACAACTCACCAACTTACAATAACTTGGCTAGCGTAAAAAAAACTAATGAAAAGAAACTAAAAAAAAAACGAAAAAAACAAAACCCAACACTGCTAGAGGAAAAAAAAGGGATATCTATGAAAATTAGTTTTGCCCATGAGAACTTCTTCTCATGTTAGCATCCTTTCTGGCCCTCTGTGAGTGACTGTAACCCGCAGTCAAACCTGATTCCGTGTGATCCATTATTGCAACATCTGTACTTGTATTAAAACTAAGGGGTTACTCTATTTATGTTTGATACCATCAACCAAGTTCCATGCACTGTGTAAGAGTAAACTAAAAAAAAAAAAAAATCTAATCAAAGTTTGGAACACAAACTCTGATGCCCATACAGGGGGAGGCAGTTAAAGTACATTTTCTCTTTTATTTTGTCGAGGCAATAAAAACTTGAATCATTGGCTAGAAAAGAAAATCCTCAATTTACAACATGTAATATTCCTTTTTAAAGCAGTCAATAGGAACCACCAAGAAACACAGCTATATATTTCCTATCTTGCTAAACTAAATGGGTGTTATACTAACTTATAACCTTTTTTTATTTTGGCACAGATGGCCTTTGTTTTGAAAGTGATCTAACAGGAAATGTATTGACGAGGGAGGGGGATGAACATGAAGCAAAGGTCCACGGTATATGTTAAAGGGGTCATAGAATGATTCTATAGGGTATTTGGTGTTGGTCCTTAAGGTCTTTGAATAGGTTGTGTAACATTGGTTGGGCTGAAAATGGGATATTTGCTGTCCTATGCGCCCTGTTGCAAGCCTGGTTAAGGGCCCCAGAATGAAACGACAGGTTTTCTTCCTTTTATGGTGTGCTCATGAATATTTAGATGAGCTGTGTGCTGATTGGTTGGTTTATAACGAGGGAAGCTGCTGAGCAAAGACTCATCATAGCAAAAAGCACTCACTCACTAAAAATATCAAATTGTTGATATGGTAGGGTGACCAGACGTCCTCTTTTTCCTGGACATGTCCTACTTCTCATACCTAAACAAAATGTCTGGGGCGAATTTCAAAATTGTCCGGGATTTTGGTCAAATACAGTGCAGCAGAATCTAGCCGTCAACTCCGGCGGATGGGGGGAGAGAGCCAGCAGGGGACGGAGCGACCAAACCTGACCGGGTGACTGTAGCCAAGCCCCCATGCTTCCCGACAGGTTCGGTCTCTCCGTCCCCGGCCGCTGGGCTTCCCGGACCAGACCTGGAGCTCACGGCTCGGTTCGAATGCCCGGCAAGCTGCCCAGCTTGCAGTGTGATGAAAGTTCAGGCCAGAACCAAATAAGGCAACATCCCTGAATTTATGCCAATTTGGTGCCTTGTTTCAATGTGGCAGTTTAACAGTGGAAGTTTAGAATTGTGAGATTTGCAGAAAAAGGAGGTGCTAATGGGGTTTGAACTTCTCTGTACGTCCATTTCACCTACTGAACTATTGTTAGTCAGCTATGACCATGTAAACTCAGTTTTTCATTCTATGACCCCTTTTAAATAAATAAGTAAAAAGAAGCTATGACATTCAACTATTGAACCCCCTGATATACACCAGAATTCATTTCATCTATGACCATGCCTTGACCAAGTCCAAATTAGATTACCAAACCATGGGACTTCCACTTTCCTGCTTCACACTGTTTTTAAAATGCCTCTACTACATTCATTATAATTCATGGCAATATATCCAGCATTCAAGTGCAGACAAAGGTATATCTGGTCATTAAATAGAGGCATGTGTTCTTTAAAGTGTAGAGAGTGGATAAAATGGCTAAATAAATGGGAGTAAAGTTATAATACGAGGGCCATGCATTTTTTGTAACTCTAACGATTACATCAAACGTTTGATGCTGAAGTGGCCAGATATGATATGATGATGCTGAAGTGGATCAGTATATAAATGAGTGTGACATCGCTGCTCTACTGGATAGCGGTATTTGGTTTTAACCAAACGCAAATCCTTTTCTGCTGATCAAATGATTCAAATTCAGACTAATCTCCCCAAAGAACATTTATCCAGCCTGGTCTTCGTCTAGGTTTGCTGTGGCAAACTCTTGTCTGGCCTTTATATTTATCTTAGAGAGCAAAGGTTTCCTGTTTGGACCCCTCCCATGAAAGTTAAACTTGTGCAGTCTCTCTCTGATTGAAGAGGCATGCTCTTATGTCAACAAGAGCTATAGGGTCAACTAAAGAGATTTTTTTAGTTTAAGGTAAGTTCTGGTGATCTACTTTCAGGGTTACCCTACTTGAAAGGGCAGACCTGGGCAGGTTGGCAAAAGTCTTTTCAAACAGCCCTCTAGATCTCATCATGGTGTTCACTCACTTTTCAGCAACCGGGAGCACACCAAACTAACTGCCTGAGGTTTAACCAAGGCAAACCTCCGTTAAACCGTTTAGTGTTGATGGTCTAATCATGTGCGTTTGATATGACAACCCTGTATGTAATTTTAGCCATGTTATTCCTCATATAAAATTGTCTTCTCTTTCAACTCTCCATGGCTAATATAAATATGTGATCAACTGTGTGCCTGTTTGCTTCACTCAGGCCAGACAAGTTGTTTCTTTAACTTTGTGTTGTGGTGTTTATCAATCGTTGGCTAGGGGAGGGAAAAAAGTAAGATAAACAGCTGAAGTCACAGACTCGGGAGTCTTAAGGGGGAATGGCAAAGATTTTAAAATACAGCATGAGCAGAGAGACAGCTAGCAGTGAAAAGACTAAAAAAGGGCCTTTTAGTATGAACAAAGAAGAGGGAGATTTTTCAATGTCTAGCATTACATAAAAAAACATGCCACCAGTCTTTGAACAGTCTTTGCAAATAGACTTAGCGATTAATCAAACGTGTCATCTCTCCTCATCTGTCAGCGTGTTAGAAATTGTTTCTGTGAAGAATAGCCCAGCCTTTTTCCCAGACAAATGGACAAAAAGAGGATATTTCTTATGTTCGTATGTTTTAGCTTCTTTACATGACAGAGAACGACATTCATCACAGTGGAGGCTGCTTTGCTGTTTGGGAAATTTTGGTAGCTTTCCTTGAAGTCAAAACTGACCTTCCACTTATTTTGCAAATGGCTATAAAGACTCTATAAAACTAGTCTGAACTAAGATTCAACCTTTTGAAATAACTGTTGAAGTTAAAACGAACCAGAGAGTTCCCTTTAGAAGGATTAAAATAAGCATGACATAGAGCATTTAAGTATGCCTCCGAGTCCTAATCAAATTAAAGTCTTGAATTTTAGCAGATCCTTCTCACGGCAAACTATATCATTTTAAAATACTTTACTGATTGAAAAAAGAAACAAATCCAAGAAAAAATAAACTGATTCAAACATAGCTTTGTAAAATGACAGAAAGACTGTTTATCATGCCTAAATCTGAGAGATGATGGATCACAAACTACATGATTAGCCAAACTAAATCCCCCCACTTGGACCAAACTCTTACACACACTCTAACAGATCAGTTCAAAGCATAAATAACAATACCAGCGTGTATCCAAACCCAGGAAGTGATGTGGGGTTGGGTCTGGCCCATTAGGGTATTTAATACTCACACACTGAAGATCTAGCTGTAATTAGACATGCTGACCATCCCCAGTTAATGCCGACCTTCTCCGAACAGGAAAAAGCGAGTTTATTGAGTTTTAGCCTGTGTGCACTTGTTCACATGGACATGCTTTGATTTAAACCCTTCCACATTAGCTCAGGCTCTGTGTTTACAGCCCTGGTGGATGGTACACTTTAGCCAGTCGGAAGTCAAGTCCTTTGTATCCTCCACCACTTCAATATTTAGCTCTGTCTATTATTGCATCGACTCTAATCAACTTTCTTGTATTCACTGAGACGATGTGTCCATCCAGCTTGGACAGCAATATGAACTCTATTAATTCTTTTGTTTCTCCTCAAAATGATTAAAAATGAATTTTAGGACAATTTCATTCATCCATCTATTTTCTGACACTCTTATCCCAAGCAGGGTGGCGAGGGGTGCCCATCTCCAGCTGTCTACGGGCGAGAGGCGGGGTCCACCCTGGACAGGTAGCCAGTCAATCGCAGGGCAACATAGAGATGTACAAGACAAACAACCATTCACACATGCACTCACACCTTAAGAGAATAAACCTAACAGTCATGTTTTTGTACTATGGGAGAAGTCGGGGTACCCGGAGAGAACCCACGCATGCTCAGGGAGAACATGCTAACTCCAAAAACACCCCAAGCCAGGAACTGAACCCAGAACCTTCTTGCTGCAAGGTAGCAGTGCTACCCAATGCGTTACTGAGCAGCCCGACAATTTCAGAAACATCGTTTATAAAATACCAGGTTATAACTCTTTTAAATATAAAGTTAAAAGCACTTTATACTTTTATTCAGAAACTGGTTTTGGTCAATTATTATTATCAATAATTTGTAGAAGTTCAAGAACAATTCCAAGTAAAACTCCTTCCAAAGAAAACCCTTCTTGATAATGACATTACTACCTGACTGTACAGTTTATCAGGTGAAGACAGATACTTTAAGCTGAGAGACCGAGGTGTTTTGCTGCAAAATTGAAACATTGTGAGAGAGAAAGAAAGAATGGCTGTATTAGAAACAGATGTACTGATATTAGTCATTGGAGCAGACCGCAGATTAGTGTAATAGACATCTCTAGAGTTAAAGTCCCTAGGTGAGGAAGATCACCCTGCCTGAACATAATATTCAGACATTTTTTCCTTCATCCCTCTGTCAGATGTTTTTCAGGGGAAACAGGATAAGATGCAAGCTTTGAGATTGAGCCAGTACAGTAGTCAGAGTAAAAAGATTTATGAATGGATCCTGCACCTGTCCTCTTTGCTGTCCAAAGTATGTTGCCTAAAGTTGATTAATGCGATTGGTAGCATCAGAGTGCTGCTTACCATTACTTATGATGGCAGTGAAAAGGAGATGAAAAGGAGGAGGATGGGTTCTGGTGTCTGTTATACAGTTTGCCCTGAGGTCCTAGTTCAATAAGCAGAGGTTAGCAGGGGCAAATGAGAGACAGGGGAAAGGCTTTCAGGGGGAAAAAAGAAAACAGATAGGACAGAGGGCAAAGAGGATTCATGTAAACATGGAGGAGGCTCCGGTGAGGTATGTGGGAATGCATCAGGGTTGATGTCATTCTGCTCCACAGAGGCTAAAAGGCAGGGCGGACCTAAAAGTCAGGGGCAGAGCTAGACATTCTCATCATCAGGGGCTTAGCCCATCGCTGCACTCTTTTAATAAACAAAAGCTAATTTATTCAAACTCAGTATCGTCATAATATCACATCTATGGTCCCTTCTTAACAACATAACATGATGCTAGCAGGGAGCAGAGTTAGCTAGAACTACGAATAAAGTAATCAAGTGCATGGGGCCATGACAGGTTGGTTTTCACTCTGCGGCTGACTACTACCAACCAGATAAACCCTCGACAGGAGCTCTGGCTTCTGAAGGAAGACAATGATGGGAGGCGTTTCCCTGGTAACGCTGTGCATCTACCTCCTGAGCTGTTTGACACCCAGAAACTTTTTAAGGGATAGTTACGGCGTGTGAAGTGAACACCCCTTCCTGTTGTGGTTACATATTGTCACAGATGACAATGGTTTATCAACACTAATAAAAATAAAAACAAAGTGATCAGTAGCCAAAAATAGATCCAGGGCTTTTGAAAAAAACATTCCAGCATTAAGCTGTCCAGAGCCAGAGACCATGTCTCTGATGTCCTCTCGTTTTTCACAGGCATGTTTCACTGTTTGATGATATAGTGGTATCCCCCCAGTTAGTTCAGGGCATAGAGTTACAATCTACCCACAGGCACCATTACAGTCTGCAGTCCACAGATGCAGGGCCTGGATAAAAGCAGCGGCTTCACAGACAGAGCAGGTGAAGTCTGCATAACTAATGACGGAGTGAGGCTCCGAGTCACTGCCGAATAGAAGGTGGCTCACATTTCCACACAAAAATAAGTAAAACAACTCAAATATGCATTGGTCCTCCTCATACAGCTTCATTAAAATACAATTTTTTCAACAAAAGATAAAACACAGCTCTAAGTTATTTATAAATAAATAAAAAATAAGACTTTGATGGGAGATAAAAATGCTCCCACTCAGGGATGCCCAGATAGAAGAGCTATTTATTGTATTTCCGCAGTAAAACCTGCTGAAACCGTAACATATTTTCACACCAGTCGTACAAAGAAAAAGTTTACAGTGGGAGTTTATTTCCTCCGCTCTACACGGCGTAATACTAGCCCCTTTTTATCCTAAAATAACCTCCTAGGTTCCTGCTCTCTGGTGAAAAGATGTCTCAGCTTCCCTCCCCCAGAATGCACTGGGAAAGGTCAAATGTTTATTAGCTACTCATTAAACACCTGGGGGGAGTCAGAGAATTTGGGACACTCTCACATAAATTATATCTTGTAAAGGAAAACTAAATCTTTATTTGTTACTGCTTAATGTGAACTCAGAGGATTAATTTAAATGTTTGGTGGTTATTGTAGTTTTCCCCTCATGTTTCTAATCTAAGGCAGCGGCTGCTTGGCTATTCCGGCATCACCTGTAGCTACTCAGAGCACGGGGGGGGAAATGTAACACAAACACTCTGCTAATTAGCCCAATTAAGTCATTATGCAACACAAGCCAGAAGTCTGACAGTTTGCGCCCCTCCGGCTCTGCTTCTAAAGATCTGGGCTCAGTTTTACTCCCAACTTTCCCACCAGATTCTTTCTGCATTAAGTGAAGCAGAAGGCAACCTGGGGTCTGTGAGGTTCAGATGAATACAGTGTGTGGATTTGTGAGTTTACCTCTCCGGACATGTCGGGTGCCAGGGTAATGAGGGGCCAAAGGGAGGAGTAGGTGATGAAAAACACCACCCACAGGCCGATGCTTCCCCAGATGGCAATGTGACTGAACTGTGAGAACATGGAAACACAGGCAAATCATTTACTGCATTACTGCAGATGCTTCTCTAACTTTTTTTTTTTAATAACATTTTTAGCCCAACCCCCCATTTTCTGCTTTGGTGTGTGATGGTTTGCACAAGGGAACACGCTTGAATGAAGTTCCACACATTTCACTGGTTACAGTTACAAGCCCACAAAGAAGGAACTATAAAGATGCTTTAAGATAAAGAGAGCTGCATGTAGAATGTGTCAGAAATACCAGAGGAGATACAAGCAGTCAGAGAGTCTTTAACTCACCGTGGTCCAGGATGACGTCTCCAGACCCGCTTTAAGACAGACGGTGATGACGACAAACTGTGGAAAACAACAAAATACAGTTTTAAAAAACAACCAGTTTGAATTCCTATAAAAAAGTTATTATTTAGATTGCTTTTTTTAATCTCCAAGAAATAAGTATTCTTTTCATCCATGCACCAATTTGCTGCCTGACTATTTAAGTACAACATGGTGTGATTATACTCCTATAGCCTAAGTTTAAAAAAAGTTTTTTATGACATTTTTTTTATTTATTTTACATTTGATTATATCTACCTGGGGTAATACTCAATGTGAAGCATTCAGTCATATTTTTCAGAACTCCATGTTCATCAGAACTTAAATCTGACTGGGGGTCATCCTGTTCACTGATATTACCTTTTTCTATCCTTATGTTCAACTGCACCAAATAAGATGTTTCTAAGGTTGGCTTTTACTCCGTTAGTTTGGTTAGTTTTTTATATAAACTTTATTTTATTGGAGAGTTCAAGTTGGTGGACCTTTAGATTTATAAAGCACATAGGTCAAATCTAGGCTGAATTCATAGAAATGCTTTATTCTGTTTGTAAAACTTTAAAAACCTGGTTTTAAAACTCCAAACAGTTTTGGTTTAAAGGTACTCTGTGAGTGTAGATGGCAAAAATTGTATATAAATAATTATCAATGTCCATTTTTAGACCTTAATACTCTGAGACCCAGACATACACACAGATTTGTAGTGGTTCCAATATATGATTATGTGCTAAAGTAGAGAAATGAGAGATAAAACTGATGAAGAAAATACCCAAAACATTTCAATGTGAAAAAAACACCAATTTTAATCTTTTAAAATAGCAGAAAAGTTCAGTTTAAAAAAAAAAAGTATATATATATATATATATATATATATATATATATATATATATATATATATATATATATATATATATATATATATATATATATATATATATATATATATATATATATATATATATAGTCTATTCTTTCTCATCTATATATGGAAAATGATAAACAGCAAATTTCAGATTTTTCAAGTCTGCATCTAATCTCAGCATCCTGGTTAGATCACAGGTCAAACTATAGTTATTAAAAGAAAATCTGAAAAAACATTAGGATCAGATTAAAAAGAAATGGAAAGGGGTGCGATCCAAGTTTGTAGAAAATAATGTGCTTTTAAATAATATCTGTGGGATCTGAGCAAATGTGTTGTACCTCATCTTCACAAATAATGACAGTACTAAATAGCTAAACAAATAATAAACCAATATACATTGGTTTAAATTCAGAAGAACAAAATGGAAGAAGCAGGGATTAAATAAAAAACTAAGTGGGGATTAAAGGTTTGAGCACATAAGGTACAAGCACTCTTTCTTTACAATATCTATCTATCTATCTATCTATCTATCTATCTATCTATCTATCTATCTATCTATCTATCTATCTATCTATCTATCTATCTATCTATCTATCTATCTATCTATCTATATATAACTCACATCTATAGTATCAGCTAGACTGGTGAACTTACTGTGTAGACCATATTTCCTAAGAGCAGGTAGTCTGGAGTTTGTCCGCTACCAAACACCGTATCTGAAAGAGAAATCAACAAGATGCTTTCAGGAATACCACGGTTTTTCTGAAGCTCTCAGGGTTTCCCCACAGTCATCAGGATCTGTTGGGTTTTGTCCTGATTAGAGCCACATCCCAATATTAACAAAAAAACTCATTCAAATCATCTTCCCTTCTCTTCTATTCAGATTTTATCGTGAATATGGTGATGACTGCACAGTTCATATTATCCACATCCGTATATGTGAAGGCTAATAACCCAATAATGTTAACTTTGTTTATTCACACCACATTAAAGCAAGGGACTTTGCAAATGCTTTACAATCCTGATCTGAGCAGTAATATCAAATGATTCATTGTGTTTAGGACCATAGATGGTATTTAAGGATTATTTGGAAAATCTGTTGATTCAGTGCATCTCTATGTTTTACACAGATTACCATAAATAACATGACAGAAACACTAAAAAACAGTCATAGATCTTGTGTTTTCCAGGACTTTTGTAACTTATCAACATTTTAAGTTACATAAAAATGCCAAACTAGTTCAGGAGTAAAGGACATCAACATGTTGATTGGTTATTACGAGAAGCAGTGCTTGCAGCAGAGGGTGAATAAAAAAACATGCCTGGAATAATGGATTGAACTCTAATCATAATTGTAATATGTAATTTTTCAATCACAAAGGAGTACTTGGATTTATTTATTCATTTTTTCCATCTTCCAATTATGCATAGTCTGCATGCCAGTGATGTATTCGGTCTGCTGGAAGGATTTTTTGGCTGTACATAGATTTATTGCTATGGACGGTCTGATGATACTGATGATACACAGTCTGCATTAATATATCTATTCTCTATCTGCATCTTTTGGGGAAAGCGGTCTGCATTAAGTTCTACTACACGGAGGCTTTTCTGACAGTTTATAAGTAAATCACATTTAATAGGCTGGTTTCTATTTTAAGATGAAAATGTAGGCATTATATCTGACCTGCATTTCCAAATTAGATTAGAACAAACGGATTGCTTCAGAACACAGGAGTGAGTTTGGGTTAGAGCCAAGGCCACAATATCAGCAGTATGTGACTGTCAGTGAATAAAGAATCAGAGTTTCCCTCCATTTCCGGCTGGTAACCTGCCCCTGTGTGCTCAGAGACTTTGCTGACAGCCTGTCAGTCAGAGTGAGGCGGCTCGGCGCCTTTGTTTGGAAGGCAGGCCCAAGCTTGTGTGGTCCTCAGCTCTGTCCAGCCAAGACTAACAGGCTAAAGACTCCCTATTCTCTTTACCAAACAAAAACAGATAGAAACCTTTAGTTTTAAAATGAACAAAACATTTCAAGGTTTTCTGAAAGCCAATTATACGCATTTTCTCAACAGACATTAAATGTCCCTTATAAATTCATTTGTGTGATCATTGTTTTTTGTTGCCTCTAACTGCACAGAAAACATCTAGGCTCTCGTTTAGAGACTCAAATATGAACACATGGTAATAGCTGCATGTGGTTCTGACCAAACATGCCACATGTTTGCAATTCATGACTGGAACGGCCAAAGAGAGAAGTAATTAAGACAAAGTATGCGAGCTTGACTGTTTTCTCTTTTCATTCAGTCCATTGAGAGCTGCAGAGGAGTCGCTGGGAGCCACTAACCATGGTGGAAGGCTTTCAGGGGGAACCAGAAGAGGATGACGGAGTGGAAGAGGCCGTTCAGACAATGAGCCCAGAAGACCTGCAAAATAGAGGCAGGGGGGGATGGAGGAGGAGGAGGGGGAGAGGGGGGAAGAGTGAGAAACAGAAAGAGTAAGAGAGAAGAAAAAGAAGCATGTGAAAAGGGTGTGGGGAGCACCAGGTGACCCATGACCTGGTCCCTTTGTGCCAGCCCAGTGCTGGGCTAAGTGGCGGTTTTGTCGGGGCCTCCTCACTGAATAGCCACCCCGCTGACAGACACGCTGTGTATCATCTGAGTATTATGGGGGAGAGAGAGAGGCTACCCAGTATGTGAAATGATCAATGTTTTGGTTTTAATCATTTTTTCTAATTCACAACAGATAAACTCAAAATAATTTACCAAAAAAACGGATAAATCGGAACAATTTTACTGACTCAGAACAGCAAACAAAATTATACTAAGAGGTGCAGAGGAAAGGTTTACCCTCATTAAACATCATTAGATTTTAGCTCCTTTTTGAAAAGATTTCAACCAAGGTGGTAATAAATTACAGGAGAGTTTAAACAAGTAAAACAAATCAGTGTAAAAACACACAGAGACTGACAGGCGGACAGAGATTAAACTGTTTTTTGGGTAATTATCAGGAGCCTGGAAAATGGAGGCATGGAACACCATCTGCGTGTTTCCGTCTGTGCAGACGTATATGCTTTGGATGAGTTGCCTAAACCAATACTCCCACTCTCCAACACCACCTTGTTTCAAAATTTATATCAACTCACCTTCCAGAGCCAAACAAAACATTGAAGGGACGTGTAGCATGAAACAGCCGTGAAATCTGTCCAGCAAAAAAAAAAAAAAAAAACGAAGAAAGGAAAAGAAGAGAGAGGCTTCTTCCCACTTCTCTCCTCAGACAGATAACGTTTAATTTATTACTAATATATATATTAGCAATTAATGTTCTCTCTGCAATAGAGACTCTCTCAGCGCTGTCATTTAGAATAAATCCAGACCGGTGGGTTCTTGAAGCTGAAGCTAACGGCTAATCCAAGACAGAACCAAGACTTGAATCGTTTTAAAACATCTCAAAAATATCACAGATTTATGTGGATGATATTTCATGATCCAGTACTCTGTATAGTTGGTGATTATTTACAATTTAGCTTTGATTATTCACACAGGAAATGGAGGTGGGAGGTCAAACCTAACCAATGACTGCTGTTGTGTGAAACGTATGCTGAGAACAAAATATTTTCAGCTACACTGCTGGTATAAGAGCAGAACAATTTCAAACATAAAAAACAAGATTCAAGTTATTACCAGATTCATTATTTATCTTTTTTTGTAGAGGCCTGCTGCTTGCTTCACCCTAAAGAGCCAAATAGTCTGAAATTATGCTAAATGATTGTCTCTAAAAGAATGCCAAAGAAGACACAGACCTTGTATTCATACCTCCCTTAGACTTTTCGTGTCACCACAAATCTTAATAGATTTTATGTGATAAACTGCATCACAATAATATGCAGCTAAAAGTAAGAATTCCATTACTTCATTATCCCAAAATAAAATCAGCAATCCAAATGCCAAATATTCACCCAATTAGTAAGCAGACCTGATGAGATTGTTTTTCTCTGTCTATAAACAGCTGTCCTGTAAAGTCCTCAGGGGTTTGTTAGAGAAATAAGAGAATATGTCTTCATTAAAGCAAAGAGGAGCTGAAATTATACAGGTTCCTGAAGACCAGCTAACTCATCCACAGGGCGGGAGACGATGCTGTGAAAAAGCTGGTTATTAAACAACATCCTAACTGTCCTATCGTATTAACATTTAAAAAGACAAGACCATGAAAGCCAGGAGAAACCTGCTCTGTTATTCGCCAAACATGGCGGTTTTCTAATTGGATAAATAATAACTAAACCCGATGAGTTTTTGCAACTCAGAGATCATCACCTTGAAGAGACCATCCCTACCAAATAAACATGGTGGTAACTTTATGCTATGAAAAGTCTTTTTTTCCTTCACTGGGGGTAGAACAAATGGTGAAACTGAAGGAAGTCATTCTAGATGATGTTAGTACTTAAAGGTCCTGTTTTTTCCCCCAGATTCCCAGCTGAAAACACAACACAAACCCCTCCTCAGGTATAAATTCACACAGGGAATGTTTAAGCCAAGTAGCCCCTAGTTTTGTATCAACATGGCTGCCACAGGCAGAACGCAGGTAAAGTTGCCAGATTTAACTATTTGTTAGGAATAATGATGGCTCATAGATTCATCTGTTGGTTGACATTTTCTCTAGAATATTACCTTCAGATGCACAACTAATCAAAACACAGCCATGGTATATGGTAGAATAGCTTTACAGACTAAAAAAAAGCAGGACTGAAAAAATCAAAACTAGAAACACATTTGTTTAGGATTGCCTTCGACTGTTCTAGTTAAACAGTTCAACTGAAAAATCATTAGTTCAACTTTTTTATTTTCTTTAGTCCAACTGATTTTTTGTTTCTGCATTTTTTATTTTATTTTTATATTTCCTACTTGCTTTGATTCTGTTTTATTTTCCTATATTTTAATCATGTAAAGCAATTTGCGTTGTTTTTGTACTGAATTGTCCTATACAAATAAATGTGCCTTGCCTTCCCTTGCCTTACAGTAAATGAAGATGAACATTTAAGTTAAACACATTTTAAAAAATAATTAAAAGGCAAGAATTTCAACCTTTAGATGTGCAAAGCTGAAAAAAACACCAAGAAGACTAAAAAGAATGACAGAAATATCGAGTTAACCTTTACTAAAATGTGGTTTAAAAAAAACCAAAAAAAACCCCAACTTATTTATCTTTGGAAAACAGTCTTTAGAGACTATCCACATTATAGCTCTCCATTTTTTCTAGAACAAATAAAATCTAAAAAAGATAACTGACGTTTGTTGTTGCGACATGAGTGCATGTAAACAAGTTGAACAGGTCTTCATTTAAGACCTTTCTGACAGAATTATTTTTCACATATATATCTTAGTAGCAAAAGTACGACGGAGTATTAGGGCCACACATGAAGAGAAAAAATATTTTTGCCATGACGAGATTAAACTCGACATGTCGACTTTAAAGTCGACATGTCGACATTAAACTCAACATTTCGAGAATAAAGTTGAAATGTCATGTTGAGTTTAATCTCGACGTGTCGACAATAAAGTTGAAATTAGTTCAAGAGAGCCAACCGCTGCACAGGTTACATGCACAGAATCCAGAATCAGACATGCCTTGTGTAGATGATTTGGTCAAATTGTACTTTCTGTGATGATTATACAGTTATACAGTTGCAGCACGTCAAAGACTACCTTCACTCTTAAAACGCAGACTGCAGCTGTGGAGCGCGGTTGCTCTTTTCTCCAAACGCAGACTGCAGCTGTGGAGCGCGGTTGCTCTTTTCTCCAAACTTTGGAATGTCGAGATTAAAGTCGCCACGGTATATCAACTTTATTCTCGAAATGGCGAGTTTAAAGTCGACAGGGCGAGTTTAAAGTCGACACGTCGAGATTAAACTCAACAAGACATTTCAACTTTATTCTCGAAATGTTGAGTTTAATGTCGACATGTCGACTTTAAAGTCGACATGTCGAGTTTAATCTCGTCATGGCAAAAATATTTTTTCTCTTCATGTGTGGCCCTAATACTCCGTCGTACAAAAGTTAGAACCTGAAAGCAGTAGTAAACTTATTTACCAAGTAAGTCTAAAAAAACTGGACATGGCATTTCGATGACATCCAGAAAAGTGAATAATTTGTGGGGTTCTGGAAATATTTCATGTTCTAACACTTCATCTCATCTTTGTTAATATACTGTGACCTCAGCGCCGCAGCCTCACCTCCTTCCCACCAGCCAAACACAGCCTCCTGACAGCTACCCCCACCCTGGATTAGCTCACCCTCCCACTGTGTACACAACACCCAATCCACAGAGCGAGGGTGGCCTAAAGAAAACCCACTGTTTCCTCGGCTCTTTGGTCAAACGCGTATTAAATAATCACTAATGTTACAATCACAGGTCTTACTCAATTAGCCTCCCGCTGACAGGCTCAGCTCTCTGTCAGCTTTCCCCTCCGTTATCCCTTCACGGTCCCTGCAGGAGGGAGAATGAGCCTCTGGGTTCCTGCCCACAATAACGAATGCTAATGAAATCGATAAATGTTCATAATCGTTTGTCACAGTGGGATCCTTTTCTTCAAGCAATCAATCCACCTGGGGAACTCCTTGCTCTTGTTCTCTCCTCAGGCTGGTTAGGATCCACTCAGAATGAATGGCTGGTCTGTCTGGGAAAATTTGGCCCTTTGTGGAAGCCTTAATGGCCAAAAAAAGCAGAAGACATGAAAGGCAGTAATTAATATGGAGCCAAATATTTCCAGAGCAGCCCTCTCTTTTCTGTTTCTTTATGAACGAATGAGGAGGGAAGGAGAGAAGGAGAAGCTGTTAAAGAGCTGGTAGTTCTAGTTATTAGGGCTGCAAAGGGCTTTATTAGTTTACATGGGAACCAACTATGTCCTTAAAAGTAAATGAGTGACAAAGTTGAAGCCCCCAGTGTGAGCCTCTCCCTGCTCACACCTCAACAGCTTTAATTCACAGAGACAGTATCTGTCGGGTACAAAAGAGCTGGGCCCGCAGAAAGACAGGTTTCGGAGGGGCCAAATTCCTGATGGATTTTCTCGCCTCGCCTCGGGCCAGCTGCAAGGAAAATATCTCTGGAAGAGAGTGGACAAGCCAGCAAAAACAACTTGCTGACCTGCCCGAGTCATCATTTATGGGTGTTGGAAAATGTGGCCCGAACAAAATTCAGGTTCATTTGCCTCTAACTATCAAGGGGAATACTTCTGTGATCCTTGTTTGGCACCAGGAATACTTAATGAAATATCTACAATGTTTAACGATGGAAAAAAAAAATCTATCTGAGAACAAGATTCATGTAAAAAAACAACAGTTAGCTGTACAGGAATATAAATTAAACTGGAGGTATAACTGAGTATTTATTAAAAGAAAAGCATTAATAGTTTAATAGTTTCTTTAAGTGAATTAATAAATTAAACTGGAATGAATAAAGCTTTATAAAATTATTTTATAAAAAACCAAAGACATTAATTTAAGTAGAGAGAATATAATGTACAAACTATGGAACATGTAATATATACATTAGGTGTATAAAAAGACTAAATCTAACAATATCGATAAATATAATTCATTATTACATCAGAAAAAGAATCTAATTTATCTGAAATACGTTAAATTAATTTTTTTTTTATAAATAAATAAACTATTAAAAATTAGACAAATAAATGCTTTTATCAGTCTGTTGACCATATTCATATGTCAAAAGTGGTAAGTTCATATGGTAATAGAGTCCAATATTTATTTATTTATTTTTTTAATTTACAGCTGAAGAGGAGTCTGTATCAGAAATGGTCCATGACATTCGGTCCTGTGTTGTTTAAATGTGATCTGATGGGCCATGGCCTCCAAACATAGCACCCCTTTCCTTAAACAAATTGCTTAATTTTCCGCAACAAATGCTTGTCATATAAGGACAACATGCTCTGGGTTTTTCTCCCTGTCTCTCTTTGAACCTCATCCCAACACTCATGTGACCTCTCCTGCCCCAGAACACCATGGCCAATCCTCCTTATAATCCCCTTTCCTTGTGGAGCTAACCGGGTCACCACGCCTGTGAGGAAGGTCCAGGAGTCTGTGGCTGGGCATGAAGAAAGAAGGAGACAACTATATTACCCAGCAGGGGAAAGCTAACGAACAGCACCCCCGACGCCACCCACAACCAAACAGAAGAGGTCAAACTCAGCCGAATCAGGCACAGAGAGGAGATCCAGTATCTGCAGCTGCCGGGTCACTGAGGCAGGAGATAAATCCTTCAGGGCAACAACAGAAACATCTCCTTTCATTAATGTGATGGCAGCTGGCTTTAAAAACAGGAAGGGTTGACCTTTTAAAATGTTTAACTGAATATTCCTTTCAAATTTAGGGAGTGACGAGTAAACTTTTTCACATTTTCTTTTTGTTTTTTTTTAGAGAGACCTGATAATTTCTTATCAATAAGTCCTTTTGTCAAATCAATAAAATGATAAATACATGAAATCTATATCATGAAAAGCATATCATTAGGCAGTCTTTTGTCTTACCTTGGTGTTGAAGCCCATTGCATTCTGGGAGGTTTTGTAAAGTTCTGGGTATTTCAGCATATTTTCTTTCCTACAGGAGCGCTCGAATATTCCCAAAGTAAGAGGTGGTAAGGCAGTAAAGATCTACAGGAAAAAGCAAAACACGGAATATCTAAATTCATTTTCAAAAAGTGTAAATGATTAACCGATATTAATGCAGAGATAAATGCTCTGATCACAGGAATTCAGTTGATTTTAAGCTTGATCCTCCCTGACCAGTGACCAGCTGAGTGAAAAAACTAAGTTGTAGGAAATCTAAACAAAAACATTCTAGACAAAATAAAATACAATAATATACACGATGTAGGAAGATGTAAAAGAGGGGGGAGTATTAGATGTATTGTATATGATGAGCTCTAGCCTAAATGGTGATCTAGAAAAGACTTGTGTGATGCTGATTGAAGCACGTAGCGCATCTAATTTTCCAGTTGGGGATGCAAAGGCAGATCAGAGACAGTCCTATGATCCCGTGGCCAATTTATCCTTCAACTATCCTCTATTCAACTCACAGAAACCATCTTGGAAAAAGTGTGTTGATAAAACCTTATACAAGCAGGTGATCGCATTCTTATTAAACATATGAAGTAGCTCAATGATCAGAATAGCAAGAATGGGTGAATCAGAAATAATGATAAGAATGTAAACCTGTTCAAGATGTGTGGCCATTTTTTGCTACAATTCATCATCATGGCACATGATTTGTTTATTTTCTTATTTCTCTGCGTTGATAACTACAAGCTTGTTTATCTTCTTTTTGGTTTTATTTCTTATATCGACCAATCACAGCTAGCAAAGTTTTAGGTTTTCTGCCCCCATCATTTGAAAGAAATTACAGTCTGAACTTCACTTTCAGTAGTTCAAAAATGTTTCACAAAACATTTCAATCAATTATGTCTGTGTGTAAATGTTTTAAGAGAGAATTTCTGCAAGATCTGAACAGTTATTCCTGTTACACTTCGTATTGATGCCTTTGCCTCTTATTTAAATTATAAGCAACATATATCTATTTTTGTTTTTTGAGTTTTTACGGTACTAGTGGCTTGTTTTTTCGACAGCAAGCTGACATGAAACTGGGTATGAGAGAGGGAGAGACATGCGGGAAACGACCACAGGCCAGATTTGAATCCCAGTCACCCATGTTGTACATGGGTCGTGCACGCTAACCTCTGAGCCACCTGCACACCCCAAAAACATATATCTGTATTGTTATTCTTAGAAATTGTTATAGTTCACGTCAGGCTTTACAAAAAATGTGAGATTATTCTGTTGTGTGCATTCATGGTTGATAACTAATTTTAGTTTTTAACTAATGACAGATGACTGTTTTGATTCTTCCCCATACCTCCATATGTTTCATTTACTGGAAATTTGTTTCAGTCTGTTCTCCAGTTGCACTCTGCTTAAGTCTGATAATGGAAGACCACTGACCTTGAACCCTTTTGGGGTTTGTTTTGATTGGTCACGGTTTCAGTCTGTTCATATGCAAAAACCTATTGCCCAATAAACATCTGTGAAAATCTGGATCAAGAGGCAGGTATTTAAATCTGGCTTAAGTGTAATTTCTTAGAGATGTTGTAATGTTCTATGTAGCAGCTGCTAAAGGAGAGCAATGGTATTGTGTAGCTAAGAGGGCTCAGTGGGCCAGTTGGTGGGAGATGACTGCAAGCCCATCTGGAGGGGGAGTTTGCAGGCTTCAGGTTTGCAGGACTTGCAGGCCACAGGACACGCTCCATTGGGTTCCCTTTCTTTTTCACAGCCAGGCCCTGGAAGACTTCTATTGAAGGGCGGATTCAGGCCAATGCATCTAACAGACTCCCACTCAGCCAAAGGATTTCTCCAAGTTTTTAAGATTCAAAAAGCTCTACTCTACCCCCCCCATTTGGTCATTTGAAATGGTGGTTTATTATGTCACTAAAAAAAGAGCCAGAACTTTTACAGTTCATGTTGTAAATTGTTTCCATATTTTGTGAATATTTCTCATTCTGAATGGAGCTAAATACGAGTTATTGTAGAGTTAACAGCACATTTTTATCCATTTATTTAATTGATGAGAGATATGACACATGAGCTCATTAGGAGTGGCCCTGTTATTGCGCCCTGTGGGACTCCCAAAATCAGCTCACTTGCCGCTCCAGTCTTCCCTTTCTTTTCATCGTTCAAACGTAGCTGATCTGAATAACTGTGCTCCTTGGCGAAAGCAAAGCTGTTATTCTTTCACATTCAGCACATAGCTTGGGGCACAGAGGGAATACAGAGTTGACATCTGGTCATAAATAACAAAGAGATTTCTCAGGATGTAAATGCCACACTCTAGCAAAGAACGGATCATTTGTGGGGTACCAGAGCTAAAATGTTTGGTGTCAAAGAGAGGATCAGGTAGAGGTGAAAAGTGGTGTCTTTAGAGAATAAAAGTTCCCAACACTCACCACATTATACAAGCCAATGCACCAGCGTTCGAAGAGGATCTGCCCAGAGAAGCCATTGACAAATGCAAACCAGATCTGTAATATATAAAAAGACTCACATTAAAATGCAGGAAAGTAAAATAACAGAAGATGACATGCATTGGCTTTAGTCCAAAACATTCCTAAAACTCTTTCCTAGTACAAGCATTTAAAGCTGTAAAACATAATAATTTTAGAGACTGATTTTTCCTTTTTTAAGGGATCCATGATCGGTTGTAACATTAGACTAGACTTCTTAATTGAGAAATATGTATTTACAATCTACAATACAATTCAGCAAACATATTACAAGCTGTTAAAAATTTAAAAAATTAAACTTAAATGAATAACAAAATAAAATACAGAGTTGTTTAAATCAAGTCAAAGCGTAATAAAACAACTCTTATATTTACTTTTATTGTCTAAACTTTACTAAATTCCGTTTAACACAGTTTTAAAATGAACATTTCCATTGCATAAAGTGCAGCAGTGATCAAATGTAAACAGTGTGGGAGGGAAAAAAACATCGTGCAAAAAAAACCCATTGATTTGGAAGCTCAGAACAATAATACTGTATATATATATGGTGCAAATATGCAGTATTTTTGGTTTGATGTTATCAGTGTGATGCAGAGTTTGTGACAACTCAGGATGATCTTTAGCCTTCCTGTGCTTACTTTGCAGGCTTAAGCCCAGTAGGACCTAAAGATGATATCAACACCTGTACTGCAGGTGAAAAAATTGGCGACCACCATGGCTGAAAAATATAACTATATATATATATATATATATATATATATATATATATATATATATATATATATATATATATATATATATATATATATATATATATTTAATATCATAGTAAATATACATTTTGTTATTGGGGAAAAATAAAGGTTGGTATCAAACATACAGCAGCTAATAACAAAAACACAATTTTGATTGTTTTACAGTTAGAAAATTTCTCTCAGGACAAAAACTAAAAATAACTATGTTCATTGTTTTTTTTTTTCAGATAAAAAAAACACACACAAGGTAAATAAGCACTTTACCAACTCATGTTAGCCTGTAGGGGAAACGACACATCTCTTACTGGAAAGCTGTTCCTCTAAGCTGAAATTTTTTAGTAACAAATACTAGAAACAAACCAATGACATAAACTCCTTTAAACATGTAAAAGAACTCAGAGGAGCTAGGAAATTCCTGACTTCATATTATAGTGACCTCTGTTCAAGAAGTCCAACCTTGTAAATGTTGAATAAAAATGACCTAATTTATGAATTAGTAAATAAAGGTGGGTTACTTTCAAATGCTGCCCTGGAATCAGCATGTCATTAGTTGGACATGACCGAATTCCTTAAAAATTGATGAGGATCTAATGAGGAAAAAGTCTTCATCCCCTCAATGATCATCATGGGCTTATATCTAAACTTAAATCGACAGCTTTACTCTGCTCTACCTGACAACATGTGGGTGACCGATGATGTTAGCTACACTGCTTAAGCGACTTAAGTAATCTGAATGAAGCACACAAAGGTAATGCAAACCAGCTGTTGGGTAGAAATCAGAAAATAACCTATAGTTGTATTTGAAGGTAGCAAATAAGGTTTAGAAAATCTAGGGGCAAAGAGGGGTACTCTAAAGTTGAGCCAAACTGAAAACCTATGGAAGCTATGATCAGAAACTGCACCCCAAAGTGTTGAAGCTTGACATTTCATGATCCAGGACAGGCTTTAGCTGCTGCCAGAACTGTCAAGTAAACATAAAGGAAGCTGTGTTTTGGCCATGGCCTACCAGGAATTTCCTCGCTTCATTTAACGTCATTATGGAGACATGAACTGCTACAAATTCTCAAATTGGGACAAAGCTTCCTTGATGGCCCCTCCTTTTGCTTCCATCGATGCATGCACGACCAACAGCAGCCTGCCCGCTGGTCTTTCCAGTTACTTAGGGTTAGCATATGAAAACAAACAGTGGGGGGCCGGTTGATAATTCCCGACTTTCATGTGTGCCCAGATTATTCCTTTCGTCTTCAGCCACGCCCACTAACAACCAATCCTCTATCATATTTTTTGGGGCCCAATGTTAAATCACATGGGATGTTCCAATGAAAATGGAACCAGATGGCTTTCCATGCAAAGACAATAGGACCACAACCTCAGATGTTATGGATCTCTGCTTATTTAGAATTGCATTCAGATGCCGTTGCTAGGAGTTATGAGGGGCATAGATGAAGCTCAAGTCATGAAGCAGGTTCAACTACCAGAATAGCTCAAGGGTTGGCACTGTGTGGCTTGTGGGTAGGTCAAACTGCTGAATTAATTACAGATCTGCTCAATAAGAGCCTCTGGGTCGATACATTGTTGAGCCAAGTTAAAAAAGCCTCCTATTCACATGGTGGGGTTGCTGCTTCTGTGTGAGTGCTTTGGCCTCGTCCTCGAGGCTTCTCTCTCTTTCTTGCTCTCCCAATCTCTTGAGGGACAGATGCATTGATTTGCTCATTAGGGGAAGTACAAGGCAGGATTTTACTTCCCCTTTTCTTCTCCTCATAGAGTGCCACTCAGTTGAGGGGTGTGGCTGGCCTCTCTCCCTCACTGCACATCATGAAAACATTGTTGGGGCCAAGCGAGAACTGAAGAGGGGGAAGAAAAAAAAACTGGGGAACAAAAGACCAAGGAGTCTTGCATATTCATCAGCAAAGGAAAAATCATTGATTCCGAGGTCGCTCCTCAGCGCTGCAGAGTTCTATAGGAGTTTTTGCCAGGAGGAGGTTGGGTGGGAATGACAGTATTCGCCTATACTGAGAGTCCTGATACTCTTAAGTTTGGCTCTGAAGAATTGCTAATGAAATTCCTTCACAAAGAGAGAAAAAACGGTGGCGATAAAGAGGGAGCTGATAAATATGCTGGAAATATGTGAAGCTTCAAACAGTGGTTGCATTACAATGCCAGCCTCTGTCTTCAACGATTAATTCAGTCCAAACTGGTCGGAAAGATTCCCTCCTCCACACTGAGCATTCCTAAACCACAGTGATCATGGCTGAATGAGAGTTCTTGTAATTGCCTCATAGGTACCACTTGTCTATCATGTCCCTGAGCAGCAGTCAATCAAACAAGAGTGGCCACAAAGATCATGCATATGAATGGAGTTGCTTTCATAAAGCTCCCACAGCTTTAAATTGGGTGAATTTAAAGCTTTTCATTGCTGTTCTTCATTCAGTAAATTACTTGTAAATTGTTCAAAAAGTCAAATTTGGGAACTAAACTTAAGGTCTGTTTAAATCAGTGTATTTAAAAAATACAGTGCCTTGTAATGATATTCAGATTCCTTGATCCTTTCTGCCTACAACTCATAAACTTTTATGTTTCTATTTTCTGAACAAGGCTGACTAAAAGTGGTGAAAAATCCAGAGAAGAATAAAAAAAAAAAATTAAAATAAACAAATAGAATAATCTGAGGTTAACATGACTAATAAACACAACAGTCAAAACAAATGTCTAAAATAGTCACCAAACTAGCAAAGTTTGGTGAAAATCAGCAAAAATGGCTTCAGGAGATCTAAAGCACAAATCAAACAGGTCAGGGATAAAACTGGGCTAATGTTTAAAGAAAAATAATATATACAACCATTCCCAAAAATTCAAATATCTGATGCAAGACCTAAAAACTTCCCATTCCTTCAATCTGAAGGAGACGTACCCAAAAAGCCTAATTGTGGTAAGAGTTAAAGAGCAAGTACAAATTCGGGGTAGATGAAAAAAGGAATTTGGTTATTATTAAAGGGACACTATGCAACATTTTTCAGTTAATTAATGTGTTCCATAACGTTATGGATGATTAAATGAGTCATTTCAGGTTGAACAAAGGTATTCTCGGCCGCCCTGGTGGTCTGTGGGGGAAATACTGCACTTGCAACTGCAGGAGCACCGACCCGCACCCACAGGCTCAGAAGTCTCGTGAGAGTCAGTCTTGCTTTACGGCGAGAACTGCTACACCCCCCAGTTAAAAGCATTCTCGTTGCTAGCACAGTGGCGATCTTTGTGCAGTTATGCTACGTTCACGCAGCAAAAGCAGCAAAATCGCGTCTGCTGCTTCCTTTTTGCTGCTTGTACCAGTTAGTTCTGACTCGTGGCTGAAGCAGCTTTGCTGCTCCGGCTGTGTCTGAGGCGCGTTGGGCGGAGCTTCACTATCCTTTCTCTGCCTTGCAGCTATATTTGCTGTGATCAGTGGGAATAAAGTAGTTTTAATATGTGTTTAAGTGAGAAAATACACCTGAAAACGTAATCAGTGCAGTCAGTTCATTCAGATTATTATCCTGCCTTCAATATTTTTTCTGTCGGAGCCGCTCAGACCCCCACATACCAGCGGGGCGCCAACAGTATGGATCCCTTCATCAGCAGCGGTTCACCGCGGCAGCTGGTAGGTGTTTTTCATCTAAATAATCCAAACTGCATATTCTGCCGGCAGATTTCTGCATTTTAAGTTAATTTAGGCGTCAATAAACTGTTTAAGAGGAGAGTCATCAGCGCTGTGTCTCTCTCCCTGCGTTAAACGCACCCGACGCGCTGCTTCAGCTGCTCAGACGTGCTGCGCCTGGTGCTCAAAACGCTCCGCGGGACCTTTTGTTGCGCCTTGACGCGCGTCAACCATTGACTTTGCATGTAAACTCGCTGCTTCTGTCGCGCCAGCTACGTCCAGTGTGAACGCAGCGTTAGTCATTCGCTGCTAAGCTCAAAACAACCGCGCCTGGCTTGATGGAGAAACCAGAACAGCTGTGCATATTTACGACAGTGCACTTTTACTTTCGCCCTCTGGAGGGAGCCTCACTGGAAAATCAACACCGGTTGCATAGTGTACCTTTAAAAATGGTGTATTAGAAGAATGTCCAAAAATACATTATAATTGAAGTTTTTATGTAAAACAGCATAAGGGCTAGCAAATCCCTTTATAGAGCTCTGTATTTTCATGTTAAACACTGCTATGAAGTCATGTGTGTGTGATGAGAAGAAATGGCATTTCCAATCAGCAGGTTCACTGAAGCCAGAAGAAACTCTGAAGTTGTTCTGCTGGTGAATGATCCTGATAAGAGACGGTCTTATGAAAGCATAATCAACCCTTATAATTATAACTGAGAAAAAAAACCCATTATGCTTCAAACTATGTTCAAGACTTCAACCATCGACCAAGGGCCCAAAAGCCCAGCAACCAAATGTGATTTCTAGAGATCCAGGGGAAAGAGATGCAGATGAAAAGAGACTTAAGCAGCTGGTCTCCCTGGCCTAGCATTCAGGTTTGACCTTTTATTGTATGGGGCATTGATGCAGAATTTGTATTAGGGTAACAGGAAAAAAACTCTACCTTAAAGTCAGTGAAATATATCAGTTCGTGCAGCAAACATAGCTTTTAACATACCCCGGAAGAGAATTTGTGTTTTATGTCTAGATACTACAAAGATTGAAGAGTGGAGCTATCTGCTGGTATTTGTTTCAGACCCAGAAATGGGATGAAGTGGCAAATATTTCTAGAGTGCCCAAGAAAGTGCACTCAAACTGTAAATGTTATGTTTAGGTTTTGGTAAAAAGCACTGTGACATGGAGCCTGGTGTGTTTTATATGGAAATCACACAACGAAAAGAGATAAATGCACAGGTTTGGATTTGATAACAAATGTTTTGCCTATCAGATATCATGAATAGAAAGGACAGAGATTTATATACGACCTGTAGACTTCTGACAACAAAAATATCCTTATCTCGTTTTTTATCCCATACATGAAGATATACGTTAGAACGGGTGGTGAAAGGCACAGATTAAAGTAATTTAATTTTTGAGCAAGACTGAAAAGTCTAAGGCAGAGTTCGTCATAAGTTAATCAACTTAGGCCAAAATCTAATTTATCCTTGGATTTCTGTGTATTATGTCTATTTAACCTGATCTTAAAAAGAGCAGAATAGTTGGAACAGATGTAATGGAAACATAAAGGACTATGTTTCTTTCTCCCAGTCGCATTGACAATAAAGAAGGCACACTCCAACGTCAAACATAGCAGACAGATTTTTAAAAGCATATAAATTTTAAATTTATCATATCATTTTCTGTCATCTTGAAAAAAAGCAATTCGTGGTTAAAGTGTCTCAAAAGAAAAACGCATAAAAAGTGCTACTACTTTATAGGTCTTTATTTAACGACTGCTTCTCATCTGCAAAGATGACAGAAAATGTCATGATAAATTTTAGTTTTATTCCATCCTTTGTCTTGCTTGAACTTTACAATTATTGATATTTTCATCAAACTTTTCATCTTCAGCCATATTGCCATTTTCAAGGGAATGCTGCTGGATATATCAGTACTGTGGTGGGCATCAATCCTAATATTGATCTGAGAAAGCCGGGAGATGTCTGAGGAGATCAGAGACAAGATGATCTATACCCACATGGAAGGTAAAATGGCTTCTACCTGAAAGATGATTCATCATCCTGGGAAAACAGTTTATAGCATCATCAAGAAACATAAGGTTTATGGCATTACGCTCGATCTTCCATGAAAAAGACACAAGGTTTATGTTTGATGTAAAAATGGTACAAAAAGAGCCAAGATGACCAAACCAATGCATTTACCTAAACCCGAAGGTTTATGGATTCGATTTACTGATTGTACATCTGTGCCATTTCGAACCACAATGAACTCCAAGGTAAACCAAAGGTGCTTAAGAGCCTTAAACCTACTGAAATATGAAAGGTGCATAGGTTTTTAATGAGGCTTCATATATAACAAAGCACCCTGAATCCATGCATTTAAGTATTAACTTTTGTAAATCTCAAGTTATTTTAGGGGTAGCTGTGTTTGTGTTTATTGTCAAAGGGTACCAACAGATTACTACCAGTAACAATAATAGTGTTCAGATAAGAACTGTACAAGATAAAGAATTAACATTCATTCACTATAAATATGGAAAGTTTAATGTAGGTTTCCAGGACAAAATGGATTAATGACGCAACATGAAAAGAAACAAGAAAGTGAGAGCTAAAGCTAAACCTCCAATACTGCGTTTCTGTATTTGAATATCATCAGTCTTTGAGACAGTGTGGTCAACCACTCAAAAGTGTCCAGGTTTGAATCTCAGAAGAGACACAAAGTGAAGAGTTGGAGGAAAAAACCCCCACAAAGAATGACGGCGATAAGAGCTGCTGGTGATTGCAGCTACTTAGCCTTCCTGGTGACTCTTGGCGATAGCTCTGAGCAGCTATCAGCTCTGAGCATGGTTTCTGTCCAATGCAATCAAACCCATCATACACAGTAAAACCAATACAGGGACTAACATGTCTAAATCTACCTAAAGCCTACTGACAACAGCGTGTTGTATTCCCAGCAGCAATGAACAGGTTTAACGACTGGATGTTGACATGGTTGCAGTAACTCAGGCCAAGAGCAAAAGGACCAAAAAGGTAAATAATAAATTACTACTACATTTAGACGCAAAGAAACAAGTACAACAATCCAAATATGGTTTTGTAGTAATTCCAAATTAAGCATTCCTCTATTAGCCAACTTTGAGATCTTTGCCTAAGTTAACATTATAATTGAATGTTGAATTCTCCGGATCATGAAAGAACTTAAGAAAAACAGGCAGATTCAATTTACCTTGTCCAAATGGTCAATTAACAGAAATATAAACCATAAAAACTAAAAGAGAATGGTATCTGTTTGTCATTAGCTCAATACTTTTTACATTAATCTTTGCAGTATTTTGTAACTTGGAAAGATAATTTGTTAGACTTACCTCAATGATATAGAGAACAATGTTCTTGTAGAAACAGTACAGGATGCACTTGGCTACGCGGTTGTAATTCCAGGCTCCATGGACGAGCAGCAGATTCTTCAAGTACTTGAACTGTGTGGGAGGGAGTAAATGGAGGGCAACGACATGATGATTGAAAAGCGGAAGCCTGAGTGCAGCACCAGTCTAATCGTTCTTCATAATTAGAGATCATAGCTGGAACACTGAAGCAGCTAAAGGAACTTAAAGATTAAAGCAAGTGTTCAGTCTTTTTCTCCCAGCAGAAATCTATAGGGCCTAAGTACGATTTTGGCCCAAATCTCTCACTCACGCATTCCACAAAAGGCCAGTCACACGCTGCAGGGCCAAGCTTTAAATTGCTGCAATTAGCGAGGTTCGTATAGGGGTATTGGTCTCCAAAGGCTGTGCATTACACTTCAGTGGCTTTATGATTACGCTATTATGTAGGGATCATGTTGAAATTTCATACAGAGTGTAATATTTGAGGTGATCTGTGTGATAACACTTGAGCTAATCCAAAGGCAAGTATTTTATCAAGAATCTGCAAACAAAGAAAGAAAAAAATAACAAGAAATCCTTGAAAGTTAGAGTGTAAACCAAATAAGACAATAAAAGGAGTAGATCTAATTCCCTTTGTATTAGATTGACTGAATGATCAATTCCAAAGTTTGTGAACGTTTGTAATAGTAAATAGTCTGTTAAAGTGCTTTTTTGTGTATGACCCACTTATATCTTGCTTACTGTAAGACTTATGGGATCTAAAACCAATACATCCTAAATAAATTGGGGGGGGGGAACTTAAAGGACTTTGAAATTTTCCTTTTTTCTGGTTGATGCTGCTCTTTCTCAGCCAGAATCTCAGGAACCCTAAATAAAAGTGGCTAAAACAAAAAAGCTAAGCTGTGTTGTAGCCTAAATACCCAACCTGTAAAATGATGAGGGCAAATTTTAGACTTTTTTAAGGCTGTGCAGAAACATCTACATTTCTGAGCTATGACCAATCTGTTCTGATGCCTTTCTGCTGCTGGTTGAGTGAAGCCAGTTGCACAGTGGTCCTTCAGAAGTAGCAAAATTCAAGATGGACTTGACATGCTGGATCCATCATCGTCCATCTTAATGATGTTGCAATAAATGCAGAAAAGTTTGAAACCTGATTCGAGTAGCTTGGACTTGGGCAATAAGAAGGATGGTTTTATTTAGTCAGATAAATCTGGATATTGGTTGAACACATCCCATGTAACCAGCATGGCCAGCAGGAGGGCAGGGGAAGGTTTAAGGAATCGAAGGGGAGACTGCTGCGTGTTATCCGGTCTTTAGAGAATGTGATTGGCTGCAATCTTCCATCATTCCAGGATCTGTACGCCTCCAGGATTCGGAGACGTGCAGGGAAGATTGTGGCTGATCCTTTGCACCCCAGGATCAAACTTTTTTATTCACTTCCCTCTAGCAGGAGGCTGTGGTCCATTAGGACTAAAAGCTCACTCCAGAAGAACAGTTTCTTCCCGTCCGCTACCTGCCTTATCAATAAGGACCAGTGACCCCTGTGACATTGACACCGCTTCTCTCCCTCCCCCTTTCAGGACCTAGAAGCTACACCAACGTAGCATCTCCAGACCCCCTGCATTACATTAACGCACAGTTTACTGTGTATATAGTATATTGTATGTTTTATATTGTATATATCAATAGATTCTGTATATATATACACTCACCTGCCACTTTATTAGGTACACCTGTCCAACTGCTCGTTAACACTTAATTTCTAAGCAGCCAATCACATGGCGGCAACTCAGTGCATTTAGGCATGTAGACATGGTCAAGACAATCTCCTGCAGTTCAAACTGAGCATCAGTATGGGGAAGAAAGGTGATTTGAGTGACTTTGAACGTGGCATGATTGTTGGTGCCAGAAGGGCTGGTCTGAGTATTTCAGAAACTGCTGATCTACTGGGATTTTCACGCACAACCATCTCTAGGGTTTACAGAGAAAGGTCAGAAAAAGAAAAAACATCCAGTGAGCGGCAGTTCTGTGGGCGGAAATGCCTTGTTGATGCCAAAGGTCAGAGGAGAATGGCCAGACTGGTTCGAGCTGATAGAGGGGCAACAGTGACTCAAATAACCACCCGTTACAACCAAGGTGGGCAGAAGAGCATCTCTGAACGCACAGTACGTCGAACTTTGAGGCAGATGGGCTACAGCAGCAGAAGACCACACCGGGTTCCGCTCCTTTCAGCTAAGAACAGGAAACTGAGGCTACAATTTGCACAAGCTCATCGAAATTGGACAATAGAAGATTGGAAAAACGTTGCCTGGTCTGATGAGTCTCGATTTCTGCTGCCACATTCGGATGGTAGGGTCAGAATTTGGCGTCTACAACATGAAAGCATGGATCCATCCTGCCTTGTATCAACGGTTCAGGCTGGTGGTGGTGGTGTCATGGTGTGGAGAATATTTTCTTGGCACTCTTTGGTACCAATTGAGCATCGTTGCAACGCCACAGCCTACCTGAGTATTGTTGCTGACCATGACCATGCCTTTATGACCACAATGTACCCAACTTCTGATGGCTACTTTCAGCAGGATAATGCGCCATGTCATAAAGCTGGAATCATCTCAGACTGGTTTCTTGAACATGACAATGAGTTCACTGTACTCAAATGGCCTCCACAGTCACCAGATCTCAATCCAATAGAGCATCTTTGGGATGTGGTGGAACGGGAGATTCGCATCATGGATGTGCAGCCGACAAATCTGCAGCAACTGTGTGATGCCATCATGTCAATATGGACCAAACTCCCTGAGGAATGCTTCCAGCACCTTGTTGAATCTATGCCACGAAGAATTGAGACAGTTCTGAAGGCAAATAGGGGTCCAACCCGTTACTAGCATGGGGTACCTAATAAAGTGGCCGGTGAGTGTATATATATATATATATATATATATATATATATATATATATATATATATATATATCAAATTTGTCTACACTATCAACACCAAGTCAGATTCTTTGTAATTGCAAATCTACTTGGCAATAAAGCTTATTCTTTATTATATATATATATTATTATTATTATTATTCTGATTCTGAGGTGGGGCAGCAGCTAGACTCCATCATACAGTTGGTTCTTAAATCATACAGTTTCGTCTTTTAAAACGTTGAAACGAGATTTCAGCGGTGCTGTAGGAATGACTGATGTCTCCTCTCATCAGAACAAAGCAAAAAGTAGTGAAATCCCTTCCATTCTGGTAGATTAATGCACAATGTTGGTAAGTAGGCTAAAGGAAACTACCAATCAACCAGCTACTATCAATTTATTTTACTTGTGTTAATCTATAAAGAGCAGAACAACAAAAAGGCATTTGCACAAGAAAATTTGTAGTAAATTAATAATTTTTACTTTAACACATACAATAGGACCAATCTAATGATAACTATATTAATCAAATTGTTTAAAAATGTTTTACTGCAGCATAGAATAACGTTTTCTTCTTCAAATGAAACCAATTAGGTAAAACTTCATATGTTTCATTGAAAATCTTAGAATTGGGGATTTATACATTAAAAACTGTGGTATTCCCCCTGTTTGTTTGAGGGTCCGCTCATCTTTCAGCTTCACCACAGAACTATTTGGAGGAAAAAAAAAAAACACGGTGGTGGGTCCCAGTTAGCGTGACCTCCCTCTTACTGGATCAAACGTTAGTAAAACCAGCTAAACTGACGACAGATGGACAGCAGAGGTACCATGACCCAACGCTTTTTTATGGCTGCAACTTAGACAGCAGACCTTAATCTCCAGCAGCAAGAAGCTCATCGGACTCTCTGGAGGATCATCATAATTCATGTATAGGGATAGAAAAACAAGCTGTGTAATTTCCTAGAACTGATTTTGGTTTGCTCTCAGCAAATTACAGTTAATGTACTGTAGCAGTAAAATACCATTTGGGGTCTGGAGGTGCAATTTAATTTAAAGCAGGGACACAACCTAAACAGATTAAGAGTCCACTGGCTTTTGAAGGACATACGCTCTTCACATGTCACAGATAAAAGGGCTTGAAATCTCTTGAAATGTAATTGCATACTGAAGTATAGAGGATGTCCTGTTGGTTCCCTTCCTCTAAAGCCTCTCAGCATTAACAGAAACATGATGCACAGAACGCTTTCCCCGTATGAATAAGGATCTCGCTGGCTTTTGTCGTTTACACGTATCGCATATCGATAGAGCCTTTGAGACGAGCTCGTTACCAGGATGCGAGCAGGTATTTACACAAACTTTAGCCAGAAACCGTTTCTGTGGAGTTTTGATGGGAATTCAATGTCATAAGATGCCTGTTTTACAGGTGTCACTACTTCACTTTTAAGCCCAAGCTCTTTAGGATAATATGACCCATTGTTACTGGGAACAATGTGCCAACTTATCACTTACAAACATTACATGAGAAGGCAGTGACAGGAGCCACAGAGAAATGTTTTAGAGTGCTTTGCTGATAAACTAAGGAAACCAAGTACATGTTTATGTTCTGTTTGAGTTTACATGTATCGCTGGGCGAGGTGTTTTGTTATTTTAGCACAAAAACATCATCAAACATCATTTTTATCTTTTAGGTTTTATCCGTCCTTTAAATTTATCACAGTGTCTGACAGACTTACTACAACACATGTGCTAATTTTTTCATATTAAAGAATACTGATGTTTTGTCGTTGGGTAAGACACTTGACCAATGTATAGTTAAGTGCTTTAGCCAACTTGAAATAGCTCTATATAAGTAGAGGACATCTACCATTTACCATGAATCCTCTTTCTTCATGACGGGCTCTGTTTTGGTGCTCACCTGGGCAATAGAGTAGTCAGAGGAATTTGCTGCCTGCAAGCCTTCGTTGCCAGAGATTCCCACTCCGACGTGAGCCGTTTGGATCATCCCTACATCATTAGCTCCGTCCCCAATGGCCAATGTGATCACCTTCACTTGTTTCTTCACCATTTCAACTACCTCTGACTTCTGAAGAGGAGAAACTCTGAAAGAAAACAGGAAACTTTTCTTAATACCTACATGACCCACATTTAATAAGGCCATAGGTAGTGTTGCACCGATACCAGTATCAGGTTGGGCCCAATAGGGCACCGATACCATTTTGAGAGCCAAAAGTTTATTCAACTATTGTCACCCATTCCAGGTAGGTAATAAAAAGTTCTACTGGATTCACTTTGTATTAGTCTTTTTTCCTGCTTCACAAAGGTAGGCAGCAGCTTGACAAAGCCATGATGGCAATTATTTTACATCCAAGTAGTATGCAGTTCTTCATATATAAACACACACAGATGGTATCGGTATGGTATGGTATCGGTCATTACTGCACAGCTAGGTATTTGGTATCGGTATCAGGCCAAAAAATGGCATTGGCACAAAACTAGCAATAAGTAGCAAAGTCTTCCCAGTATAATATTCAGCTTAAACGCACATTCAATGTTTATGTAGATTTCTTTTATTACTGTAGAAGAATCCTGCAGTGAAAAATAACTGGAATCACTTAATGAGCCTTTTGACTAGGATTGATCATAAGATGACTAATTGTTTGACCTTCATATCACTGAAAACACATTTAATCACCAAGTAGCCATAACAACGCCTTCTGCTTTTTAAGTTTTCCCTGAGTGAAAAAGATTCAGCATTTCTGACTACCTCTAAGCAGAATAAAAATAAAGGCAAAGGAAAAGGTTTCTATAGAAAAAAGCTGACATCTTTATTGACAAAGATTGGCTTTATTTCAGTGGATAAAAGAAAAGCTGCTGGTTTATCCTCTTTACGTGTCAATTCTGACAAGAAAGATTGAAATACAGCGTATTTAGTCAAAAGGGAGCCTTCATGGAAAATGCTGTAACAATTAGCAAAGGTAATGCTGATGTAAGACGCTAAGGTAATAAATCAATGTCAAGATAATACGTGTTGATCATTTTCAATAATTCCACTTAAATATGATTCAAAACCACAAAGCATTCTGGAGGATGGAGGCAGAGGGAAGGATTTAGCCACTTAACCTCTCACAGCCAAACTAGAATAAGTTGGTAGTAGGGCTGACGTAATTTTAAAGGTTAAATATGAAGCTTAAACATGGTTAGGGTTGAAATTTTAATTCAGGCTTTTTTCATCAGTCCTTATTTCAAATAGTAAAAAAAAGCAATTAAATAATATTGATATCGACTGATTAAAGGTTGATGTCGTTAAACGTCTTTCATCCTTACTGAACAGCCCTAAAGGTAAGCTTTAAGTAATGAGCCACATGACTAACCTATAAGGGAAATCCTGGCTCAGTCCAAAGGTTCAGCAGAAGTATTACGCTTTCTAGAGCCAATGCAGTTAGCATAGGGACCTCCTGGTGTCCATAGCTGCCGCTAGGAGCAACAATTTTGCCCACAATCCCTTTGCACTACAGGATGTGTAAGCACAGCCCATCTCACGACGTTAAACAAAAAACATTATTTTATGGGGTCAGGATTCTGCCAAAAGTCCACACATTAATAAATACTCCTACTGTATGAGCAGAGCAGACATTTGAATTGCGAAAGCTTCCTGGAGAGGAAGCGAAATGTCTTCAAATCTTGGAAACCAAGCCCAGTGGATTTTTTTTTTTACTTTACGGAACTCCTATGAGCAGTTTTAATTCATAAACTACTCCTTATGCACATGTTTAGCATGTTACATGTGCAAATATAGTCCAACAGAACCCCAATATGTCACACATAGTGTGACATAGAGCGCTTGTTCCTTTTCTGCGCGTATAGTTTGAAGAAACCACAACCAGGGATAGGAAGTCTGCCATTTTGGGTCAGAGGTCGATTTTTGGCAATCTTTCAATTTTGCTGACGTCGAACTTTAACTAACTCCTAGGAGTTTTGAGCCATCGGCTTCAAACTTGATGTGTATGCAGATAAGGCGTGTGAGATCTAAAGTCGAACCGTTTCTGTATGCTTCTGTCAACATGTCACTTTGAAGGCGTTACCCACCGCACAAAGCAACCCGCCTGTGATTGGCTACATTTCAGGAAATCCAGCCTCTTGAGACTGTACACTTCTTCCTATTAGCAAAGCAACTTCAGGCTAACGTCTTCTCTTTAAGAGTCGGAAGTTAGTAAGCAAAGTCATCATTGGACATAATATGGTCTGGATGAATACTGGATTCTGACTGGCTGTAGGGTGTCTGTTAAAAATAGTCACAGGACATTTACAAAAAAAGTACAGGTCAAATAGCCCAATATTTGCTGCTAGCTAACACACAGCAGCCTAAAGTGACCCAAGTCAGATTTTTTTCCACATATGCAACCTGTATCTGATCTTTTCATGACAGTCTGAACAACATCAATCCGATTTTTCATACATATCTGATCTTTTAGAATGAAACCTGTGTCTGAACCTGTACAGCATTACTACTCAACAAAGTTCCTTCTTCTGCATCTTGCCATATAGAAACGGAAAGAAAAAACCATGGCGGATGATAATGCTAAGAGCATTATTTATTTTGAACGTTCTTGAAAGATTGTGTTGTTAATGCACTGGCTGAGGTTGAAAAAGAAATGAAAGATTGTAAAAAGCGCTCCAGCACTACCATCCACGTTTACTTCGGTAACACAGAGCGTGCTTGCTTTTGATGAAAATGAGCATTAAATGCCTGCAGTGTGAACGTAGCCCATGTCTCTTCTTACCATGCTCTCTTTAAAATTTACATCACACAAGAAGATACATACCAATCTCTACAATAAATACTTCCGCAGTCATAGTATGAGGGTGAATAAAAGGCACACGTTTCGTGGTTAAGAACAATTTCTGTAGGGAAATGCCTACATTAAAAGAACTTATCGTAAGAAGAATTCCTAACAGCTTAAGTCAGCTAAGAACATTATTTACTTAGCAGCTGCTCAGACAGTTATTACCTGTTGCATGTTTTGTTTGAGAAACATGAGGACAACAGGGAGCAAACCTCTGCATGCTTATTTTTCCATCTGAACTCCTCTGTGCCAGGCAGGCCAGCTGCTGACACTTCATGCATCAAAGGAAGCAAAGATCTGTCTACAGCTCCCATATGAAGTAATATACTCCACCCACTGGACATTTTTATGTCATTTGACTGGAGTCCAAATAGAAGGAGTCAAAGTATATTTACTGTTGCTGTGTTGACATCTGACCTCCAGTAAAAATCTACCCAATACATGCTGTATGAGTGTATGTGCGGTTTTCTTCAACGCGTTAAAAGAAAATCAGCTGAGCCAAGTTTGATTTATACACGTTTTACATGTATTTTGTAGTTGCCTTCAACTTAAATCATCTTCTAGATTTGGTTTCACAGTTTTTAGCAGTATTTTTTCAGTTGATTGGTGTCAAAAAGGTCATAAAAGCAGACATTAAAAAGCAGGCATATACTGCTCGTATATGAAACACATGACTTTAGATTTATATGACCTAAAATACTCCACATTTAAACACATATCCCAGTGCAAATAAATTGCATTTCTATCTTTAAAGTCTCTGAAAGATTACTTTCTAACGTTAAGAAATGTTCTTTCAATCGCTGGAGACGAAAATGAATAAATATTAAGTAGACTAATAATCATACGGTTAATGTGGAAAAGTAGGTAACTATCTTTTTTATTAACATTTTTATTCATTGAACAGTTTTTCTTATAGAGACTACAAATTTATTAGGACTCTAAAGGGATTGCAGTTTAAGCTGCTTTAATGTCTGTTGAGAGCTTTGTTGTCATAAATTTTGGAGTCAAGTTCCTACAGTGAAATATTATAGTAACTTGGGCCTAAATGGATAGCAACAGATTGATTGTGGATTGTTTTACATTTTAACTTCTGTTGGAGGTTTATTTTATTCCCTCAGAAGTAAATATTACCTGCAACAAATGACTGCTTTACAGGACAAGGCCAGGTCAAGAAAGTACTGGCGCACTCCGAACGTAAGAGCGTATTTAAGAGTCTTTCCATCAATGATGAGAGCAAAGTCGTTATCCTTGTAGATGGCTTCTCCCAGCTGCCCACAGTGGTGGCTAAGGGTTTCACGTGTTGCCTGAAAGAGAGAAAAAAAGAGCATTTAACAATAATTGGTTTAATTAAACTATTTGTTTTTTTGTTACCTGATATTCAATGTATTTTGCTTAATTTTAATTTAACTTAATACTTTTTTGTTGCTTAATTTTAACTTAATTTAACTTAATACTTTTTTGCCCTATAAGCTGCTGGTAACCTTAATTTCCGGAGGGAGTCTTCCCAAGGGATCAATAAAGTTCTGTGTAAGTCTAAGTCTTATATTTTTATGCTCTGACTCGGAGTTAAGACTTTAAACCTATGCCTGGTTCACAAAGCAAGGGACTGGTGCCCCAATCTTGTGAGGTATCTTGTGTACTGTATAGGCTCTTGTGAGTTTTGCGTTTTTTATGTTTTTATTTTTTTAATCATTGTGTATGGAGTCTCTTAGGTTTTGAAAATCCCTTGACGATTTTTTTAAATATTGCCGTGTGACATAACAAATAACTGTTTGTGGGTGAATTACCTGGAAGCTTTCCTCACATAATGAACTAACAAACAAACAAAAAAACATGCCAAAATACTAGATTCACCTTTGACGTTTTCCAACTTCTCTTTATACACTTTACTTAGATTAACATCGTTTGTCCCTGATTTTAGTTCTCGGTTTTTGCTTCAAAAACTGCAGCAAAAAAAAGCCAATGCGGATATTATATACAGACTCTTCTTTGGATTAAAAATGCTGTTCTTTACATGACAGTTTCCTCATTAAATTAAGGATTTTCAAACAATTGTATCAGGTAATAAAGGAGTAAGGCCACAGGTAGTAAAACAAACTTTATGAAAGCTTTCTTTGACTTGATCAAATACATTTCCAGTCATTCCAGCAGGGGTTATTTCACACTATATTCTAAAACCCAAATGTTCATTGTGATTTCAATATAGAGGTTCTGATAAAGAAATGTCAGTGTGAATAAATATATACAGATATATCATTGAAATTATATAATTATAAGTTTATTTCAAGAAGTGAAAGTGATGGAAAACAGATTACAAATAAAATTTATTTCATGATTGTTTTGATATAATGTTGATGATTATGAATTACTAATAATGAAAATCAAACATTTTGATATTGTGGAAAAATTAAATATTAAAAACTCATCGTCTCCCACCCTAAGCAGCTAATTGCCTCCAGAAAACTGAGTAGTGTCTTAGTCTGGGTCGGTAGCCTTCACTGTCATGAAGAAGACTGCACACTGAACAGATGTCCAAAAGAAAGCTACTGTAATAATTTACAACAAGGGTTAGCCAGACCAGGTCATTGATAAAGGTGCAGTTGTAGTGAAGATAATTCATAAGTGGAGTGGAAAGAAACATTATAGGAAAAGGTACATCAGCAACAGTGATGAGAATGATTTGAGAATTTGGGAGAGCTTCCCAGGAAGTGGACTAAGGCTGGAGTCAGAACATCTAGAAGGCTTCTACACCCCGCAGTCAACCCAGCTGTCCATCTAGATCTTTTAGAGGAGTTCACACTTCCTAATGCAGAGCAGCTTTACCTTGGTTTAGTCTTTGATAAATTTCTCAGTGTTTGTTGTTTTTTTACATGTAGCTTACCTGTATAAAATAGCAGTATCAGTACAGTTGAACACAGACTGAATAGATGAAACATTAAGACTGATGACCAGAGAAGTGAATGACATGGATTAACTCCAGATCATGGCATCCATTAGTCGGTAGGATGATTAGACAGTCAGAGAGAAAAACAGGCAAATGTACAGATTTGAGTGTTGATTGGGATGGCATGTGGCTAAACCTAACCCACTGTCTAAGGGGTGATCTGTTCATGCAGTGGTCAGTACTTATCAAGTGGTCAAAGTAGATGACTGTGGGGGCATTCCATGTGGGGATGTTGGAAAAAAGAAAACAGGATCTCAAACTATTTAAGAAGTGAATCCATATTTTGACAGAAAGATGTCAGATCAGTCAAGGTAATCATGGCGACGCCTGTCCACAGAAAAAGAACAAAAACTAGGAGAATGGGCCTCAGAACTGAACCAAGAACTTAAAAGAAGGTTGCCTGATCCAACATATATTCCAAGAATATGGTGAGACGTGCGGAACATCAACTTCATATTCTAAAGGGCGTACTGTAAAGGATCAGCCACTGACATACTGATGCCTGATACCGCAGCACAACTTCAAGGGTTTGGTGGAGTCACAGGCTGCTTTGGTGGTGACTCTCCCTCAGTGGTTATAATCTTAGATCTGATCAGCGATACATGTGAACTGAAGGTTCTAACACCAAGCCGCTGAGGAGCATCTGCTTTCCATAAACTGGATGTTTATCATCATCTTCCATATTTATTACACACAGACTCAGGTCATGAGGTGATATCATTGATAACTTGTGGATGCATTCTGATATCGTAACATTATATCCAAAGATGAGCGAAAAGTGACGATGTAAAGATATAAATGTGAGACTAAAAGGACAGAGCGTTGAGGTCATTGCTGTTTCTTTCCTCTCCACAGATGGTGAAGATATTAGCAAACACAGTTTTCTGACAGGTAGTTGCGACACTTATTTTAACTAAAAAAATCAATAAAATAATAACCTAATGATAAATACATTTGTGTGGAATAAAAGTACATCTATAAATGTGTTTTCAGTAAGGTGTTATAGAAATGGGAAGAGGAGAGAAATTGTGTTGGGTTGAACATATAAACAGGTGCCCAAACAGCTGAAATCATTTAAAGAAATAATGCAGACCGTTTTCAGAAGTGAGGGAAGCAGGGGCCTGGCCTGGTGTGGAGGTCAGATATGTCAAAGCCTTTAGATTGCACCATGGGGACCGGGCAATTTTCCCATGGCATAACAAAACTGTGAAACCTCAGCTTAAGGGAAATATTTGGAGAGGGAGGCTTTACGTTTCACAAAGGGAGCCACGCAGACTGAGAGAGATGATGGATTAACAGGAGAGAAGCTGACTAGGAGGATACAAGCTGAGAGCAGCTGTGAGGATTTTACCATCCTGATGGGATCTATAAGCAGCTTGAGATGGTGAATGTCGGACAGGCGAAAGTTATCCCCCGGATATGTATCAAGGTCAGGGTACCAACGGGCTTAGGTGTCTAAATCTGTGAAAAACTGTTGGACCTGGGTTACCAGCATTTTTTGAGATCACATACTAGTCCATTAGCACTTTTGTATGAGGAAAAAAGCACTTTGTTAGGGACATTAGCAATCCATCAAAAAGCCTGATAAGCAACGTTTACAATTTCCTCAAGTACTTTGCTCATTTCCTCCCTTATTTCCACTGAGGAATTCTAGCACTAATGCAACACGTCTCCTGCTAAAGCCTCTTTGTTATGGCTATAATCACCAGTACAGCCTATGTGACGAGCTAGTGTTTGGTTTTGGAACAGGGTATGTGGTGGTCATTCAGAAATCCACAGGAGCTTCCCATAAAGACTGAGCTCCATTGTTGACATAGGCCTTGACTGATGCAGCCAACAGGACGTGCACATCATGATGTGGAATCTGGACATTTGCTTGGATCATGTGTTATGTGTTCGGACTCAGAGGCCGACAACAAGACACTTAATTTAGAGATCGATTTTTTATGACATAGGTCCGAGTACATGTATGTGCATGTATGTGATTAACATTTTGGAGTGGATTCTTTAGGCTGATATTGCTTTCTCTTCCTCCATTCATATGAAAAAATATGACACAAAAAGAATAAATGTTACAAAAGTTTCTATTTAAACAAAAAGATTGATTTTTTTTAATATTAAGAGAACATATTAACATTAAACAGCAAACAGAGGGAGCAGCAATGCATGCGCCTGACTTGATCTCCTGATATTTGCCAAAATTAAAGTATATCAGCCAGCCGAAGTATCGGTCAACATCTAAATCAACCTCATTGAAAGTGCACAAATATACCAATTTCTTTTCAAATACACTAGCCCTACCTAGTGCTGGTTCAAGTTTAATGAGGAACAAAAAACAAGTTCTCCCTTTATGCCCCCAAAAATAAATAAATCGATGTATAGGTGCTCGTATTCCTGCTAACCCCACAGCCTGGCCGTGTCTTGGTGAACATCGTTCTGTTTCTGAGTTTTAACAAACTGCCTTATGTAAGCATCTGTTGAACCACAGCAGAATGGGAGCTGACATTTCAAAGCGTCGGCCTGTTGGCTTCATGAATGCACCAACCCCACATTCTACCTGGGCCCCATTTATCACTCTTAACAGACGTCTGACAGAGTGAAGGCCGTCCGTCATCACCCAGAACACCACCCCCTCTAGCCGCCGCTTCATCCACATCCTGTAACCCCCCCCCCTCATCTCTGTCTGACAAAGCCGAACCCAGTGGAGTTTTGGCTTCAGCTGACAAGCTTAGCTTCTCCCCCTGAAACTGCAGCAACTCGCCCTTTTCAAACTCAGGAACAACAGACATGGCTCTCCTGCAGGGGGGTTAACAGACCTCACAGCTGGGTGTCTTAATGTTGAATGTGGATTTCAGGATGTGGGCTGGGTTCCTCTGGAAAGCACCCTATGGCCTCATCCTTTAATACAGAGAAAGCTCCAAGCAAAGAATAAATCAGGACAGTGAAGGATATTCTCACTGTTTCCAAAGTGACTTATTATTAGTACTTAACCTAAAAATGAATGCAGCCCTATTTCTATTTCCCCATTAAGCATGTAGTCCCTTTGAGTTTCTGAAATTCTGCAATTGGACTTCCAGTCCAAATGCAGTAATCTATTGATATTAAAGTCATTTAAAGCTTATTTGACTAAGTTTTCTTTAAAAAAAAAAAGCATTGAACTCCAAAACCCAAATCATGCAGGTTTTATTTAGCCTGATCTTCTCTGACTGCTAGCCCTGACCAGTCCTACCTGCTCATTCAGATTAGCTTCAGTCTGTGGTACTGATCTAACTAAATTAGCTAATTTCTGTAAAAGTAAGGTGTTAACAGTGTTATAGGAATACTAGAAATGTACAATATGTACACAGTACATTGAGGACATTTTCTACAACATGCTTAGGAGGGTATCCGTTTCATTCAGGCTGTGAGAGAGCGAGAGAGAGGAAGACTTTCAAGTAACACAAATGTCAAACAAAGGTACAGCACCAGGAATATTTTGAGCCTAGTTGTGATTTATTTTACATCATGCAGACCACTCAATGAGAATTATATTTAAAAATTCTCCAAATAAGTTAAAACTGATTTTTCTTTTTCATTGAGCCTCTAAATCAGGGGTGTCAGAGTGGTTCCAGAAAGGGCCGTGTGGCTGCAGGTTTTCTTTCCAACCAAACAATAGCACGCCAGACTCCATTCATCTCATCAAGTCATCATGTTCAAATTGGACTAACTTGATGAGATGACTGGAGTCTGGCGTGCTATTGTTTGGTTGGAAAGCAAACCTGCAGCCACACGGCCCTTTCTAGAACCACATTGACACCCCTGCTCTAAATAGTCACTTATTTCACTTATACTCCCGCAGCAGTGCGTCGCAGTGAGCTTGTCGCAGATATTTTTGATTTATGCTCAACATTGAAGCATGGTCTACGCTGTGTTATTCAACGCCACAACGCAAGAAGGACAATCACAAACTAGCTGTGGGTCTAGATACCGCCGAGGTGGTGAGGAAGTGGGGGAAAGTTTGTGGAACAACGGAGGGACATGAGGGTGAAAAAGAGCAGGGATCCAGGTGGAAAAATCGTCCCAGCGTTCATGCGCAACTCGCTCTTCTAGCTGTAGTCCATCACCAACATACCAAACAGGAAATACGCATAGTGTAGAGTGGATGTAGATTTGACCGATCGGAGGCCTCCTGTCTGCGGCACTGTCTGTGGTCACCTACAATTTGGGGGCGCTGCACCAGAGTGTCTGCGGAGGGGTGGGGGCACATTTGTGTTCACTGCAACACAAACGCAGACGGCCTGGTTTCTGAGTATAAAACAGCCTTTAGTCTAAACATTTAGCCGACTTGACGGATATTAACATGAAAGTAGCCAGTATAAAAAGTAGCTTGGGTTACGATAGGAAGAAGCTGGAGATTCACAGAGTCATATCAGTTAACTGGATTTGGAAACATCACTAGTCTCTTAAAAAAGTCAGACTTCTGGTAATGCTAGCTGAGCTAATGGCCCTTTCAGACAGGACACAGTTTGGGGTGGTGGCTGGTTGTTCACTCTCTTTGGTCAAGACAGTTTAGGAAATTCAGTCACACACGTTTTGAGATCTTCTTCATTTTGCTTCCTGGTTTTTCCATGGCTGGATGGCCCAGTTTCTATTGGTTGCATGTGTATTTCTCAACATAGATCAACTTTGACCGTGGTGCAAGCTTGCTCACACTCAACAAATGGTGAACCACTCCAGCTCAGCTAGAGCTATGGAAAACTAAAGTGTTTCAGGGAACAGTGGCGCATGTGGCGCTGAAAGGTCCATAACTGTGCAGATTGCTAAAATAAGATACTAATGGCAATTTAAAATCTATCTCAGCAAAAAGAATGCCTCCCTCTCTGCAGAACGTAATGACATGCTGATGTTGTAATTTAGCCGTTTGGAGCAAAGATGCAGATAAAAGATGCAGAAGAGTAGCTCTCAGCGACAGACATTTGACCCCATAGCTTTAAATTGTCAATTAAGTATTTCGTTTTAAAATAATATTTAAATTCTGGTTTACAGCATCTGCTATTTTAAAAAAGTAGTTTTAAACCTTATAATAAAGTTATTAATTAGAGACACTGTAAAAAAAGGTCAAATTGTTACAAAAACTGAGATTATCAGTAAATAATTCTGTTTGCATCACCTCTGGTTTGAACTATGCTTCTTAAAAACCATGTAAAAGAGATACGACAATCAAAAGCAAGTGTTATATTTTCATTTGTTATGATCAAAAACAAATCCCAGGGTACTTACGTTCAGACTGTCTTCGTTGATGACGAGCATGCCCATGTTCTTTGTAAGAAGTTTGCAGGAATGTCCTATAGTTTCACAGAAAAAGATAACAGGTTAATTTAATTTTTTTTATATATAGGATGAGACCAAAAGGTCAGAGAGGTTCTTACTTATGTCATAAAATGCACAAAAAACATAAAACTACAAAAGGAAGAAAATCAAACAGGCAGTAAAAATCTAAATGCTACAGCTAGCTGAGAGCTCCAGTCTTAGGACATGACTAATGAGTTTTGTTTACAAGAGTTTGTCAGTTTCCTGTTTGAACCTGCAGTTACAACTCTGGGTTACCCAACATGGCTCTCTGGGGAGCCTCTCCTCAGCTCTTGGCCGGGACACAGACTCAGGGTCACCAGCTAGTGGTGGATGGAGCCTCTCTTTGGGAGGGGGTCGGAGCAGAAATGCTTTATGAACCAATACTGAAGCCTTCATTTAGCGCTGTAGCAGTGTGAGAGGGCTGCCATCTGTGGCATAACCACACACATATTTGTGGGCTTCAACACTTCACTTCTGTCTGGAAAGAGATTTTAGTGTTTTCTTAAACAGGGTTTCTACATAACCTGTCCTGAGTGAATACCTGGGTGGTTTTCACAGAGAGAGAAAATGAAATAAGCATATGAATAAAAGACAGTTTAACAACATTGTACACACACAGAGGAAATGAACATGTTTCTCCTCCAGAGTTACACCCTAACAGGCTGGGGTCTGGAGTCTGGCCGATTGTTTTGTTAAGTGCAAAGGTGAAAAGGACCAAAAACTTGCAGAAACGTGGAAAACGTCTCCTCATCTCAACGCTGCTTCTGTTCCCTTACCCGCCTCCCCCCTCGTCAATCCCTGACGCAGCCCTTCCGCCTAACGTGTTTACCTTTTAGCTCATTGCATTTTTTTTTTTTCCCTTTCCGTTTTTATATACGAGCTTTCTCAGTCCCAGCCGGAACTAAAGATGGTTCCCACAGGCCTCAAGGAATGTGCAACAGACCCATGTCACAGTGACCTCCCTGCTGCACAGGAAGCAACACTTAATGCAGGGTCTTAACTAAATAGTATCAACTGAACTTTGACATTTTGTTGCATTGCAACCAAAAGCATCCATGTATTTCATTGTTATTGTATTTGATAGACCAACTTGATGCATCAAGACTGTAAAGTTGAAAAATAGCTCAAGCTCAGTCACACTGGACTAAGTCTTATTGGAATAGAGAACTAGATTTTGATTGTTATGACATGGCCAATTTAGGCTTTAAATTTTACTCATAAGTTTAGTCTAACAATAGATCTACAGGCAAACAGACTGCAGCTAAAATAAGCCCCATTATTAAACAGGCTACCTCTGTGTCGCAGTTATATCAAGTAGTGCTTTTATCACTAAACGGTAACTGCATCAAACCTCCCGATAAATGTACCATTAATTATCCATCTCACCATCAGTTCTGATCAGCTTCTCTGTCCCCAGGGAAAAGCTGACACATAGCATGATGCTGCCACCACCTTGGATTTTATTATTGGGCCAAAGATTCAATGGGACTGAATACAAAAACATGTATCAGTTTAAAGAAAACTGCATTAAGTAATCAGCAGATGTAACCTGGTTCCATCAGGAAGGAAAGAAGCTTAACCTAACAGTAGGAAAGGAACTTGTACTTCATTACGGATGGAGAAAAAAATCTTTATTTTTTGTCTCTTTGCTAAGGTGAATGATCAAACCACTGGTTAAACTGGTGAAGGATTTTTTTAAATATATGCAGCATTATGTGCCAACAGGGTAGAAGCAGCGGATTCTGCAGAGACATTGCTCTTCAGAACAGCCAGACACATGCATAGAAAAGCTCCTTTACATTAGGTTAGGATAAACTGAGCTTAACAAGAGTTATTTTATAACTAATTAGTCACTTATGTGGATTAGGCTTCATCTGACTTAAAACAAATCCTGAGCTACAGAATAAGTTTATTTGGAATATTGGATGGTGTATGATTACACTGGCTGTGGAATAATGTTTCAACGAGGAAAACTGTTAAAAACAACATAAACACTGGGCAGAGATTTTAAAGAGCAGCTCTGCCAAAAGTCAGAGCTGTGAAAACACTCCTCGTGAGCAGCAGCCTCAGCTGAGCCCCTTTACATCTGGGCACAGTGGGCACAAAAGGCTGATTCAGCCAAGACTCAGTGGTGGCTGCAGCTGCACATGGACCCACTTATCATATCTATTTTTCTACACTTAATGCTGTGAAGTCGGCTGTGTTCAAGGTCGATCCACTTTGGTAGTCATGCAACTCTGAAAAGTAATTCCAGTAGGGCTAAAACAAATAATCATGATCAATCGATTATTGAAATAACCGTCAACAAATTTTGTAATCGATTAATCGTTGAGTATAGAGAGTATAAAACATGTCTTTAGCTTAAAGGGCAACCCACTGAAATGAGTTATTGTTTACCGAAATGGTAAAAAAAATATGAAGACATTTTGCATTCAAGATAAAAAACCCTTTTCCTCTATTGATTACTTTTATCCAGAAGTCTTGATTTAACTTCTGTGTAAAATCTTCTTTAAGGAACCTTTTGCCATTTGGTTTTTCATCGATTAATGGAAAAAGAATAAACAACTGAATTGATTAGCAAACTAGTTGTTAGTTGCAGCACTAAAATCCCGGGCAAAGAAGGTGATGGACTACAGATTGAAACAGGTCAGGCAGCTTTAGGCTGTTTACCCTCTGGATAACATCTAGAGCGGTGAAATCTCAGAGAGTGCATATGCACGTTATTTATTTTGCATCGGTGTAGAGAGCTCATTCATCATTCTGTAACAGATGCTTTCATTAAAGGTGTGTGACGGGGCAACATTGAGTCTGTCAGGAGTTTATCATGCTGGGTGAGGAATGACCACAGCGCTGAGTGGAGCACCTGGATGGGGGACGTGCACAAACAAGGCGCATAGTGTGTCCCAATGCAGAAACATCAACAGGAAAAAACAGCGTCTGTAATCCAAACTGCAACCTTTTCTTTTTTTTAAAGTCACTGTACAAGCATAAACTTCTCAGTTATTTAACTAAATCTGTTATAAGAGCAATACAAACGATAAATGACTTGCTTTTGTAATTTAATCTGAACAGTGGACATGGTTTTGGACATCCTTAACATCGTTACAATCAGACTGATGCAAAGGATCACAACAGAAATACAAAACTTAAGAGATTTAAGAAAAACAAACTTTTTTTTTTAAAGAAAACCTGCTCGCCACTAATCATTTATGGGAAACGGCAAACCATGGCAGAAGAGTCCAAAACCAAGGATTTTTTGGCATACATGTAAAACACAGTTAGCGGCAGAGAGCTAGCGCTGCACGTCATTGATTACAACATCCCCTTTATGAAGCTGCGCGGCCTGTTGGGATGCATTCCTAAAGCAGCAGCAGAGAGACTGCTCTGCTATGATGGGAAGATGAATGGAGCTTAACAGGGAGAGGACAACTGGAAGAAAATCTTAAGATCAAAGCCTGTTTATTTAGGCCTAAAGGACTGTCCTGGTAAAAGTCCAGACATGAAGACATTGAAAATCGATGTTCACAGACGCTCTCCATTCAATCTGACGAAGCTTAAGTGGTTTTCTGATGAAGGTTGGACAAACATGTCAGTGTTAAGCTGGTGTAGACATGCAAGGAAAGACTTGGAGCTCCAACTGGTCTACAAAGTATTGCCTCACATGTACAGCAAACCCTTTACCTCTCTACTTCTTACTTTGATCGTACTTTGCGTTTGTTAAAAACCCATTAAAATACATTCAAAGATCATAAATACCTTTGCAGGAGAACTATAGATGACTTTACTGTGCATGTGTTAACAATTCAAGCAGCGGTTCCTCATTATAAAGCTGGTAGCAGAGCCTAGTTTGTATGAGGCTTAAGTAGAGGCTTTCCTCTGTGTACAAGTTGTTTTTAGTGAATTAAAACAAACTCTGCTGCAGAGCTTGTTTACAAACTGCACCTTGGATTGTTTTATTGGCGCACAGCACGCTAGTTTAGACGTCAAAACACAGAGCAGCGAAATGAAATACGAGGCTGAAAGGATAGAAAGGGTTCTGCTGTAGCTCACCGATATTGATGGCCGTTTCCTGTTTGTCCCCCGTCAGGATCCAGATCTTAATATCAGCTTTCATTAGCGTCTCGATAGTTTCGGGTACTTTATCTTGAAGCTTGTCTTCTATCGCTGTGGCCCCCAGGAGCTGCAGGTTCTAACACACAGAAGGTCAGGAAATACATCAGTAAATGACGGCATTAAAGAGCTTATGTATAAAAAAAAAAGTACTTTCCTTTGTCATTTGCGTTTGTAGAAAAACCACAGTGGGCTTTTTAGGTGGTTTTGGGTCAATTTCTGAGCTCATTTTTCCACCTCACACGCAGGCCTATAAACATACTTGGCTGCTTTCTCAGGAAACTCTGCGGCTCTTTGGGTTTGGTTATAGACTTGTAAGGGCTCATCACAGGGGCAAAGATTTGAAAAGAGCCAGGGGCACAGGGGAGACAAGCCAGCAGCAGAGGAAAGGCCAGGAAAGCCATTTAAGGAGAGACCTGAGCCCAAGTAGTAATAGCCCAAAGTATCGATGCTTACTTTAATGACCGGGAAACAAATATGCTTGATTAGCCGACAAACTTCCCCGTCGTAAAGGATTTATAGAATCTATGAGGCACTAAGAAGATTCTGCCTCCAATCAAAGCTGCACTGAAGCAGTTATTTAAGCACGAGGAGACCCAACCAAGAACAGAGTGTAGTAAATGGAAGGAACATGTAGATACCTTTCAACATTACTGCATTTAAAATTATTTTTAAAAATCCTTTTTAAATTCATCCCAAGGATTGTTACCTTTCTCAGCTTAATTACTTAAATAAATCACGTATCCAGGCAGGTTATTGTTAATGTACATTATTATTATTGGAAATGTACTTTCCAACTCTTCCAAAAATTGGACGGCAGCTCTGTTTCGCCCCCTTGTGGATTTAATGTGCATAAAGTGGAGGTGTGGGTGGGTGGGCGTCCAGGAGCAGCAGTGAACCTCAACAGCCCTGGGTAGCCGCAGTGCCACACTCGCCTCATTAGGCAGCACGCATTACACTTTCCTTTTTGGAAGCTTTCATGTTTGGTTCATGATTGATTGCCTCCATTAGTTTTGGGTAGCGCCAAGCAGCCATGAAGAGGAGCCAAAAGGCTGATTTACAACGGCAACTTCCTGTGTTTAAGCAACGCTTTCACACAGACCAAACCTTACAGCATGGCCTGCCTCTAAAAGAAAAAGAAATAATAATAACCTTGGAAACACTTTAGAAGCTTTGAATCACTGCAGGTATACCTACATTCTCTACATTCATTTGAACCACATGTGCAAATGTATAAAACCCTTGTAGTAGTAAACATGTAAAAACTCCCTCTGTTTTGTTATGTAGAAGAATGGACCAATGTGCTTAAGTTAAACCGGCTGAAATAAAACTTTTAGACAACAAATACTGGAGGCGTCTGGTAAAAAACAAAGCATGCAAGAGTTGATAATACCCATGTGTTCAACATTAAGCATAGAAAAGAATCTAAGCTGGTTGGGCGTTCTGCCGAAAAAATAGTTAAATCTCCAAATGGGTCATCGTTGGGTCATCCAAACCTGTGAATTATTAATGGAATGATCGGGATTCCAGAGACCAGAAAGATTGGTCTACAAGTTAACCCAATTTAAAGGCCCATTCAGGAACGGGGCAACAGAAGTGGTTCTAACGATTTGACAGGCATGATTATGGTGATTTCAGAGAAAATCGCTTTTCTATCTTCTCTCTATGCAATAACCCATCAGGATGGATGTGGTTAGGAGGCAGGGTGAAGGAGGGAAGAGTAGAGATTTAGCTTTTTAAAAATCAAAATGGAGGATACAAAAAATAATCTTGACAAAGAATGTAGTTATGCTTTTAGGATGCTTGTGGATGGCTTTAAAAAAGCTGTTTCAGTTTAGCACTTTAAAGGACTCTTAAATCATTGATTACATGTCCTCCTCCATAGTTAAACAGCTAGCACTGGCCATCCGCCTCCTCTGCACAGCTGAGGTGCTTCATCTGTCTGGCGTCTTCCTCAGATCTCCTGCTCTCAGCTGCAGAGAGGAGCGGGGCCACCTCTGGTGCTCTCTCTACGGGCTACAGAACCCAAATGTGGCAAGTTCTTTAATGGAATCATGTTCGATGTGAACACACCCTAAAAGATGACAAAGCACTGTCCTCTGAACAAAAAGGTTGTGAAAACTATCAGCTACATGGATGCTAATAACTGGAGGCATAGGTGACATTTTCTTATTATAATAGGTGAGATTTTCTTATTATAATTCCTTATAGGCCACTGCAATAAAAGAGAATTGTGTCTTAAATTAAGGTTTTTCCCTGCTTTTAAGCAACAGCCGTCATTGATCATTGATTAACAGTGGCTGTTCGGTTCGGTGCACATAGGAGGTCACATTAACCGATACCCATCTGATAAAAACAGTCTGAGGGCGTTTCTATCTGCAAACCTTCTCAATCAGCTCGTAGCTCTCCTCTAGTTTCAGGGCTCTGTTCTGGATGGAGGTGCTAGCTCGGTGGTGGAGCTCCAGCCAGTGCTGATAGGATGACTCGCTGATGTCTGCCACCGCAAAGCACAGAGTGCGCAGGCCTGGAGGGGAAGAAACAGAATCACACAGATCAAACAATAAGACTCCTAAATGTTTAACATGGAGTTCTCTAGTTAGAGGCAGTGTGCAAATAAATAACAAAAAAAGTAATTTATCTACCGTATTGAAGGGGGTTATTTGTGGATTTGTGTTTATATCAGATTTGCTTTTCATGGTCTTTCATTCACAACATTTCATAGTAGTGGGCTGCCATTGTGCAGCGCTCGGGGAGCAGTGTGTCATTCTGTGGGAGTGGGGCTCGAACTCAGAACATCTGGATTCCAAGCTCTATGCCCCAACCCATTGGCCACCACTCCCCCCCCAAAAAAAACTACATGCTCCTTTAACTAAAAAACACTAAATATAAACAACTAAAGAAAAAAATATTCTTTATAAAGGATCTAAACTATATCTATAAAGCTATGAATAATATCAGAGTACCATATTATAACAAGGTTTAATGTGGATGCAGATGGAGCCCAGCAGCTGCAACCAGATAGACATACGCTGAATTAAATAATAAATCATGACCTCCTTTTCTCTCCAACATTAGAACGATCTGCAGTTTTCCTGTTTTCAATAAGTTAGCATTAGTTCAATTATTACACTAGAATCCTGAGGCTTTTACAAAACTCATTTACACACTTTTTCTTTGTATATGAGAGATGCCTTTAAAAATCCATGACTTAAACTATGTATTCTTGTTTATATATACATTTATTATTTCAACGACTTCTCCTTAAGACAGTATTCCATAGGATAAACATCCATTATATAAGATCAATTTGTGCCCAAATTTGAACATTTCAAGCTGATGCCTCTAAGATGCTGTTTTAATATTTCCACATGATGAAATTTATTCTGTAAAGTGCACCATTCTCTCCAACATCGAAACTATCACACATCATCGTACTTCTGTCTGGACTGTTAAGTCTTACCAGCTTCCTTCTCCTTTTCTATAAGAATTGATGGCCATTAATGCCAAAAAACTCTCATTTAGGTTTTATCAGACCGAAAGGCATGTTTCAAAAACTCCCCAGAGTGCATTCCTTTCATAGCAGCCTTTGATGGAGCGGGTCTCACTGAACTTCGGATGACTCCAGCTGTATTAATGCAAGTCTTGCTTTTGTATTTGAGCTGTTTATAATTCTACAAATTCAGTTTATAAAAGGGAACTGAAAATATGTCTCCAATGGAGGCCTATAGTCCTCTCCATGATGTATCAGTTTATTCTTTTACTGTTTTATACCCTCACAGAAGTTAGCCATGTGTTTGAAAACATCTCATCTCCATTCCAACTGTTCTAATCAGACCTTAGAATGCTCCCATATTCTATGCAAAAAAATCAAACAACAAAATTAGGTAATCATTACTGAACTAACATGGCAACATTATAGAGTGATCTAATGTTAGACAAGGAGGAAAGAAAACATACAACTATCTGGTTTCAACTCTCCCATACGGTGCACGGATTGTTGATATGAAAAAAATCGGACAGTTTTTCTTAAAAATAAAGCAACAATTACGCCCCAAAGCAACCTTTAATAATCCCCTCTAAGGCCTCAAGAGCAAGCAGCAGATAAAAACTGACAGGAAAGAAAAGACTGATTTCTGGTTGAACAACAGAAAATAAACTAGTTTTCAAAGTGAAAAGATGAAAACTTCTACTGTTTTAAGAGCATCATTTAAAAAAATAATAATACTGATGTATGCAGAAAAAACCATAAGGAAGCTATATGGATATAATAGATTTTTGATGCGGGCAACAGGGCAAAAGGGAGCTGAGCAAAAATACACATCAAACTTTAAGACAATACATTTTGTACTGAAAAACTGTTCATAGCAGAGCATCTTTTTATTTGTCATTAAGCCCTATGTCAGTTTTTCAAATGTCAGTAAAATAAGAGGCTTAGAAATGACATCACTAAATGTTAACCTCAACTAACCTCCAAAACTCTTCACAGCTGTTTTTTTTATTTTTTTTACTTTAACTATTTAAAGTTGGGTTATTTGCTTCTTATCCAAATCCAGCTCACTAAAAAACATAATATGACCCAAAATCTTCACAATCCATCCAGAATGCTACATTTATCCTATGTTAAATATTCCCAATGACATCAGTTTGCTAGTGTTCCACCAGGGGGCAGCATGAACGCAGAACATGAAGGTGCTCCATCTGCTGCAGCTTCTGAGTAATTTGTGGTTTTCATGTTATTGCTCCTGCAAAATATTCACTTAAATCAATTATCCAAAGAAAGATGTGTAGGAGTGTAACTGCTTGGGGAGAAAACTAAAAAGAACAGGAGGAGTAAATCATCTGATCATGACCAGAAATAAACAGAGCTTTCATCCCTGCATTTCAAGGAGCCTGAGACAGGGGGCAATATTTCTCCACTCACCTTCAGTGGCAAATTGCTCCAGGTGCTTTAATGTGATCTCTTTGTACCTTGAGCTGTCTGCCAGACGGTCGTAGATCACAGTGTCCTGAAAGGAAATAAAAATTCTTTGGTTCCCAAAAAGCAGAGTAGAGAAGGTAACCGGCTGGAGATGTTAGGGTTGAGAAATAGAGCTGAAAACTCGCTTCTTTTTCTCATCAAATGCAGGGATCTTCTGCACCAGCTCAACTATGCTTCTTGATAATTTATTCCAGCCATTAAAACCAAATCCAAAATATACAACATAACATTTATTTTCAGTGTGTATGTAATGCACTCATCAATCCAGAAGCTTCTGCAGGCTTGTGCCATTATGGGCTGGGAATCCACTGCTGGATTAGGTGGCTAAAAACATTTATGAGAAACAAACCATGTGCATTTTGTGCACATTTTTAACATGCAGCAGCCGCTATCCCGCTGCTGCAAAGACAGGCTTCCTAACGCGAGAGAGACGCAGGACAGAGACAGAGCGGCATGGTGGTGATGGGCTGCCATGCGTTGCCATGGAGAGAGACAGCCACTCACAGCTCCTTTGCAGTAGAGGCGAATCTTCCCAGATGGGGTGCGCATGATGACCGACATTCTCTTCCTGGTGCTGTGAAAAAAAAAAGCCCAAACAGCGTGGAGAAGGTGAAAAACAAAAACTGACAACAGGTAGAAAAAAAAAACTAATGGTAGCTGGAGCATAAAAAAGAAAAGAAAATACCTTGTAAATTCAAGAACATGAAGCAGCTCATACTTTTCTTCACTTCCGAGCTGAAAAATCAAAGGTAGAAGCAAATGTAACCGATCAAAGAGAAGCTCCTTAATCTTAGTTTTCTGGCTGAAATCACATTAGGTAGCACAAGCAAACATTTCCTTCTCATCTAAATCGGCAGTAACTGCAGCTTAAACATGTTTATCAGTGGCTTCCTGAGCTGATTGCAGCAGCACAAGGCAAAATTCAATTAACTTTCTTAATTGGGAGGCCTGCTAGGTGAAAGATCAGAGTGATTAAACAGACGCTGAGAATCTTAGAAGCTCTAATAGCTATTAGGAAATAGGACAAACATATCTGATGCTAGAGGGGGAAATACGGAAACTGTTCTGCCTTTTTTAGCCTCAGTTTTAAGGGCAGTCATCCTGTTTGGCTCTTAGGCTACAGCAGAATGGCTGACCTGAGACACTTCCTCACCATCAGATATGATCGCCCACAGATGTACAGCTTTCACATCCTCTGGCCTAGATAAACATCTGTTTATGACAACAGCTATAATGCAAGGGAATGACTCTGCCTTTTTACCACCTGATGTGTGTGTGTGTGTGTGTGTGTGTGTGTGTGTGTGGGGGGGGGGGGGGGGGGGGGGGGGGGGGAGGGGTGGGGGGGTGCTGACATTCCTGTAAGCTGTCTGACTTACTATTTCCACAATCACGCTGTCAGGGGTTCGTCCAGAAAACACAAAGCCGAGGTTTCGGGCCGCTCTGACTAGAGCTCCTTCATCTTCAAAGACAAAAAGGAAAAAACTAAAAATTACTATAAGGAGACATGAACATATTATTGTCCGCACACAGCTTTCACAATGTTTAATAGATGAACATTTATTTGAAATAAAAAATGCACATCTATATTTACAGGCATGTCGTTTTACGACACTCTCTGGTTGCTGTGCAGCAAACTGCGGAAAATATTCAATAGTTAAAAATGCTTTTAAAGGACCAGATTGAAATAAAGTTCCATTCTTCATCGCTAGATTTCAATTACAGCTGACATATTATTTCAGTTTACAGCCTGTCCTAAAGCTAGTGGGTCTAATAAAAAATAAACACGGCTACAGCACAGGAGAAAATATTTGCATGCATGTAGGTCGCCTGCACCTGTGTACTTAACATGACTGTAATGACATCTCTAAGTTTAGTTCACTATGCACAAACATAATGACGTAAAAACCCTGAGATTAATTTTTTCTTCACTGCCCAACACATTTACACACATTTATATTTTTTGTCTAAAGGCACACAGAGGTCTTTATTTATAAGATCCCTTATTTTGGTTCAAACATGCCAAAGAGCAATAGAATAAACTGAAAAGTTAAACAGTTTAGGCTTCTATTACAAAGCAGAAAATACTAGAAGGCTTTTCCTGCTCAACAATGATAGTATTTCAGTGGAGCTGAAACAAGCGTTGAAGGGCATGTTTCCCTGACTGACAGCTGTCTCTATTCATTACACCCTACTGTGAATGTGAGAGACTTTGGGATCACGCTAAGGCTAAAGGAATCAAAAGTGACACACAGCATGCTTTCTGTAAACAGCAGACCACATTTGATAGTGTGATTCCTGGCTCTTCAGTGTTTAGGATGATATAAATGAATTATGGGATACTTGGGCCAGTAGGCTCTAACAGAGAGCTCTCTTTGCTCAGGCTGACAGGTCACCACAGGGAGAATCAAACATTACAGAAACACTTCAAGGACCTTTTCTATTCAAATCACCAATGCAGTATCAGAGAAACAAAAAATGAATGGTTCTATAAGCAGAACTTTATAATTATCTTGAGTTTCTTTTATTTTGAACTTCTTAAATTGCCAAACACCTGCCACCATTTCAGTTTTAAAGTAAAACTGAGAAAACGTATAAAGACACATCAGATGCTGAGAAGATGGACCGAAAGAAAAGGATAAGCTGTAATACCTGGAGAAGCAGCTTGGTAGATGATCTTTCCGTCGATGCGCTCAGGCACTGCAGTGTGACAGATGGCCATCATGGTCATGAAGTCCAGGATAACAGCAGCTGTAGGCTAAGGAAGGAGGAAGAAAAAACAAAAACACGTTTATCTAATGTTGTTAAATAAAGCATGTGACAGAAGCAGAACGACCTTGACACCACTGATCGAAAGACAGATTTAATTCAATAAAAAAATACTTTATTATTACCAAACAGAAATGAAACTGATTGAGATCAATCTTAGGGAAACATTTTAAAGATCTAACTGATGAATAACATCAGTAAAATACAGCAGAAGCAGCATCAATAAGGCCAGACACATGAAGAAAGGTTCACTATGAATGAATGTTCAGGACATAAGGGTGTAAGGGTTGTAAGCTACAAGGCATGTTATGGTCCAAATAATTAAATGATCATCTTATGAAGCACTTTTTAATCCATAGTCTGAAAACTGAGCAGCCAAGGCTCCAACTTAAACTTTCATACCACCTAACACAGCATGAAGGGTAAGCAGAGCAACATCCAGAGATGGAGCTGCACAGATCAATATATACAGGTGCTGGTCATAAAATTAGAATATCATGAAAAAGTAGATTGATTTCAGTAATTCCATTTAAAAAGTGAAACTTGTATATTATATTCATACATTACATACAAACTCATATATTTCAGATGTTTATTTTGTTTAATTTTGATGATTACAAATGACAACAAATGAAAATCTCAAATTCATCATATCAGAAAATTAGAATATTGCTGAAGACCAATAAAAACAAAGGATTTATAGAAATGTTGGCCAACTGAAAAGTATGAACATGAAAAGTATGAGCATGTACAGCACTCAGTATTTAGTTGGGCCTCCTTTGGCCTGTATTACTGCAGCAATGCGGCGTGGCATGGAGTCGATCAGTCTGTGGCACTGCTCAGGTGTTATGATAGCCCAGGTTGCTCTAATAGTGGCTTTTAGCTCTTCTGAATTGTTGGGTCTGGTGTATTGCATCTTCTTCTTCACAATACCCCATAGATTTTCTATGGGGTTAAGGTCAGGAGAGTTTGCTGGCCAATTAAGAACAGGGATACCATGGTCCTTCAACCAGGTACTGGTAGCTTTGGCACTGTGTGCAGGTGCCAAGTCCTGTTGGAAAATGAAATCTGCATCTCCAAAAAGTTGGTCAGCTGCAGGAAGCATGAAGTGCTCTAAAACTTCCTGGTATGTGGCTGCGTTGACCCTGGACCTCAGAAAACACAATGGACCAACACCAGCAGATGACATGGCACCCCAAACCATCACTGACTGTGGAAACTTTACACTGGACTTCAAGCAACGTGGATGAAGTGCCTCTCTTCTTTTCCTCCAGACTCTGGGACCTTGATTTCCAAAGGAAATGCAAAATTTACTTTCATCAGAGAACATGATTTTGGACCACTCACCAGCAGTCCAGTCCTGTTTCTCTTTAGCCCAGGCAAGACGCTTCTGACGCTGTCTGTGGTTCAAGAGTGGCTTGACACAAGGAATGCGACAGCAGAAACCCATGTCTTTCATACGTATGTGTGTGGTGGTTCTTGAAGCACTCACTCCAGCTGCAGTCCACTCTTTGTGAATCTCCCCCACATTTTTGAAGGGGTTTTGTTTCACAATCCTCTCCAGGGTGCGGTTATCTCTCTTGCTTGTACACTTTTTTCGACCACATCTTTTCCTTCCCTTCGCCTCTCTATTAATGTGCTTGGACACTGAGCTCTGTGAACAGCCAGCCTCTTTAGCGATGACCTTTTGTGTCTTGCCCTCCTTGTGCAAGGTGTCGATGGTCGTCTTTTGGACAACTGTCAAGTCAGCAGTCTTCCCCATGATTGTGTAGCCTATAGAACTAGACTGAAAGACCATTTAAAGGCTTTTGCAGGTGGTTTGAGTTAATTAGCTGATTAGAGTGTGGCACCAGGGGCCATCAATTTTGAACCTTTTCACAATATTCTAATTTTCTGATATGATGAATTTGAGATTTTCATTTGTTGTCATTTGTAATCATCAAAATTAAACAAAATAAACATCTGAAATATATGAGTTTGTATGTAATGTATGAATATAATATACAAGTTTCACTTTTTAAATGGAATTACTGAAATCAATCTACTTTTTCATGATATTCTAATTTTATGACCAGCACCTGTACAGTACGCTAACCAAACCTGACCGTTATAGAAGAATAGCAAAGAATACATTTACAAAACACCATAAGCAGCAAGGTTCCTAGGAGGTTGGTCATAACTGACAGACATGGATGGAGCTTATCTTGACACTGTGGCAGAGATTCACCTTCTGGTAGGACAAGAACCTTTAGAATAAACCCAGAACTGTAACAGAAGGGCTTCAATCGGAACCTATTCAGGAGGTCCAAGGACCCGACCAAAATCAAAGTAGGCTTTTGTGGCAAAATGTAAAAGTAAACTAATAATTAAAGACGCTCTCTGACCAATCCGACTGAGCAGGATCTCAATAGGAATGAAAATATGATAATTAACATCAGGAATTGCTCTAAAACATGGTTTAGCAAAGCATTGACCTGGACAGGCAGATTAGAAATATATGCTACAGGGTCCAATCCAGAGATAGATAGATAGATAGATAGATAGATAGATAGATAGATAGATAGATAGATAGATAGATAGATAGATAGATAGATAGATGGATAGATGGATAGATGGATAGATGGATAGATGGATAGATGGATAGATGGATAGATAGATAGATAGATAGATAGATAGATAGATAGATAGATAGATAGATAGATAGATAGATAGATAGATAGATAAACTTTATTCCGGACTCATGGTCCAATAAATACATACAAAAAAATAAAATAAAAATAGTTAATGATAAAAACCCAATACAAGTACCATTATCGATTAAATAGGATCTTTAAGAAGACAGGAATACCAGTGTCTCCACAGCTTAGACTGATATCGGATTGCACTACGTGTGGTATCAGTGAGTGACAAAATAATATCGTTTTCAGATGCATTTAACCTACAAATAAACTTATACATTAACTTTCGTAGAACAGCTTGTAGGGTATTAACTCTTGCTGTGACAAACATCTCACTTGCATTGGACCATCTTGGACGTTTCAAAAGTAACCGCATAGCATCATTATAGGCCACCTGCAGCCTTTGGAGGTTGACTTTTCTATAGGTAGTCCACAGGTGAGCAGTGTACAGAGAGGTACAATATGCATTAAACAGTTCCACTTTGACTTTATCAGTACATGAACCGAATTTACGTGCAAGGCTATTAGCGTGAGCATACAACAATCTACATTGTCTGCAAATATCATCATCGTCTGACAGATTTTCTGTGATGATGTGCCCAAGATACTTGGTTTTATTTGTTACGCCCAGCACAGTATTTGACAGCAAAAAATCTGGAAACTCAGTAGATTTATCTTCCTTACTCCTACAGATCATGATCACACTTTTAGATGGATTTATTCCACCTAAAAATTTATTCACTTCAAAGTTTTGTCATATAAATGCCAATAAAACAAAGTTAACATATTTGATGTTTTGTGACAATTATAAAGCTGAAAAAAAGTATGAACACTTTTGCAAAGTAATGTAGCAGCTTGTTGTCAGCTTTACAGATTTGAAGACATAGCTTCATCCATCTGTGACCTCAAATAATTAATCTTTGTTTATTTTATATATTACTAAATTAAAGCCCTCAAATCCAAGATTTAAAAATGTCAGCAATATTTTTACTCGTTGCTTTTAGAAGAGCCAGCCTGAGGTGTATTCCTCCTTCAAAATGGGAAGCATATGCAGTGAAGTGTCCGATCTGATCAGACAGATGACAGCTGGTAACCAGCCAATAGGCTCACACAACTCGCCCGCTGGATTCAAGCTGCGCACACACATTTAGTCATGTTTTTCCACTCAAAATAAACTTGCCTCAGTTCATGGAAGAAAAAAGTAGAGCCCAACCTACATACTGAGGGCATTTAAATTAATGAGAAGACCGGAATGACTAACCTTCTGTGGGGCGAACTCAGACAGGCATCTGCTGAGGCTCCAACTAATGCCGAAGGACTACCAGTCTGGAGTCAGTAACTACAACTATGCTAGAGATATTAGCAGCCTGCAGGGCCACAGCACGCCTTAATATAACAGCAAAAAGAAAAAAAACACATTTCCTAACAATGATCTAATACTAGTCTAAACACTCAGAATTTGTGAGCAATCGTTGCAATTTAATAACTGGACACAAAGCAGCTACAACGTATATATACCAATCAACCTTTAATTATGCAAGTACATGAATTTATGAAGTGATTATTTGAAGAAGTTCTGCTTTAACTCCCTTTATTTAAAGCTACAGTGTGTAATTTTCAGCGACATCTAACGTCCAGACTGCAGACTGCAGCAACATGAACATCTCCCCCCCACCGCTTCTCCCCCCCAACAATACGGCGAGCGTTACGGGACAAAATGTCTTCCACGACGTCGGAATCACCTACCTTTTCAATTAATGAGGTTTGTTTACATAGATAATTTTACAGATAGTATTTCATTAGTCTGTGTAGGGTATAGATTTGATAATAATAAATATATCCGTTATTTTTATTCTACATCGTTGTGACGTTTTGGTGAGCTGCTTTGCATGGTGATATAAACAGACAAAGTAATTGTAGTCATTAGTTTAACAGCGAGATTGTGTTCGCTGGAAGAATACCGGTATATATTCCCCGTTTACAGAGTCCAAGTCTTGTTTGTGGCACGGGGGTTAGAACGCGAGGAAGAGGGAAAAGAAGAGGGCAGAGAGGGGTTGACTATAGCGGAGGAGGAAAGAATTGAAGATCTCCAAAGGAGCCGGAGAGAAGTAACCGAGGTATATATCCGTAGCTCGCTAATATGCAGCTTCATATATCTGTCTCTCTCACACTCACACACGCCACTATCAGCTGTGGTAATTTTATGAAGCTGTGGCCTTACCTGTCCAAGAGAAAACTGGCAACTTGAGCGTCACTTTGAAAACCTTTTTCCTCCGTCAGTGCCTTCCATCGTGTAAATGCCGTGCCAATGTTGATCCGTGTTTTTTGTCGTTTCTTGTCACGCTTGCGTTTATTCTCGTCGTGTTTCCGCTTCTTAGATGACGGGGGTTCGGTGTCCGCCGCTTTTCGTTGTGATACAGAGTAGGCATGATCCTCCATTCGTCTGATGTTTGGCAACACAGTGCCAAACAGTTTGCAAAGTCACTCACGCCTGCCGCCTTGATCACCTTTCTTGTTACTGAAGCGCAGTATACCTGCTTCTTCTTCTTCTTTGGTTTCAGGCAGACTAAACGCTTCTCAGGCATAATACTGCCATCTATTGTTCAGTACCGTCTCAGTTAATCTCTCAACTTGCCGTAGTTACTTTCGAGCGTAATGGGCGATCTCGCAATCGCTAGTTTGTTGCTTCTGCGCTGCCGTAGCGCAAAGATGTCAGCCTCCATGGCTGCGAGACCCGCTCCTATGTAATTATAAATAACGAATTCTAAGGCAACGTAAATATTATGGTTAAAAGGCTGAGCTCATAGGTGATGATAAATAACATAGTTATGTATAATATATTCAATTTCTGACTTTATATCCCTGTAATTATTACACACTGTAGCTTTAATATAAAGGTCTGTATTTGAGGACATTGTTAGTAGATTTGTGCTGCTGGCCTTGAAAGCAATGATAAAAGGAGCAAAGGGGGAAATAAATGATGGGAGCAAAGGGGGCAAATCAAAGGGTCACTCGTGAGCAAAAACACACAGAGTTTATTGCCGCCCAGGTGGCTGTGAGAGTCCCCTCCGTCTCCTGGTCGCATGCTAATTTGGTCTGGGCTTACAGGTATCCTCTGAAGGACATATGGGTGTGGATATGCATGTGTGAGTGAGTGTAGCACACCGAATGTTTTATACTAGTTAAAAGCTCAAGTGCAGGAAGAAAAACTTAAGTTATCCATCCATTAAATATATATAAAAACATTTTTAATATTTTAACTGTAAACAACAGGGATACAGAAATGTGGAAGCGGGCTCATTCATGCAAAGATAAATGCTAAGAAGGCCGTCTTAATACATCTAAACGGTCCTTGGTTTAGGGTCATTTTAATGAGATTATGGTCTCATTAATAGAGACCAGAATCTCTGTTAACAGACACACACATGATTGGCCAGAAATGACCTCTGCCAATCTTTTGATCACATCTACCCTGCTTTTTAACCTCTCATTAACAATATTAACCAGATAGCATCATGCTATACCAGCCACGTTTTACTGTGTGAAAGCTTCCTCCTCTTTGATATATTGAAGTATGTCTTTAGCATTATTCTGCCAGCCAGATATTTCTCTATGGGAGGGTTTCCCATAGAAAAATATCCCAATAAAATCATTCTGCCACCTCTTTCTTGTGGTGCACAGAATTAATTGAGTATGACTAACATTTGAGGCAATATTAATACTTTTGTAAGGCATTGTAAGGTACATTTCTATATTACAGCCAAAAAATGAATGGGAATAAACAAAGATAAAGAAACAACCACAGTTAAACCATGGTTGATTATCTGCAGCTCTATGTCACATTGAACTCTGGGTAAATTGTGCAACTGTAGTAATGACCAAGGTTATTATTGTTAATTAAAACAAGCAAAATGATAAAAATTAGAATGTAAAAAAACATTTTTGTTAACTAAAAAAAAAAAAATAGAACTTGACCTTACCAAAAAATATATACCTGAAACTGTATTAAGAGTTTAAAGAACTAGTTAAAGCTACTGTAACAGCCTTTTAAGAGAGAGTGTGCTGAGTTTTTGTTTCTGTCTTTATCAATACGTATTTATATGAAACCTAAATTTTGGTTCTCTTATTTCTCATTTTCATTTTTAGTCTTGCCCCCCTGGGATGTAAGCTGAATTACATAAAAGACTAAACGTATAACCAAAAGTAATAAAAAACTAAACTGAAACCAAGCTTTTTCACTAGGGCTGAACGATCTTGCCAAAAATCGAAATTGTAATAATTTTCTACCAATATTGCGATTTTATTGCGATATTCCTTTGCGGTAAGCACAAGCATGTGGATGTTGTACTCCAGGGTTTACAGTTTTTTCAGTGTTGCAGGATTCTACTGTAGAATTTTCACAAACAAGTTCTTCCTTTTACTATAACGCATTAATCTAGGTGCTAGATGCAACTCTCTCTTCCCTTTTGTGCGAAAGCGTACCTACTTTAATCGTATTACTGCCACCCAATGGGCTGGAGGGAGGAATTTAGGGTCTTACTCATGTTATATGTATTGTGAATAGAAAGTGGTGCCTCTGCGATTTGAAAATTTTTGGTTAAAAAAATCTTTCTAAATTGCGATTATAGTGCAAATGCAATTAATGCAATTTTGCCCAGCCCTAATTTTCACACAAAAAAACTAGCCTACTTAAAGGTCCTATATTATTCAACATTGGAAACTAAAAAATATTAACAATGAGGCACCCAGAGCAGCTTTTTGCTCTCAGATTAGGCAGACAGCCTTTAGAAAAAAAATCTTCTAATTCAGTCCTCCTCTGGAAGAGCTGTTTTGGCCACAACCCACAAACATGACAACGAGAGTTTGTAATAGCAGCTACGAGTGTGGATTAATACATTAGACGAAGGCCGTAATGCTTGCTGCTACAGACCAGTATGGACAGCTTATTTCCCCTGATGACATATGAAGGGGAATTCTTAACAAACAGAGCATTTTGAGAACATTAGCTAAGAGGTGGAGAAAGGCAATGAAAGAGGGCTTTTTGATTCGTCAATCTCATACACGGGCTTCATTGTTACAAAATGTTTATAATGTGGAATTTGCAAAGTATTGGACCTTTAACATGAATTAGAATTCAAATAGAGTTGACAGTCAGAACTAAAAACAAAATAAAAATAAAAGCTAATGGACATTTAAAACTATTTCTACCTTGGTAATGACAAACACCTCAGGTCTGTCCAATGTTGTAATGGGCTGAGTGGTGAGGAGAAAGCAAAGAGGACAGCTGTAGCATAAAGAGCTAGGACATTGGTGAAACTCAGCAGACAGAGAGCAAACACTAGAAGGCATTTGTATTTTCAGAACTGTTAGATCCACTCTTCTCACCACTGCGTTAACATCAGCTCTCTAAACAGCTTCCAGACATGTAAAACTGTTAGTGACAATAATTAGCAATGGCCCAGTAGGAATCCTAGAGACCGCCTAAGAGTGTTTGTAGAGTGAGAGTTTTAGGCGTGAACTGAATTCAGCACTCTACTTATCATCGTCAGCCCCACCATGCGAGTGACAGTGACAATGTGATAGAGTGCTTAATGAGCTTTAATGTAAAGATAGACAACTGTCGGCGAGGAACAGAAATTAATTTATTTTAGAATAAAGACGAGGCAGAAACAAGAAACATTACAAGAGTCGCATCCTGAAATCAACTGGACAATGTTTCTGTTTAGACGGACTCTCAATGCCACTCTGACATGCCTGCACCGACGTTTACATAAAATAAATCAAAGTCTATATTTGATGAATGAGGGGGTTCTTAGTGTTAGAGCAAACAGGTTTAAGAGAGATTAAAGAATACAATTAAACACTAAGAAGCATGCACAAAAATATTGGCTTTACCTTTGCGCTGTAGCAAGAAGACTTCATCAAACCCTTAACTCACTGACAAGCCACCATTTGACTGTTTCGTTTGCGGTTTGGTTTGAGAAGCAAAGGAGTTGTACCTAATAAAGTGATCACTGACTGTAGGTATTTCATCATTTCTAAGCGATTTCTTTGGAACAATCTTGAACTACATAAATATTAAGTGTGAAAACAATGGATCTGAGACCAGCTATGATGTTAAGCCCTATTCTTGTTAAAGGTATAGAGGATGATCTTTTATTTCCAGGTGGATCCTCTAAATAAGTGGTGCTCCTAATTGTCAATCATTCTGGTGATATGTTTAAGTAAGGCCGTCCAACAGCAGCAGCAACTAATAACAAAGATGGTAGAGGCACCGAGGAGTTACATGATCAACTGGGAGCAAAAAGCAGTGATCTTCTGTCTGAACGGTAAGTTAGCCGAGTTTGCTATAAAGTTGACTATAAAGTCCTTGCTTTATATAGTGATTGAGCGATTTAGGGGTTAGGGCGGACGTTCGGACACAGTAAGCTTGTATGAGCGATGAGAACAGCAACTTTTAAACAGAGCGTGCAGGAGGAGAAATGGGCTCATGCTTGCTCTTGCACGCATTTAACAGGTGTTCCCTCTGGGGAGTGCGTACAGGGTTGTGCATGTGCATATTTTTTTAAGTGGAGAGGGCGGGTCTTTTAAAAAAATTCGCGAAAACCTTCCACAATACCTTTAACCACTAAATAAAAATCCAGGCTTAAGCACAACAAATGAATCATGAGCAGAAGTATAACCACAGCTGCAGACAGACTGTGGTTTTCAAACAGCAGTAGGTAATTAGCGGTGGGTGAGGGCCTATCAACATGGATCTAGAGAAGACCTTAGACAAACCAAATGTGTGAACAGATTCTGCTGTCATCATGTAACAAACATCTCAGTGGGATTACCAATTTCCCTGAGCAGAAACACTGTACATAAATAGATCTGACATTCTGCCTCCTTAACTTTTTTCTGCAGCTGAGTGACTCACAAGCAAAACAATCAGTCTTCACCCAACCTACTGCATGTACAGATGGTCATGATGTCTCCTCTTATTTCACATCTAGAGTGTCTGGTGAAGTTTACAATGAATGGCTAGTCTGTTGATCCCATGGGGAATTTGACTCTTGAATCTCGTTTGAAAGCAAACAGTTCTAAGTTAACTTATGCAAAGATCACCAACATAATTGTACTTGGGAAAAAAAGGTAAAAAAAAAATGATACAAAGACTGAGAAACAAAACCTCTCTTAATTTGTTCTTAGCAGGAGAAGCATCTGGAGGCAGGCGACGGGGCTCCCTAGCATTACTTACGTGATTGCTTTGGAGGTTTTCCAGTAAGCTCTGGTCATTAAATCCAGCCTCCTCTGACGAGTTTGCGCTGTGCCTGGAGAGAAGCAAAGAGGAGACATTAATTCACCACAACAAACTTTGATAGAGCAACTAGCAGCAAACCAGAACACGAGAAAACATTGGACCTGACTGGAAAATAGACAGTCATTGTACATCATAATCAAAGCTCATTTTAACAACAAAGGAGATGATGAAAAGAGATAAAAACAGGAAGAATCATAAACAGTCTCTCAGGTAAACAGTGATTGGCGGTCTCCAAGAAGGATGTAACTTAATTTAAAGTGACTTTCATTTTCTGCTATTACTCAACCACAATAGCTTCTTTTTTAAACACCTGTCAGTGTTTTTATTTGTCTTTTTTTATTAAATCTAGAAATTACACTAACATCTTAGTCAAGTTTGATTGCAAACATTAAGCTTTAAAATACGTGCACTATGTGCAAACGTGTTAAAGAAATATCCCTCATGTTTTCCTTTCCCACAAAGTGCACATTAACAAAGACCTTATTACTAAAGGGTACATCTAAGAAAAGCTTTTATAGCAAGAATATCACATGTGTAAATGTAGCGCCGTGTGACACCTGTGGTTGCAAAGGACTAAGCTCTGCACAAGTAGAGGAGAAAAATGGCCCAGTTTCTCACCTGATTTATTACCCAAGTAGTGACAGATCTGGAAGAGTTAATAGCACTGCCAGTGCAGTATGCCAGCAGTATTGACATAAATTGAATTAACTACATCGCAGGCAGAATGCAAATATTGGTTCCCTGGGTTTCAGTTAGGCATTTTGGAGCACAGCTATTTTGGATTCTGTCCTCCACCTCAGAAATAAATCCCTGAGAATAAAATATTAATCATGAATAATAGATTAAATAATTGTTTTATTAAAAGTTCACTATCAAACATAAATATTTGCATTACTCCCTTACTTGGCATATATTAGTGCATCTCTATAACAAAAAAAAATTAAAATTAAGCAACAGTTGTAATGCACTTTTATAAGTAACGCTCTGTATATAGATTCTTATGAATGATGCATTTGAACCAAATATTCCAATTGATTTGAATGGTTAGTATAAAACTAAAGATTATGTAAGACCCCTGATCTTTTTTTTAAAGCAGCCTAATGATAATGGGAACGTGGTGAATAAAGCTGTACTTCGTCTCCAGTCCAACAGGTGGCAGTATTATCTGGGTAACTTCTGTTCCCTAGCAACCGCAACAGTTTGAAGGATGAAGTTGTAGTAAACCAAAGAAATCTTTAAATATAAATTGACTAAATTATAATGTTAACTTCCAATATTGGTGAAATAAAACAGGAAATTGCAAATAACTTGCGGGAAATGAAGCAATTGCTCAGGGCATTACCAAAGCTGGCAGAGAAAGTGGTCTGTAGGCATGTCGACTAGATTTATCTACTATAATGCATATGTGTATCACTAGTTCTACACCCCACAGACGATATATTCACACATGACCTACTGTAACAGTCTACCACGTACATCCATTTAGGGTACAGTACTTGGTCATACTTGCAAGTAGGAGGATATTTTTGCATTTCAAATATACAGAGTTGTGGAATCAAGTCTTGCAACTTTCTAAAGAAAAGACACTAAAAGACTAGACTTTAACCTAGACTTTAACACTACTGATTCATGATGTCACTTGGTAATAAATGTCTTTTGACTTGTACAGTTAATACCTGATATCTCACATTATACAAACAAAATCCACATTTCACTTGGCATTAAAGCTAAACCAACATTAGCATTTAAGTGAAAACGACACAGAATCTCAAGAAGAATTGAGGGCTGAAGTAAACCTCCTTTTTGGAATGCCATTTAGAGAAAAGCTAATCTTATATTTTTATTATTCATTAAAGAGATGTAATTAGCATGACAATAAAAATGTACAAAGAAAACTACCGAACTTTAAAAAACTGTTAAAATAACATTTTTTGTTTTATTTCAACTCTAATTTTATATTCTACTGTAATTACATTAAAAACTGAATTTTAGCTCTTTTTTTGTTTTAAATGGATTGCATTGCTGGAATAAACAAATTCAATAGATTTGTAATTTTGTGAGATGATCATCTACTTAAAACAATACGATTATGAAAACACAGCTATTAATGAAAGAAATCTTTCTGATCTTATTATTAAAAATAAAGGATATATTTTGAAAAATACAGAAAAATACAGAGGGATTAAATGTATAAATAGCCAATAGCCTGTGATTATGTGTCCAGTAGGGATCAAATAGAGTCCTTCAGCTCAGACAGACAGCAGCTTTGCCCGTGGCTCTAGGTTTGACTGACTGCTAACAGAGGCTCCTTTCTCTCTTTCAAACCCAACAGCAAGAGAAAAACAGGTCTGTAAAAGGTATATTAAAAACTGACATTAAAGGACACAAACTGGGCGATAACATAATAAAATTATGTAAAAAAAGTGTGACTTGTGTTAAAATGTTGGCTACAACCGGAAAGACTTTGAGAAAGCTACCCATGCCTAGATCATAAAAATATTTACATCATTAAAAGGCTGAAAGGTTATATTTCGCCTAATGTTTCTATTAAATCAGCAGAGCAGTTTGCCATGTTCTTTGTCTCAATAAAACTTGCTAGGAGCTAAACTGAGTGAGAACAGATCGAGATATTGATTATCCTTCAGCACGCTCAGGGGCGGTTGCTATGGGAACAAGGGTAAAGGCAGTTCATGCTCGATAATGAGGGAATAGATCCAGATGCAAACTTTGACACATCCTGCTGTCACCTTTAAGCTAGGAAGAAAAAAACTCACAAGTGAGCTCTATCAAACATGCTTTACCTTGGAATCCTCTAATAATTTTATTATGTATCAGGTATGCAGGAAATATCAATCAAGAAATATACTTTTCAGGATGATTGCAAAATGTATAACCAATCTATCAAACAAATGCTGCGAATATGTCAAGAATGAGAAAGAGAGCGGCTTGTGAGAAAGAGAGGGTATTAATGTAAGTGGCAGTCATTGCCAGAGTTAAACGGATATTAAGAAGCTACAGGAAAACCACAGCTTTATCCCTAATGTACAGCAACCAGTTCATATTTTATCATTATATTATTATTAATATAGATTTAACAAACAAAACCTACTAATTATTGCATGCATCATTTTGTTTAATTACATCAAATAATAATAATAACCATTAGTAGCACACTACCTGTTTGTTCACAACAGATATACAATGCGTTAAAAGCCACAGTCACAAACAAAACGTCCAGAGAGTATTGCACAGGCACAAAGAAGGATCACACACTGAGGTATTGAGTTCAGAGACACACTTTCCACAAGGCAATGCAGCACTAATACATCACAAAGGCAGGGAGAACAGCCATTTTTTCCCCCTCAAACACCAATCATCTTACCAGTCTTCTTCTGCAAAACTACCGTCCTCAGCTTCAGGGACATGGCTGTTGGAGCGAAGGTGGAAACAAAGGGTATCTTGTTGACAAAGTCTGGTTACATTGCTGTGTTTGTGTTCAGGAGCCACGGCAAGAGTTCAAATGAGGTTAATAAAGTGCTGTTGGTCAGATGATTCCCTGTGCATTCTAATGAAATATTCAGATGCACTACATGCATTGTATGGATAGGGGCTAGATACAAGCAGCACTGTATGGTCAAGTAGATTAGAATAAAGACAAATAAATGAATCAGAATTAACCTTTTGGTCGGGGCTGCACTACAACCTGTCAGTGTTTTGCCCTCTGTTTAGATGTATTTTTAGTTTCTTTATATTTGTAGTTGTTTTCTAGCAGTGTTTAGTTCTCGAGTTACTCTCTGTTGCCCCCTTGTGTTTGTTTCCTTTCCCCTTGGCTTCCTTCTAGATGCTTCCATCCACACCTGTTCCTTGTCAGCTCATTAGTCCAATCTTTGTTATGTCTATATATAGGCTACTTCCACACTGCAGGCCTTGATGCTCAATTCCAATTTTTTTGTGAAATCCGATTTTTTTTGCGTTGCCGTTCATATTTCCAAATATATGTGACTTGTATGTGATCTCCTGTTTGAACAGCAGTCATACGACGCAAGTGTCCCGCATGCGCAGTAGAGGATGCAATGACGTCACAGGCCGGGGTGCCAGGTCAGATGAATGCAACCTGGCCATTCAGACACAGGTCGCATTTGAAAAGATCAGATTTGTATCGGATTCAGGACCACATAGCCAAGTGGCCTGGGTCGGATTGGAAAAAATCGGATCTGTGTTGTTCAGACTGCCATGAAAAGATCAGATCCAGGTCGCATATGGGCAAAAAAATCGGATTTGGGTCACTTCAGGCTGCAGTGTGAACGTAGCCATACTCTCCATGTGCGTTTTTTTTCCCTGAAGTTATCTGGTTTCTTGTTTTTTTTGCATCATTAATTCATTAAATCTACAAAAACTCACCTCTTCCTCCTCACGTCTGCATTTGGGTCCTCAAACCCTCAACCCAACCTGACACAACCCAGGTAATGGAAAGCATTAGGATGTGGATATTACCCCCTTAGTGTCAGAGCTCCTTAAAGCTATCACCTTGTTGACACTCTTGTTGTTACCCTTATGCAGAGGCACCCTCAAGGGCAATGTGATGAAGGATGCATTTCTAGCAATGCTAAATCCTTGGTGTACGAGAAGTGAATTCTGCTGAACCTTTCTGTCAATTTGTGTCAAATCAACCAATCAGGGACGCTGTGATATAGAGAGAGGGATTGCTGCTGAGATTAAGCTTTTTTAAAATCAAAACAAAATATAAAAGGAAGAAGTAGGGTGGCTGAAAAAAAACAACAACTCTACACCGTCTCAGTGCGTGTCCGGTACAGGGGGCCTGGATGTCCACCTTCTCTGCATCCCTGTCACTGTGGTGGACAGAGTGATGCTGTGGGACCTTTGGACTGGCTGCTCTGAGCAGTTTGTTCCACCAGCTATCGCCTGAGGAGCCTTATCAGCTGGATGCACCATTAGAACAGTCTGAATTGACACCAGTTCTTAGAAGAAAAGGTAAGAAATATTCATAAAAAATTCCCATTACCCTCAACAGGTACCCATCTACATTGAGTCTGCCTTAAGGCTGTACAGACTCCACGCAGACGTCCACTAACACATGTCCCCACTAATATGTAGGGGGCTTAAGAGACAAACAAGATATAATACCAACAAATTTATGTTTGAATTAAAATGTAACTCAATATATGCTTCTGCTTCACTTCAGACAGCCCAGAGGGTTGAGAGAGACATTCTTGTTCAAACTACCATCATTTTTCCCTTCATATTTTAACTCCAATCCAGTGGAATTAATTAATGTCTAAACCCTTGGGCATGGCTTTATTAATTACGGCACTACTTCATTTCTGGTGGGGGTTGGGATGTCTGCATGGGCTCAGACACAAAATTACAAGTCACGCTACTCATTAAAAGCACTTCACTTTAAGTTTTTTATTAAATATGCATTTTTTATCCATGCATTCCTTAATCATTACCAATTTTTAAACAGCGTTGGAGCAACTGTGAGCTTAATCCCAAAAATATGCTCTCTAGTGTGCTAAAATCATCAAAAATTAGAAATCACAATTTTAAAATTGACCTTGTTTAAAAAAAATCTACTAAATTGTTTATAAAGGGTGTTTAATATTAAAAGGAAATGCTGAAGAATATTTCACATTTTCTTTTACATATTAGTGGGAGTGTTGGCCTAGTGGGTTAGAGTAGTGCGTTTGTGCTCTGAAAAGGTTGCAAGGTTAGATCCCCACAACTTGCAACCTGGATCCTTGAGCAAGACCCTTAACCCCACACTGCTCCCCGGGCGCCGCACAATGGCAGCCCACTGCTCCCCAAGGGGATGGGTTAAATGCAGAGAGTGAATTTCCCCATTGTTGGACAATAAAGGGTTTTACATTTACATTTTTTACATTCATTTTTTGGGAGCTTAAATTAAGAACATAAAAAGTATTAAAGACCAGCAGTTATTTTCCCTGATCCTCAAACACGTATTACAAGAGATACACATTTCAGAGATTTGACAAAAAAGTAAGGAAAAGACTGTCCTGGCAATGTGGGGTTGAAATCATCATATTTTAAAAATAACTCTGCAACAAGACCTTTAATGTCATGTCACCAATGCAGATAGGTATGCAGTCCACTTAGCCAGCGTGTGAGAGGCTGAAACTTTCAGCAGCTAAGGCTGAAGTTATGTCAACAAAGTTTGATCCTACTGAGCATTTGAATCATTAGCAGCCTGCCTGAGTTAAGGTGAAGACCTGTTTGCCACACAAAGCCACAGAAAATAGAAGCTGATGTTTTAGACACCACAGCTGAGCTAAAATCTGTAATTTCTAACAACAGTGAAACAAATAAACTCCATAATCTCTCTGTTCTTTTTTGGGAATAAAATTGAAAATCTGTTTTCCAGCAACTCCCTTCCTATAAAAATGGTGCCAGCTGGAACTTAAAAAGACACTCTTTGCTAAATTGTAATCGATGCATTTGTTGCCTTAAGTTACACTTTAAAGGAAAAGGTCTTCATCACTGTTGGAGCAGCAGGTCTGATAAAAAAATATATATTTTTTTTAATCCCTAAAAATAGGAGACAGATTTGAACAAAAATATTTTGGGGCAGCATGTCATCAACATCAACATGAATTTTTACTACTTAAATTCCTTGAACCGATATTGTTAATCCAGCTGTGTCTTAACAGTGATTGCAATCAAAATCTAATAGCAGCAGAGCAAAGATAAGATAATGCATTTTGTCCTTTAGTGCAAACTTCATCAATCACTGCTTTTAATGAAACCCTAATGGGATTAATCATCTACAGTCACGCCTGCGCTCGCTTTGCTTCTCTCCTCACTTGTTTTGCATCACTGAAAAGCAATCCAGATTAGGAAAAAAAAAAGCTTATTTGATGAAATGTTAGCATATGCCTAGAGATATATCTATATAAAAATAATCAGCCTTTATGCCAGTGTGTCAAAGATGATGAAGTACATTCCAAACAAAAAATGAAGTTTTGCAAACATCAAATTTCTGCAAAGAGGATGGTGTGAAGAATCTTAGCTTGCAGATTTCTGTCTAGGTTTTATTTATAGTTAACTTTCAGAGTGAGAGGAGAACTGATGCAGGTGCTAATGAGAAGGTGAGAAAGAGACAGCAGATGCAGAGCGATGCATACCCAGCATTTAATAAAGGCAAGAGGGAAGGCTGACTTATGGGACATTGGCAAGAAAGAAGGACGTACCCATAGGCCACACCGGCGACTGTGCACTTCTTAAACTGCATGACATTACATGTCAGCGTTCCTGTCTTGTCAGAGAAGATGTATTTCACCTGTATGGGTAGAAGAACAGCTTAAAGGTGCACAGTTTATTTAAAAATAAAGTGAAAGAAACTCTAAGATGCATCTATAGGATAAATCCATTTAAAATATTACCTGGCCTAATTCTTCATTCAGGTTGGAGGTGCGGGCCATAGCAGGTGTGTTTGTGGGCTCATACAGCATGTCAATGTCCTAGAGGAAATCAGAGAGCAATTAAAGCAAAGACAGAAATGCAGTTGGTAAGTTAAGAAAATAAAAATCAGTTGGTGACTTGATGCAATCCACTGAGGTTACTAAGAGGGAAAACGTTTAACCACCCTGTCCGTATGATTTGATTGAATTGTCTCTGGAGATCATGTGCTGTAAATTGATGCTTATATAAATAAACTGAATGAAACATATTTAAAATTACAGTTTAAATATCTCTGTGATGAAATGCTGACTTTTTCCTCATAAGTTTCTATTTGCCAATTAGAAAAAGTGTACAAATGGGCGTGCCTCAGTGGCACACGACCCATGTACAGAGGCCGACCAGGGTTCAAATCCATCCTTTGCTCCATGTCTCTCCCCCTGTCTCATACCCCGTTTCCTGTCAGCCTACTGCCCATAAAAATTAGCCACTAATGCCATAAAAATGCAAAAAAAAAATGGTGTAAGGCGACAGTGCTTTGCAAACTCCTTAAACAATGTTTTTTATTTTGTTTAATTAGAACTACGATATAATTTGGTGGAATTACACATGTAGACAGAATTGTTGGTGAAAGGAAAACCCACAATGGTCACAGAAATAACTTGAATCTGACAAAAGTGATGATACAAATTAATTGAAAAAGAAACAAATAAAAGTCAGACATTGGTTTTCAACCAGGGTTCAACAGATTGAATTTAAAACAAAAACTAATTAAACAGGCCCGGATAAAGATGATTATACCCTTAACCTCACATTTTGTTGTTCAACCTTTAAACCTTAGAAGCAATCACTGCAATCAATCCATTCCTGTAACAATCAATAAAACTTCTGCTTCTCTCAGCAGGTCCCACTCCTCATGAACAAACTGCTCCAATTGTCTCAGGTTTGAACGATGCCTTTTTCAAACGGCATGCTTCAGCTGCTTCCAAAGATGCTCCATTGGATTTAGGTCAATGGATGAAGGCCACTTTTCTTCTTAGCCATTCATGGGCATTTTTAGCAGTGTTTTTTAGGTCATTTCCTGCTGCAACATCCATGACCTGCAACTGAGACAAAGCTCTCTGACACTGAGCAGCACGTTTCTCTCTAGAATCCCTTGATAGATTTTACATTTCATCGTACCCTACATACAGATGAAGCAAAGCAACCCCAGAACATAAGAGCCTCCTCTATGTTCAACAGTAGGGACAGTATTCTTTTCTTTAACTCTTCTTTTTTTTAATATGTAACATCGAGTTGACGCCTTTGCAAAAAGTTCTATGTTTGTCCTATCTGTCCATAGGACATTCTCCCAGAAGCTTTGTGGCATGTCAATATGTAGTTGATTGATATGATTTGTTTTCAACCTTGGCGTCCTTCGTCATCTTCCATCAAGTTCACCTTTAGAAGTTTACCTAGGCTTTTTCAGCTACCAATAATATCCGTCTCTTTGGTTTTTCATCAATTTTCCTCCTATGGCCAGGAACAGGGAGGTTGGCTAACGTCACATGGATCCTAAATTTTTCAATACGTGCGTCTGTAGTCAAAGGAACATCAGGCTGTTTGGAGATTATTGATTTTCTTTCAGCAAAGAAGGGGTTCCAACAATTACATCCACATGTGTTTATTTTAAAAGACCAGCACGTTGTATATTTGTAAAGAGGAAAGAAATGGAATATGGTTTGAAAGGATGGATTTGTATTCACCATAGCGTGCAGAAAGTACTAAACCACTTCGGTTTGAGCAGCGTATCCTTTGGGGCATATCTCCAACAGCTTTGCCCATCTACAGACTAAATCTTTTATATCCCCACTTGTAAGGGATCTCGAGCTCTTTCAGTCTGAAAGTAGGACATCTGTAAACATCCCATTTCAAGTTTTAACACAGGTTTTTATTTACATATATGTATAAACTTAGGCTGTATGAAGGACTAACTCTGCCATATTTAAAAATAAATACAGAAATAAATAAATGCTCAATAAATGTATAAGCATACAATTAATTGCCAACAAAAAAGTGAGACATAAATGTATATAACTCTTAATTAGCTTCTTTATTTATTTGCCTTTGTAATATTTATCTTATTTATTTTTCTGTCCTTTATAATCTTCAACTTTATTTTTTAATTACTTATATTTTTAAGTATTTATTTATGTGCATGTTATAATATTTTTGTCTGTTTTATTCTTCCTTTGTATTTTTTTACCTTAGTTATTTCTTCGCCGCTGTTTATTTCTCTCTGCCCTTTTTACATTTCTCTATGCATTTCTAACTCATTATGCAAATGAGGAGGGGGTGTGTCCTAGAGAGTCAACTTCTGCTCATTGGTTGGCTTGGCGGCCCATCTTCTTAACTCACAGAGCTCAGAGTACTAAGTTAAATGTTCTCTTTTCTGTTGCTGTTGTTCAATTAAAGTATGTTTTAAGATCATTTGAGGCGAGAACCTTATACATTTAAGCATCACCATATGGCCCATTCACAGATTTAATGCGTAATTTAAAAGAAAATGTGACGAACTTGAGAGGACCGTGGCAACCAGCGGAGCTCCGAAGCTGACGGCAGCCAGGTCTATAGCCAGGCTATGATGGCGATTTTTTGTTGTATTTGGCAAAGTTTGGCAAAGTCCCTACTCAAGTTCTAATGACTTCAGACTCGACATCAGACTCTCCTCCTGTAGATTCGACCGATGTAGTAAAATGCTAACCAACATGCTTCACACACGGCTATGCCGAGAGAGGGCCGCTGCAGATGGGCTGTGGTTAGACCTGGCTGCCGTCAGCTTCGGAGCTTTGCTGGTTGCCGCGGGTCCTCTCAAGTTCGTCACATTTTCTTTTAAATTACGCATTAAATCTGTGAATGGGCCATATGGCGATGCTTAAAAGTATAATGTTCTCGCCTCAAATGATCTTAAAACGTACTTTTATTGAACAACAGCAACAGAAAAGAGAACATTTAACTTAGTATTCTGAGCTCTGTGAGTTAAGAAGATGGACCGCCAAGCCAACCAATGAGCGACACACCCCCTCCTCATTTGCATAATGACACAGAAATGCATAGAGAAATGTAAAAAGGGCAGAGAGAAATAAACAGCGGCGAAGAAATAACTAAGGTATAAAAATACAAAGGAAGAATAAAACAGACAAAAATATTATAACATGCACATAAATAAATACTTAAAAATATAAGTAATTAAAAAATAAAGTTGAAGATTATAAAGGACAGAAAAATAAATAAGGTAAATATTACAAAGGCAAATAAATAAAGAAGCTAATTAAGAGTTATATACATTTATGTCTCACTTTTTTGTTGGCAATTAATTGTATGCTTATACATTTATTGAGCATTTATTTATTTCTGTATTTATTTTTAAATATGGCAGAGTTGGTCCTTCATAAGGCTGAGCCATTGAAGGACATAAATATGCGGGGATTATTGGGGCTGTGGGGCTAGGGCGGCTACTTGAAGGTAAACTTATTCTCCAGGCTTTTCAAGGACAAATCTCAGTTAAATATTCTCTCCTCTTTTAGTCCAGCATCTGATGGAAGATAGACCTGATGGCTGGATTTTATCAGTGAACAACATAAAGCTTTAATTTCTAAACTACATTAATTTTTTTCAAAAAAACAAAGAAAAGTTGCATTAAGCTGTACTTCCATATTTACATAATGATAAATGTGGTAGATAGTAGGGATGGGTATTTTTGCCAAAGTCCTGAATCGATTCGATTTTGATTCATACAGTTCTAAATTGATTCATTTCGATTCGATCTGTTTTTACAATAATGAAAGTGGTTCAACTGTGTTTCAAAAACACCCATGTATTTTATTTTTTCCTGTCATATTAAACACAAAGTGCAAACTTGTAAATTGGACTGTTTAAACTTGAGATGTGAACAAAACTGTCTCAAAAGTGCAAACTTGTTTATGAAAAGGCCTCACTTGAGCAAGCAGACGTGGCACAGCGGGGACACAGCAGACATGCATGAGCTGCATTATCTTCAATGCACAAACCATATTTGCAGCGTGGTCTGTAACAACTACAGGGTTTTTGCTGGTCAGCCCCCATTTGTTAATGTCTTCAATCAACTTAAGTATTTTGAATGCATCTTTCCTGCTCATTTGAATGTGAATGTCACGTACATCACTATAAAACTAATCGATCTCATTCCCTAGACATCGATTTTGCAAAAATGTAAAGGAATCGATTCAAAATTGATTCAATCGATTTTTTTTACCCAGCCCTAGTAGATGGTGAAAGCCTTTAGTTATTTGAAGCATGCAAAATTCCCATCCTGTTGTCTGAATTCATGTTTACACTGAAATTAGAACGACAGCAAAACCTGACACTGTCTTTACTCACCCAGTTGATGAAAAAGGCTTGTATGAATTTGATAACCTCCAGTGTGACCAGTAGGCTTATTGGTATCAGATTGTTGAAAAGGATAATGAAGGTAAGGAAGTTGAGGCCAAAGTTTGCAGCCCCGCCGTCTGTGAGGGGAAACGTTTAGGGAAGGAAAAAGAAAAAAGAAAAAAAGACGCAATGAAACATGGGAAAATACATCAGTGTTTGCTTGGTAATGCCTGTTAGTCAAATCAAAATGCCAAAAGGCTACTTCCAGCTGAGGGTCAACATTCAGGCAATCAATTTTTGGACAAATGTTGTGCATTAGCTGGATGTAGCCTTTTCTTCCACCCAACCTCCTTGTTTTTTCTTAACCGATTAGCAATCCAATTCAAAGTCCCAAAGATTTAAGCCTTGGCATCCAGCATGATCCAGGCAATGAATTCTACAAAGCACTATGCAAGAAATGATATTGGTCCCAGCAAAAAGCCCCAAATGATCAACATTTAAACCCCACTGACACCAAACATGAAAACAGGAGGGATGTGATTTACCTTTCCTCAGCTTGCAGGAGATGCAAATGTTACCTTCCTCAACCCAAGCCTTGAGCTTAGCTTTGCGATTGAGATGGCCAGCCCTTCCCCATGACAGAATGATTTCAGAAGCAAAGGAAAATACACAACACAAAAGAGGTGGCAGAATGGTAGGCTACAGCTAAAAACACACAGAGGAGGGAAAAAAATGCTTTCTGTTTTTAGAAGTGAGGGGGGAAGACAGACATTTCAGATGCTCTCAAGACAAAGGAGGGAGATTCAGTCCACAGCACATTCTCAACTGGCAAAAAGTGGAAAAGAGAGGGTGGATTGTATCATTGTCATCCTAACATCTTCTATTTTCAGTTATTCAAACCACCAGGCTTTATATGACAGATGTTGGCAATAGGTTTGGTATTAGATGGCAAAGTAATAGTGGATTGAGAGGAGGCTTAAAGTTAGAATAAATAAATCAAACCAGTAAACTGGGACATGCAAAAGCAAATCCAATAAATGCAAAGTATAATTGATTTCTTATTTATCACCAGAGTGTAATTATATTATCTGACACAATGGTCAAATGTTTTAATATAAATAAAAGTAAGAAACTTCAAATATTCAACTGATGCAACTCAAGTTGAAAGTAGAACTGGGCCAAATGCACATATCCTTAATATCCAGCAATAGTTCTTCCTTCAAATGGGTAGTTACAATTTATTAAAGCGTAAAACGATCTGCAAAGTCTTCTTAAGCTTTGAAAAGGCACAGTCAACATTGAAATGTGCACGGATAGATTTCTTGTTTTTCACAAAAAGAAATAACATTTGTTGGTAATGGAGATGGACATAAAAGGTCCAGATATTCCCCCAACTTTATAAAAATGCCCTTCTAGGGAAAAAAGGCCCTAATAGTAGCCATGAAAGGCTTAGCAGGAGCATGGCAACTTCTAAACACTGGCTAAACATCCCAGCATTTAAACCAAGAAATCTCACCCTCTGACAGACTTATTTGCATGACTACTTTAAGTTTAATCCGTGGAGTTTTGAGTTTTTGTCGTAAGCAACATTAAAAATCAGCTGCTGACGCTCAGTATCAGAGTTTTACAGCATTTTCCCTTGAAACAAATGGTTGAAATCCAGTAGCCTTAGTGGAAACCCTTCATTACAGAAAGCACAGATTTCCACTGTCAGCATCTTTAACAGATAAAGAGAAAAATGAAGCTCCTTTCAGGCATATTTAAAATATTTTACAGTTATTTATAAATTATTACAACTCTAAAAGATTCCTGGTATTTCACTACTATAAACATTGCATATCATGTGTTAGTGTTCTAAAGAAATATTGGAAGCTAATTAAAAATCCAGTCTTCCAATAGATTTCAATAAGCAGAGTGGCAGCAGGTGGCTTTTTAAGTATAACCGCTATAAAACAATTTAAAGGTAATACTGTCACGGTCTTCCTTTGCATTTTTATTATGTATGATTCAGGACAGAGCTGTTGCAGAGGGTGGAGATCTGTGGCCCAGGAAGGCAGAGACACTCTGGCCGAAGGAGAAGTCGCACTTAATCAGAGAATGTAATTAAATTAAAGGCCTGGGTTTCAGACCAAACGATGGAAATGAAAACAAAAAGGAGCCTAAACAAATTAAAGGGTCAAATATAAAAAGTCTAAAGCAGCCGTAGTGGAAAGGCGACGAGAGAAATGGGGTAAATGTCTTCTAGCATCGTCGTTTTGTTGAAAACAATGGAAAAAAATGGAGCAAGATGAATTCATATTTTATGTGTTTTTAATACATTTAAAACTAGAAGTAATTATTAAAATTTTATTTCATTTAGACAAGCTGATTTTCTAGTTATTGTAGGGATTAAGATCTCCTGACGTTCCAATCTATAATTATTAAAACATACAACAAAAAAGCTTCATTAGCCTTTAACCTCCAGGATTACTGCCCAAAGCAGAAAGAACGGCCATGAATATTTATACTTCATAGCAGCCCCAGTTGTCAGCATGTATTAACCCAATCAAATGCAACTACTAGTGTCAGCACTTTTTAACATGTTTAGGTCAAATTTATCTATTAACTCCATCAGAATGCATGAGCAGAGGTTGGTGTCGGTGATGCACTGACACTTTATTTTTATCTGCATTCATTACAGAGGTGTTTATGAACTGATTCATATTAGAGGACAATCTCTGCACCTCTCTTTTGTCACAGGTTGGATAATATGCACTGGACAGAGCCTCAACAGCTCCTTATGGAAGTAAAATTATTTAAAGATGGATACTTGCTTTACAACTTCCACTCCCTCCATCTCCAATGACTGATACTTTAGATGAAGGATTTAATGTCCATGGGGACAGTGTAAAAACCTTTAAGAAGTCAACAGAACAACAACCAACATTGGGAGAGATAAAAGGGGAATGCAAAGTTGTAATGCAAGCTTGAGTTGGCCGGAGGAACAACCGGTCCAAGGAAGGCCCGTCAAAATGGTAGAAGTCACGATAAGCACTTTGTGTCCCAGGTTCAGATCTTCATCCCAACAGAGCAGCAACCCATTCAAAAAGCTGGAGGATTAGACACAGAGCCCTGGAAAGGTTTTCATCACCACCGTGCTTGTTCACATTAACACCACAACCTTTACCGCATTACAGTATATTATAAAGCTAAACGGCAGTCCGACACAAAGGGGCTTATGACTGAAAAAACTGAGGACAAAATTGTTTTCATGCTTTACAAATTAAAATCTTAAGATTCTGGGTCTAAACCAGATGTTTTCCATGAGTAAAAGTTTTTGTGGGGACTTGTAACTGGGCTGAGCCTTGAATATGTGCATCCAGGGTAATCGTCCCTCTATTAGTTGCTTTTTTGATTGGACAGCGATTCTGCCTGCGATTAAAAGAAATGTATGTCTTAAGGCAATTTTCTCACTTGCCGATATGATTAAAGAATAATCATATCGATCTTGATTTTTCCACAATCGAGCAACTCTATTTGTTAGTAGATTTGTACACCATATATAGTAATCATTTAGCTTCATAAGTGTACATATAAGCCCCATTTACACTTCCCTTTGAAAAGTGATCAGTGCCATGTTTGGACCGAGCTTGGATCAGTTAACCGTTCCGAGTTCAGTTCCTTACGACTGTTTATACACCACTCTAGCGCTGTTCCTCGCCTCCTAGTGATGATCTACGTTACTACTGCTCTCTAGAGGGAAACAAGCAAACCAACATGGCAGCGCACGTAACATTCAGGAAGTTTATTTATAACTGTGATACTTTCTTGTTTGTGGAGAGTGAGGCAAAGAAAGCAACCTTTGGTAAATTTACTTGGAAGAGTCGGCTTTTGGGAAGAGGATACAACAAACGATAGACTAATCAGGGCTTACAGACGCAGGAAACAACAACAAACGTTGAATCATCACTGGAAATGATGTGGCACAGTAGGGAAGCTAGTCTTTTTATGAATGTCTGAAATTGCATGACTACAGAGGCTAACTGTAAGGAGACGACGTGATCTGCTCCTGCGCTCTTTGTTATCTGGGAACCAAACCACAACTGAACTGCGCGGAGGCCTATTGAGGAACTAGTACCAGTTTAGCACAGTTCGGTTGTCTCTGGCACAGTCCAGCTCAGCCTTGCATGCTGTTTACACTTAATAGTTATCTTGGTTACCGTGCTCGGACCGATTTTGGCACAGTTTCAAAAGGGCAGTGTAAATGGGGCTATAATATCTGAATGAGTGACAGATTGTGGTTGTAATGTGACAGATAGTGGAAAATCGAAGAGTATGAATACTTGTGCAGTGCTCTGAAGTCAAGCAGGATTTCTCCAGCTGTCCTCATCTTTTCATCCACCTTAAAAAACTAAAATAGGAGTGAGAGGGCAGCAGAGGCGTTTGGAAAATGTCAGCACTTGCCCCTTGGGTTGCAACATGTTATGTTCAAGCTGCGAACACGGATAAGCTTCCTGCCATGAAAAATCCTCCTGAGCACCATCTCCTCTCACTCGCAGTTTTAAAAAAAATGCTGCATTTCACTTCTTGGGAGACAAATTAAAGGAAGTAACAACAAAAGGTCTGAAGCTGGAAACAGCAAAGAGTTTAACGTGACATGAATACAGAGAAAAAGGAAGAAAAACAAAGGAAGAGAAGGGAAACAGTTTGCATCAGGCACTGAAAATAACTGGACGAAGGTATAAGAGAGCTGGAGGGGAAAAACCTATTGTTGGATCCCTGGTTTGTGCTTGTCCATGGCATGGGCCCATACAAAGAGGGGCAACCATTTAGGGGGCGAGGGTAGGGGGCTTCATTTGCTTAGCAAAGGCAGAGCTTCAGTAAGGGGTTAGTAAGGGAGGGTCATTCACGGATGGCCAAGGCTTTTAAATGGTTGTTACCTGGAGCTGTTAAAAAACGACAACAAAGAAAACAAAAAATCAAACAGAACATTAGAAAGGAAACCAAAAAGTACAGCAGCGCAGTGATATTCAACCATTTCTGTTTCAATGACATTCATCCACATCACAAGGTTTCCTCAGTTTACTTATTCCCACATTGCCACATATTTCACTTGTTGTACAAAAATGTAAATAACTAAGGCAAACAGAAAAAAAACAAAGACAAGGCTCACTAGCTGGTAAGGAACTTAAAAATGGCAAAAGGAAAAAGGCCGACATGAACAAGTGAGACACAATATGTGGAAATAAGATGTGCAGCCACGGCTGCCCTGACTCTTACAGTTCAGATCCATGTACCAGGCTTCGTCGCCGTACTGGTACTTCCAGATGGTTTGACCGATGGAGCAGATGAGGGAGATGGCCAGCAGGCAGCCGAACAGCACGAGGATCTGAAAGTTGGTAATCCGCTCAACGTTGGAGAGCTTCAGAGGAGGCCGTGTGGAGTTCTGAGCAACAGATTAAAACAAAGCATTTTATTACAGGTAGGAGAATATTTGGTTTCCAGGAATTGCTGTAATAAGATACAGCATTTTACAGAATGAAACTGATCAAGTCGTATTTAGATCAATCATTTAAGTTAATGTTTAGCTTGAAAACCTGAGTGAACAACACACTACATCATGACCTATAAAGGATGCCTTTACCTGCATAAGTTTAGTGTCATGTCCCGTATAGACCACCACACCATGGACCCACTGTGTGTTCCTCAGCTGGGCTCCTCTCAGCAAGATCTGGTCGGGACCCAGGGGAACGGTGCTGAGGTGAGAAGCAGCACAGCCGTCAGGGCGTTTTAACTTTACATACGTTTCTCTCAGAAATCATTCCTCATACTGTAAAGGCTGCTCTAATTCCTGCTTGATAAGGTGACGATTACACCATTTCATTTATTACTACAAAGGTTAAAAAAAAGAAAGGTTAATATTTCTTCTTCCTTATGCTATAAACAGGGATGGACGTTAGCTAGTACAGTCCTCACTTTGGGTCCAAACAGATCCTCTAGCAAAAGGTAGTCTAAGACACCTCTCAATCTGTTTAGAAATTATTATTTTATTATAATAATAAATGGTGTCAAAAGCTATTTTCTTTGCTCTTGGAGCTCAAGCCTTTGATATCTGCCAGCTTAAAACGGGCACCGCTACATTTAATGTCTGTCTTCCAGCGTAACGGCAAGACTTTAGAACAACTTTCACCCCTGGTTATAAACCAGAGTTTTTTTCAATCAAAGGGAAGCTTGAAGTAGCCGATAATCAACGCCCCTCTTTGTAGAGGCTGGCTGGACAAGTTCCAATGACTGAAAGCAAGAAAAATGATGAAAATATTACAGATGAAGAGCTCATGGTTCCATAAAAAAATATTTTTGGTTTCAAGAGAGACGTTGATGTTCTACTTTTCAAGCTATAAAATATCACTAGAATAGGGATGCACGATATTGGGATTTTGGCCGATATCCGATATGCCGATATTTTAAAACTCATGTAGCCGATAACCGATATCGATACCGATGTTACAGCTGGACAAAAATAAGTAGTCATTGAAAATAGCAGTTTTGTTATCCATTTCTGACACTTTGAAAAAAATTATACGCAAATATATTTTCATATGCTGATATCAAATCGATTTTTAAAAACGCGGTATCGATCTATTTTACTTTTAAAATCTTGTGAAATTTCATCGTTCTGTTACAAACTCTCGTGATATTTTTCAAATTCTTGTTAGATTTTGTTAGTAAAATAGATTGATACCGCGTCAATATATCAACATATAAAAATATGGCAAAATGTTGTGAATTTTGGGGGGATTTCGTAGCATAACGGTGACATATAGCAATATTTCATTAGTAAAAGAGATTGATATGGTGTTTTTAAATGGCAATATATCAGCATATGAAGATATTGTGATATTGTAATTAATCAATATTTTTCCCTCGTCTTTAGAAGTTTTTAAGTCTGTAAAAAAGAAGTTTTTGAGGAAGAAGAAGAAGTAGTTTTTTTTTTTTTTTAGACTTTAGAAACTCAGAAGCTGACCAAATATCGGGTTAAATAGCGGTGGGGTGGCCAATGTCCGATATTCAGTTTTATGGTCGATACAGGCCGATACCGATAGGGGGCCGATTATATTGTGCATCCCTACACTAGAATATCACATTTTAGGTGGGAATTCTGAGCTTAATTCTGCTTTTCTCTCCAAGAACCTGAATTATGCATAGCTCCTCACTGCCCCAATAACTGATGTTCTGTTAGGGATTGGATCTATTTCCTTTTAGCTGCTGATGTGGAGGGGGCCTTGTGAATGGGTTAGAAACAGATATAGCTAGAAAGCAGCCTAAATGCCTTTACAGCACATGTGCATATAGCATTTTTCCCAGTGGATGTGTTCAGAGAGACATACATTTTTAATAACGACGAACACCAGCCTCACAGTGCTTCAAGGCCGGCCGCAATTCCAAACCTAATTATGCTTGTTGGCAACTAAAGCAGGGAAGTATGTGGATTTGAAGAGCTTTATTGAGAGCTTGGCCTTATTAAAATGTAATTCCTTTGAGCAAAGAGAGCAGAAGAGAATTAATCAGGCATAAATAAGCTGGCAAAGGTCCCATGATGACACAGTCAACATGCTAACCTGACGTCAAGGTTTCTATGTTTTTTAAAAAGTTTGATGAAGGAATCAGAGAAAGTTTAACTCAAAATGGTAATAAACTTTGAAAATATGTTTATTTCCCAGTAAATCAGTGATAACGCCAATGCTGTTCAACATTCATAGTTTGAACATGCATGTGAAGGAATCTGGAAGCGTGGGCTGGGAATGTTTGTTAGGAATCACACCACAATTTCCCAAAAGAACAAAGAGCTTCAATTTCAAACGCTTGCTAAAGAAATCTATTACCCCATTTAAACTTCCCTTGAAAAACCGATCCATGACGAGACCGGTCAGAGCTTGGATCAGTTTACCAGGCCGAGCTTGGTTCTGACAACCGTTTACACATCACGCTATCTCGGTTCCTCGACTCCTCGCCTCCTAGTGACGATCTGTGGTATTACTGCCAGTATTAAAGGAAGAAATCAAGCAGTTGGTCGTGGTAATGCACCAAAGGTTGTTTGCCAACCGCCATAAAACACAAGAAGAAGAAGACGAAGGAGGAGGGAATCAGGCAAATCAAAATGGCGGCGCCTGTCACATTCAGAAAGTTATGCTCGACTGTTACTGCTGTACTTCGGTGTTTGCTGAGGGTCAGGCGAAGACGGCAACCTTCCGTGGATGTTTATTGTTGTTTATAGTTGCTCTTCTTCTTCTGTTTTGTGTTTGTTGGCAAGCAACTTCCAGAGGGGCATTACCACCAACTACTGGAATGGAGTGTGAATCGGGATATGCAGCCAGACGGAGATGATGCGTTCTGCTCATGTGCTCTTGTTATCAGAGAACCGAGCCAGGGAAAAACCGAGCTGAGCCCACCTCTGGAACTGGTCTGCAGTTAGCGCGGTTTGTTGTGTCTAGCTCGGTTCAGTTCAGTTTGCTTTCCATTTACACACGATAAGTTATCTCAGTTACTGAGCTCGGACCGGTCTCTGCACAGTTTTTCAAAGGTAGTGTAAATGGGGTATATTAACCAATGACTAAGCAGGACATTTTATTCATTCACTTACGTCAAAAAACAATGTTCCTCTGAGCTCATGAGGTGGAAGGTAAATTAAATAGATAACTTAGCTCACCTGTGACCATCCAGGCGGATGTTTCCAACAAACTCGTAGAGGTGCCGGTTTGGGCTCTCGCATTCCATCCTCCCCGACAGCCGTACCAGGTTCTCAATGTCCCTAATGTCCGCCGTCACTTGGAGACCCTGTTGGTCAAAACAGTTTGACTACCTTCTACCCGCTAGAAACATATGCGACTAAAGAATTGAGGAAATCGATACCAACCTGTCTGATTTTAAGGTTGGTCTCCCCATCCAGATTAGATGTTTCAATGTAGCACATACCCTGTGGTTCACTGTTAAGGAGGGAGAACACAGAAACTTGGAGCAGAGAAGAAACCGCTAATTATAATTGGTAAGGAGCTACACTAAAGTGAACTACTGCATTTGAATTGTTTTAAAAGTTAATAGTTAGCAGATCAAAAGGTAAATCAATGCAGAAGCTACAGTAACAGCAGAGAAAGACAGTATAAAGTCTGTCTCACCAAACAAAGATGTTGAAGCCAGCATAACTGCCCCCCAACGTCTGACTGACAGCTTCTGTTTAAAATACAGTTGGCCAACATTTTTGTTTGAGGCTGCTGTTTCCCATGAGTCTAACTGTCTTTCCAGAGAAGCTACACTAACGTCCAAAGGGACAGAGAGAGGAAACATCGGGGGGGGTGACAGGAGCAAGCAGGCATACCAAGCACAACAAACAATGCAGACAAATGGGCCTCAGACAGACTTTTGGCTCAGAGACAGAGGGATGGAGCATGCCTGTGGTGAAATGCTGAGCTGGTTAGCAGAATAATAGACTCACTAAATGTTTGATGGATTAAAGGAGCAGAAAGATGTTCTGATTACCAAAAACTAAACAAAAAAGCTGTATAAAATTATTCATACACCGTGTGAACAAATCTTGCAGAATTAGAAATCAAAGATGTCCTCTGTGCGACATCTTTGAATGCATTGGCAAACAAACTAATCAGTAAGAAATCTGCTGCATTGGATGCCATGCAACGGTATTAATGTGGACAAAAATACTAACAGACAGGAAAGAGCATAATTATGTCGAGGGAGCAGGTCTCCCCTCACTTTGAGCAGAAATGTTAGAAATACATTAAAAGGTGACTTTAACAATATTAAGAAAGAAAACATAAAATTCCTCCTTCAACAGGCAGACTACTTTATAGTGATACCAGAATTTACAAATGAAGACTTTTCTGAGGAGCTTTGTATATGTATTCATATGTCTTTAACATTTGAATATGTTACAACCACAAAACAGAAATTAAAGAACAATTACACCTTTTTTATAAATAAACGGAAAGCCTGGTTTGCTGAGTCAGACAGTAGAGTCAACCTTTGCTGCATGACGGTTACCTTTTGATTTCGATGCAGTATTTCCACCCGGAAGGCAAAACTAGACTGATTTTTTCATATTTCTCTCTGAAAAGCAGCTCAATCTCTGGTAGACCACATTGGGAGCATCTCTGGGCGTAAATCGTATTGCTTTTTCTTTCTCATCAAGACTCAACTGTTGCATTTAGCCCTGGCGCTGCCTGCCTAATGAGTGTACATCAAGGTGAACTAATCCATTGTAGCTCAGGTTCCATGTTTAAGGTCACAATCCAGCTGACAGGTGAATTTCCGCCCCTATTTAAAGACTTCAGCAGCCTCTACCCAGTTTTCTTTCACACTGGAGTGTATTCAGCTTCGTTCGTCTTCACATCGGCGCCGACCAGCTTTCCTCTCCCTCATGGCCCTTTTTCAACCAGTGGCTCTCTTTTAGCACTCTAATATTTCTGGATTTCACAGTTGTGAAAAATCCTCTAACCTGAGCTTTTGATCTCAGCATCCACTCCTGGTTTTCAGATGACGGACTCTTCTGTGCCATGTTTAAAGCTTGGCCTTCTTTATTTATTTTTTTACTTTTTGAAGGACCAACCCAGCTTTATGCATAACCTGTCTGATGTGTTCCTTGGTCCATCTTATGCCGTTTGTTTACCAACCCTCTGACTTCAGAGAAGAGCTGGATTTATAGGCAGCGTTTATGACTGAGATGACTTCAGAGCAAATGGACAAAATAAAAATGTACACCACATATTTTTATTTGCAAAACAAAGTTTAAAGTGGGTACATTTCCTTCCATAGTTGTGCACCGCTTTGTGACGGTTTATCACTATAAACTCAATGAAAATACTTCATGTTTGTGGTTGTAACCGATAAAAATGTAGAAAACAAAGAGAGAGCAAGACCTTAAACGGTCCAATCATCTGGCCCCTTCCTTCCTGTAACACACTTTAATTTGATCCCAAAGCTCCCATCTCTCCCACCGCTGTTTCAGTTGGTTATTTAGATGGTTTGCTGACCTGGACGACAGAATGACGAGGTCAGCCGGGAGATGATCCCCGTTTGCAGCTCTGACTACTTCCCCAACAGCCACCTGATATTACCAACCACACACCAGCAGGGGGCGAGACGGAGGAGGTGTGGCAGAAGTTTGCACAGGATGCAAGAGAGGATGAAGGAGGGGTTAAAAAAAAAAAATAGGGGAGAAGGACATGGGAGAATAAAAGAAGAGAGACAATTGATTCAGTTTTAGGGAGCCATGAAGAGCAGGATGATCAGTCCTGTATGATTAGAGGTATGGTTCTCTGTGAGTTCTCCTTTTCAGAAAACCATCTAGAATAAATGCAAAACAATGAAACTGCTGCTTGGGTAAAATGCTGCACCAGAGCAGGATCTTTGGTTTAAATATCATAGAGGAGTCAAATTCTTTTTTTTCAAATCAATTTCAAACGGTTTCTGAAGAGGAGAAGGAGAACATCAGGCTTATGAAGACATGACTGCTCGGATCGAACCCAAAAACCAAGTTACTTCCAACCCAAGTAAAGAAATGATGGTCGCTATCCTGTGCACAAAAGTTTTTAATGTTTCTTTTTTTTCTACATCAGATTTATAGCTCAACATTTTGACTTAAAGCATAAATAAACCATCATTACTTTAGGGTAGAGCTGAGAGTGTCAGAAAGAAATGGGGAGAACGATTCCCAAAGTCTTTCAGCAAGGAGATTCCTATACCTGGATGATAAAATGACAGCATCCGCAGGAACAAAATCACTGCCATTTACTCTAATAATATCACCCACTTCGACCTGTGGAAAATAAAATGGTTACTGCTGGCTATAAAAACAGCACAGGAAACATGAAATCAGCTGTGGGAATAAAAATGAACAGCAGGAGAGCTAGAAAAAGAAAGATTAAACCACAGAACCATCTAATAATGATGAGAAGAGCCTGATGGAGCAGCTGAAGTCGTCTTTCATTACCACTGAACCCTGCACATAGTTCATTATGCAGTAACTAAAGCAGAAATATATTTTCATAAAGAACAGTCAATTATTTAAATACAAAACAACAAGTGAAAGGGTTAAAAAATATAGATAAAAATTTGGTCACTTTAGCTTCAAGATGCCCTAAAAAGAAATAACCTAAACTGCACAGAAATTTCAGAACAGAAGATGCTTCTGCAAAATGCATGCTAAAGAGGAAAAGCTCATCTATTATTTAAACTTTGGCTTTTTAGAGACTCCCGAGTCAATAAAGGGATAAAAGGAGGAGACATCCACGTCAAACCAGAGAGGAGAGCCACAGATTTCCATCCAGGGCGAAGAAATTGAAACATACGTCATAAAAATAACAGTTTCTTACTAATAATTAGTAAAGGAGGGGTTTGTTTGCAATCATTTTGATATAATCTTTGACTCTAACAATGGGGTAGAAAAGGAAATGAATGTTATGCAGAAATAGAATGCGAGAAATAAGAAGCCGAAAAAAAAAATGCTCTCCTTCTTCTACAGTTTTTATTGCACAGATTTATATGATTATTAATATTACTGAACTGAATTGATCCTGTGAAAGTTCTGCACCATTCTCCAAACTCTAATTTCTTTCTCATTTATTCTAAATTATTTTCTTTTAAGCATCCAGACCTTAAAAAATGTAAACAAAAAAAACAATACTGTTCCCTCATGGGAACTGTCCCGGAAGCCTCCAACATGGCAGTCCTCTTCCAACATCCAAATTCTTCCACAAATATTTTCTGCTTATCCTAATTTTACTGCAGGGTGAGTGTGGAACCAGCAGCATGTTAAAAAGGCATCTGCTGATGCTGAACAAGTCCGCAAACATGTCATTAAATAGAAGGAAGTAGTGTTGTACGGACCATTTTTTAGAGATCCGACTAAAAGAGAAAAATAGATTGAGCTAAAACGTCTTGTCAGTTACAAACAGCTCTCTGTAGCTCTGATCTGCCCACTGGCTGGTCAGCTCGGGACAGACAAATGAAAGAATTGTATTATAAGAAAAGAGAAGAAGCTTCTCTTTGTCCTCTGATCTCACTTTGCAAAGGTCACCACCACAGCAAAGCACTCTACTGTAACTTAAAGAAGCATACAGAAGAGAATCGGAGTGCAAAGGTGTGTGGAGAGAAAATATTAGAACAAACACACACATACTTTTTCTGCATTATGTAGTGAGGACCATGTGTTGACTCCTATTGATTTTCAGTCATTTTCAACTCTTTCTATGCCCTAACCCTAAAACTAACCCTAAACCACACCATTACCAATTCCTACCTCACTTTAACTCGAACCCAATTGACATCTTAGCCATAAACCTAACCATTAGCAAAATAGCTTGTGAGGACCGGCAAAATGTCCTCACTTTACAACAACTGGTCCTAAATGTGATGGTTAAAATGGAAAAATGCTCCTCACTGAGGGCTAGATAGGTACACACACACACACAAACACACAGAGAAGATTTTCAACCAATAACAGTAGGGAGCAGAGAAAATCCGAAGCTTTGACAAATAGGGGGTACATACCTTCTCCCAGTGCACAATCTCCCAGGCTCCATTCCTTAAGACTGGTGAGTCAGGAGAGGGATGGCGAGGAAGTCAGAGCCAAAGACAAAAGAGAACGTCAAAACAGGAAAACTAAAGAAAGTATTGTTTCTAGAAAACAATTCAGAAAATGATGTTCTGCAAGCAGAGAGAATAGCTCGTATTTTCTGGTGAAGTATGCGCTCTGTTACAGGAGGAGTGGTTTCGGTACCTTGACATTCCTTTTTGTTGACCACATTGTCAGCTTTGTGGCGTTTCTGTAAAAAACATTAATTAATATTAATTATAAGCAATTTTGACATTGTGACTGAAATAATTTTAACTAACAGAGGTCCAGTCTCTCTGGAGGAGAGAAACAAAATTCCAAGTATGTTGTTTTTCTTAGTTTATTAATTAATGCGCTAAAAAATTTACTTTTAATACCGACAGACAGACAGAGGGGTGCAGAGATTAGCGCTATGAAGCGGAAATTGGATAAAACCTTGACAGCAGCCGCATCGTTCAGCATATTATCCACTACAAGCAGGACTTCTAAATCTACAGCTTAACTTTTCTACCACCCCTGTAGGGTCAGCTGACAGATGGAGAAACGTCCAGGAGGGTTAAATCTAAACAGCGTCCCACTGTGGATCCCACAGAGCATCAGCATCTCTACTGTCATGTTTGCTTTAACGTTAAAGTACGGATCCTGCACAGATTCACTACTCATTTGATTGATTAATTCACTTATTTATTTATTATTTATCATTTCTGCTTGATTACATATACTATGGAAACTGTTTCTTTTTATTGCCTTGATTCCATTAAATAGACAAACCACATTTTACCGTAGATTTAACCAATCCATTTCAAAGCTCCTCAACTATAGAAATAACCATCATACTGAAGGATTAGATCCACTCTCCTATTGTCCAGTTATGACTACGCACCTTTATCTGGTTTAAAATGGATTACAATTAATAGAGTAACACAAAGTAGACTCTAAATTTAAGGCCTTTTTTTTTAACAAAGAACAATTTTAAGAATTTTAACAGTTTTTTACTGTATGTCTCTAGCAGCTTTCCTCAGACTGAGGAAGAATTAATCGGATTAATTGTGATCAATCAATTATTGAAATATTTGTCAACTGATTTAGTAATCAATTAATCGTTAACTGGAGCATAGAGACTGTAAAACATGGCTTTAGCTGACGGCAACCCAACTAGAGCAGTATATATATTAGGGGTGGAACGGTTCACAAAATCCACGGTTCGGTTCGGTTCACGGTTTCGTGGTCACGGTTTTCGGTTCGGTATATGTTTATTGTTACACCGAAAAATAAAAAAATCTATAAAAATTATAAAAAATTCATGAAAAATTAAAATTAATTAAATTAATGAAAAAAAATCCCCCAAAAATAATGAATTGTGATTATTTATAATGATAATTTCCGCATGTTTTGCTGCTTTGAATTTAATCATCTCGCGCATGCCCTCTACGATCTCCAAGGAACTCAGAGCGGAGCGGACGGGAGCCACAGCAGAGGCTGCAGGCTTTGCTTTGTGCAGGCGGTCTGGAGCGCAGCGGGGCGGAGCGCTGACGGAGTATGTAGGATTTCAGGGTTAGCATGACATGTTGGTCATGTTGCTGTTAGCATAAACAAATTGTGTTGCACAATGCTCGCACACTGTTGCACTTGTGTCCACAACTTTCTTTCCGCCGTCATCGTAGGTCACTCTAAATGCAAAGTGGTCCCATACAGCAGACCTATAAAGTGCTGCTGGCACGTCTTCCAACTCCTGTTCTTTCCCACTCGCCATTCCCACACAATTCTCCACAACAACTGATTTTTTTTCCCTGCTACACCCGGCTACGCTGCTTCGCTTCTTTTTCTTGTTTACTACTGGTGGTTGGCTTTGGTCGCAGTACCGCCACCTTCTGCTCTGGAGTGTAAACACTTCCCCTATGAGAAAAAGGAGCAGCGCATGAACCGAACGCAACAAACGCGAACCGAACTGAGACAGTCGAACCGAACGGTTCGGACGGTTTTCATAAACCGTTCCATCCCTAATATATACATATATAAAACCTTTGCATTTAAGATTAAAAAATAAAAAATGTCTGTCAATGTGTAGTATCCAGAACTCCACAAGTGGAAATGTTTGAGTTTTACCTGGTTTAATTCCATAAAAGTTCTTCTTTAAGGAACCTTTTGCGATCGATTATTAATTGAATAATCGAAAAAATTATCGACAGAGAAATCGATTTGCAAAATAGGTTAGTTGCAGCCCTACTTTCAGCACATATTCCTGAATCAAACAAGGAAATAATTTTGATCTAGGGACTTTGACTAGGATATTCTAAAACATGGACATGCTTTAAGGTGAACCAATCTGATTAAAGTTACGGCTGTTTGTTTGATGTCATCCTGCTGATGGGATGTATTTCAGTTGTCTTCTCAGTAAATTCTCCTCACCTGAGCTGTATGAATCTGAAGCTCCTCCAGAGCCTTATTACTGCTTATCAGGTTTAGGCTAACAAATATGCTTTGGAACGTTTTTAACTATTGATGTTCCCTTTTTTAATTTAAGACTGAACCTGTTTTTTCTCTATTTATTTTTTTAATCCCATGCATTATTTTTTGTTTCCATATAATTACATAAAATCCAGCTAAAGCTTGTTTTTATTTCCTGAAATGTGTAGAAGCTGATGAACCCTTTCGTATGACCAGAGCGAATCCTCCCTCCCACTCGTGTCCTGCTTGTTTCCTCAGTCATGCAATCAGCTGTGAATCCTGCAGCTGATTCCAAGGGGCAGCCTGTCAACCAGCATCACGCTGAGTAATAACGTGTTGCTGCATCCATCTCATTAAGATGATTACTGTGCATTAAAACGGAGCTTGTGAAAGCAACGTGTGCTCTAGTTGATTAACAAGGAGAGGACATCCCCACCCTCATCTCTGCAGACTACCTGTTTACAAGCAAAGAAGCTCTGTATCGACGTTATTCAATTTAATCTGTTTTAACTGTAGTCCCTCAAGCCTGTCACTCAGAACATCTATTAAACTGCTGCTATAAGCCAAGCGTATGCTAATAATGGTCCGTGGCGTTTAAGTGTTAGACGCTACACTTACTTGATAGCATCATAATATTTTTGGGAATCCTGTAATTTGACATAAAAGTGGGAAAGGCAACATGCAGCTCAGGAAGTAAGGAGAAATAAAAGGAGGGAGAGTTGGAAGGAAAGAGGGAGCAAAACAAAAAGGTATAAATGACAAAGAAGGAGGGAATAAAATATAGAAGGAAAGTAACGAGGGATGAAAACAGGGAAGGAAGAAAACAGAGTAAATCTGAGGGAATTATAGAAGGAGGGAATGAAGGGATTGCAGGAGTAGTGAAGAGAGGAAAGGAGGATGAAGAGAAACACTAGGAAGGAGAGCAGGAAGGACAAAGGACAATATATTGAGGAAGGAAGGAGATGAGGACACAAAGAAGGAATGACATAATCCTATTTTCTGTTTCTGTACCCATCTAAACTGAAATCAATGTCTACCCAGGAAAGAAATTCCCATCTATCGTCGTCTTTTCCTCTGAGACAATGTGCCTCCCTTCCCAGACTCAGACTAAAGGGAGAATAAATCCTACATCCTTGCAACAGGAAACTCCTCTTAACGAACGACTCTGTGGTGCACAGCTTCAGTCTTTTTTCTGGCTGCATTCAGCTCAGAAAAAGTTTGCTTGTCCCAAAGCCTCTTGGGAAACCATCATGCTCTGTACTGCAGCTGCCAGCTTGCTTTCATTCATCCACACTATTAGGTTTGGCGGCAAGGACAGAATATTTCCTTTTCAACTTGTTAGGAGAGCAGAGACGTGTTCCACCTGCCCCTATATTCACTGCACCGCTCTCTGCAGGCACAGAGACAATGAGATGCACTTTATTTAAATGTGTCCAAGCTCCCAGTGCAGTTAAAGGTGAGCGAGGAGTGGGGGTTATGCACGAGCACTACATCATCAGGCTGCTAGAGTAAAAGAGCAAAGTAGCCACTGCCATATCTTTGCTTCCTTCCTTAATTTTCATTTTCAGGTCAGGCACACGAAAAATCAAGTGAAACTGTAAAAATCCATGATAGTACAACGACACGTCATCATAATCCCATTTGGAGACATTTTAAGCTGAACGATGCTCTGAACAAACAGGCTGAGGCTGCAACAGAAGAGACGGCCAGCGACCAAAGCGAGGCGTACAGTGCTGCATGGTGTGTGTGCATGATTCATGAAGATGGGGGGGGTCGATGATGCCCTGTCAGGTCAACTTGTGAGGGACGGCACAGTACAGAGAACAGACGTGTGTGCAGGTGACCTTCAGCCATAAAGATGGAGTCATCATCCACTATGTTCCCATGCTTTCCAAAACAGGCCGGGAGGAGAAAAAAAAAATGCTGCGCTGTTGCCTTCAGCGCACGATAGACGCTACAGTGTAGTATAGAGTAACTGCCCAGTGGGACCTGCACAAGGGATCGCATTGCAGTGTCACTGCGATACAGTAGAATGCAACATTCTCTCCCTTTGCTCAGATGCGGTTGCATGGATTACACACCAACAGCAGAATGCTCATACTTTTAATTTGACTTTAACAGTATTAACCCACCCCCACTCCATCCATAGAACAACACACTAAACAGCCAACCGTTATCTGCTGCTTACACACACCGATGGGTAGAAGAAAAAGATCAGAAACCGTTCCTTTTCCCAGCTACCTCATAGTTTGGTTTCGTTTTTTTTAAAGACTCATTTTATAATTGTACTAATTCCAATCCAAAGCATCTGTGAGCATCTGTTCCAGCAGCTCTGAATCCTCAGGGCAGTGGCTTTGTTTTGTTTTTTTACACGCCATCTTTGAGCAGAAGCACTGACTATCAAGGTTGATTGACTAAATGTGTTTTTGGATCCAGCTGGGGTCCTAGAGATAAAATTTACACGTCTGCATGTGTTTGTTCTATAGTAAACCCTCCCTTCTTTCCTTTTAGATTTCATCTATTATTTATTAAAATTTTAAAACAAATTAATTGAATTTAAAACTTCCTGAGTATATAAAACGTGACTGAAATTAATGATAATGAAGTATTTCTGTTGAGGTTCTTCTTACCAGATCTTCAATTATTTCTTTGACAGCAGCGACAACCAGAATGAAGAGCAGCGGCACCAGTGTGGTCCACCGACCAGTAGGGGATACATCTGGAATTTGCTAAATAAAACACAACATCAAAGCATTAGGTTAGCTGAATTTTATCACCATTAAAACAATTTTATTTTGACCTGGTAAAGCTGATGTAGTATACAACAGGCAAAAAGAAGGCAAGTAATAACCCATTTGGTCACCTACTGTACGATTATTTCCCCTCATAAAGCCTTGTTTGACCACTACAGGTCTTTCATCTATTAAAAACAAAGAGCTTAAAGTTTTTAAAGTGCTATAACATAAAAAGAAATAAATGCTATTTGCTTCTTTGTAGGTCTAAATGTTAGAAACTAGTGCATTGATCAATAAAAACAATTGTTTCTGTACCCAAGCATACGTCTTCAACATTAACATAGGATTTATTAAAACCCAAATATTCATCCTACTACATGTAGATGGTTCATATATATATAAATTAATGTAATAATTAATGCTGCTAGGTTTGATGCATTCAAGCATTGAGGAGAAGCACAGGTGACTTTGGAGCCAATTAAAGGAGAACTAATGGATTGTCATCACTAGCTGATTGAATATGTATGTTGGGTCATTTTATTTTAAACTAATTCCCATAAGCTATTAGAAAAAATATACATTCGTCCATTAGGCAACTACCGTCAAACAATTTAGGTAGTAATTTTTTGTTGTTGTTTTTAGTAATCTTTTAAAGCAGGGAATCCCAAATATTTGAAACCCTGAAAATAACAATGCTACAGACTGGTGATCCCCTAAAAATACATATAACTACCTCCCTCTATTTCTAAAGAGAAGGTGAAGGTATTTACATTTATAAATAAATGCGTAGCGGATGAAATCCTTGATCTTGGGGGATTCCCTTCAGTATCTTAGCTGTTCCTAGAACTGCGCATCCCTGGACTGAAGAGACTCCAGGTATGTGTTGGAGCCAATTCTCCAGTGTTGGGGTTACTGTCCCCCAGTGCTCCAATGACCATAAGTAATACAGTTGCCTTCACCTTCCAGGCTCTCTCTAGTTCTTCCCCAAGCCATTATTATGTCTCCACTTTCTAATGATCTTTTTTCCAAATGTTTCCATCATTTGGGATGGCCACATCGACTGTCCTCGACTGCTTTATCACTGATCACATTGTCCGGTTGGTAAATAAATGGCCACAACCATTTTTCTGTTTTTATCTGTTCATTTGTGCTTCTAGAAGTTCTTGGTGAAAAAATCAGTTTCTTCAGCCAGTAGGCGTGGATCCTGTCTGGGCCTGGTACTGTTGAATTCTTCATACCTCAGAGCCTTTGTTGGAAATCTGCCATCGTGATGTTCACTTCACCTTGTTCAGGGAGGTTAGCATTGTCAGCTCTTAAGGTCTTTAAGGTCTTTAAGACCTTAAAGACATTTTTAATGATGCTTCCTTCTCCTATATACCTTTCCAGAATTGCTCAGTTTGCAGCCTTGGTGGGTTGGATTGTGTGAGGGAGGCACAAATAACTGGCTCTGCCTGAAGCCACTTTTAGTATCAAAACAACTATGAAATCTGATATAGCACAGCTAGCAATATATGCAAAGTGTCATTAATAATACTTCCCTTTATTTCTCACGTTACCATGCTTCAGCATATATCTCCACCTTACTCACCAACACATCTAATTCAGCTTTTTGTTAAACTGCGCTTTTTTTGCTCTATTTGCTATGGTTGCCATTGGTAACCATGAAATAAGAGTTTTGCAGAGTATGGCTTGAACCAGTTATGGCTGCAGTGGGAAGCTTGGATTTAAACTTTGAATTACTGCTGTCATCTAGCAAAGGAATTGACTTGGCTTTGTGAGTGCGCATGGTTTTAAAAAAAATAGGATTTTTTTGAGAGTACACCATTTTCCAGTGTTTGGCATTTATACAGTTTAAGTATGGATATTATGCAATGTTTCATAAGTGAGACTTTTTTTTTTTTTGAGTAGAAAGTGTGAAGCTAAGTAAATTAAGATTACTCCATTAAAATAATGTAAAATGGTTTATGCTTTGAAAATGCAAGAAAATTTCTTAAATTATCTGCAATTAAAATGGGACTGATGTTACAGGATATTAAACTAAATTAGGCTGTCATAGAAAAATGTATTTAAATAAAAATTACTTTAATGGATCCATAATTGTCTCCAAGTTCGTAATTCTGCGTATCCAAGATATAACTTCATGAAAACAAACAAAAAGAACCAATATAAGAGCATTTTTTATCCATTTGTTATTTATAAATATTCCAAAAATGCATTTGAATTAAAATGTAAATAACAGCAGAACCAAAGTAATAAGTCATTCTTTTACAACAATAAAATTGATTTCATGTCTCTTTCTTCTGCATGGCTGTTTAATTCAAGGTCGACATTTCGACACATTCAGAAATGTAGATGCAGGCTGGCTGCGTTTCAAAAGGACCACTGGATGGAGTTATTTACTAACCACACACCTACATCCAATCAGGACAGTCCATCAGTTCACATAAAAAGACAAAAAACAGAGAATTTGGAATAATTTCTTATTCATTTTCTGTTGTAGTTTGTTAATTTTGCCTGAAATTCTCTTTCCAGTTGTAGTAATAACAATAATCCACCTGTGCATCTTTCATGCAACTTAGCTACAAGATTCTGTGTTTCATTATCAGGATATATCAAATCATAAATAATGTTTCTGAGTATGTGAAGTTTTGTGCCCATATCAAATTAAACAAATCACCTTCCAGGAAACGGTGTCTTTAAAAAAAAAAAAAAAAAAAAAAAGGAAATGGCCCAATAGCAAAAAGTCTACAAATATAGTTGTGTGATTGTTTTAGTTTAACAATAAAAAAGAAATCTACAAAAGTTTACCTGGAGGAGTGCAATGAAGAGGAAGAAGGCATTTGCTGCCCTCCTGAACTGCGAGTAGAGGAACCGGGGGAGAAAGGTGAGAACGTTATATTTGGCCGTGCTGAGGAGCCGAGTCAGGCCGGATGCAGCGAGACGAGGATGGCGAGGGAGATGAGACAAGAAAGGAGAGAAAACAAAATACGTTAGCTTGCAAAAGTGGAATACAGCAACATTATTGAAACACTCTTCATTTCAGAGGGGGCCTTTTTTTTCTCCATCATTTGGAGAACAATCCTCGCTCATCTATCGGTGGCAGCCACTGATAAACTGCATACATCAATGCCTTCATGATAAAGCATTATTAAAAGCTAGGAGGAGGAGGAATGAGCGACTGTGCTGCGGTGGGGTCGGTCATGACGGCGGGATATTGAAACTAGAACTGCTTTTAGAGGTTTCACAGCCAGGCCTCCAAGATGATGATTTACAGCTGCGATAAAGGGGGCAGTAAGAGCAGCCACTTTAGGAGAAGATGTATATACTGCTGCAGGAGCAATCCTTTGCTAACACCTGAAGTCAGAGAAACACAAATAGCAGCCCAGAACATACAGTTCAACAATGATACCACCATTCCAAACCCCACTGAAATACACAAGTAAAAAAATTTAAATAAGGAAAGTGTGATATGTTTGTTTTCAGCCAGTTTCATTAACTACTTCATAGAACCAACTATTACCACAATCGCACCTGCAATACTTTTCCAGTATGGATCAGCTATCTTTACACATCTGATGGCAGAAACGCTGGGATGTTTTTCTTTAAAAAGAAACTAAAAACCACTAGCCAAAGCTTATTCAAATTGGATGGAGAATGAAAAAAAAAAGAAATTTCCAGCTTTCTCAAGATTCTCAATTAGATTTAGGTCTGGGCTTCGACGAGGCCATTCTAACACATGAATATTTATAATTGTGTTAAAGGAATAGTACACCCAAAACATGATTAGCCTTCATTTTCTACTCACCTCCATGCTGAACAACACTCTGGAGTACTTTTTTGATATCTCAAATGCATCTGGAGATCTGGGAGGCTTCTTGCTGTCTGCTGACATTCAAATAATGGAGGTCTATGGTGACCGAGGCAGAAAGGTCCATAAAAGTCCACAAAAAACGTGTCAATATTCCTCTATACTGCTCGTCCAATGTATTCCAAGTGTCCTGAGTGGGTAGCATCCATAATTTACTCGAAACAGAGTCATTTAGAATGTTTTTAGAGCATAAACAGTAGTGTATAGGATTTCCTGAAAGCGCGCGCCTGCGAGTTCACGAGCCTACGGAAACCGCGGCAGACCAAACCAGATGAAAGTGAGCATTCAGCTCGGCAAAGAACTCATGCTCTTCCTCAACACTGAAGTCCTCAGACATTTTTCTTTCGTTGTTTCTTTCTTTGCACAGGTAAACAGCACATTTCTTCTTCTACGCTTGCATTATCGTCAGAGCAGACGCTGAATGCGCACTTTCATCTGGTTTGGTCTGCCGGCTTCTGTAGGCTCGTGAACTCGCAGGCGCGCGCTTTTAGGAAATCCTATACACTACTGTTTATGCTCTAAAAACATTCTAAATGACTTTGTTTCGAGTAAATTATGGACGCTACCCACTCAGGACACTTGGAATACATTGGACGAGCAGTATGGAGGAATATTGACACGTTTTTTGTGGACTTTTATGGACCTTTCTGCCTCGGGCACCATAGACCTCCATTATTTGAATGTCAGCAGACAGCAAGAAGCCTCCCAGATCTCCAGATGCATTTGAGATATCAAAAAAGTACTCCAGAGTGTTGTTCAGCATGGGGGTGAGTAGAAAATGAAGGCTAATCATGTTTTGGGTGTACTATTCCTTTAATTTAAAATGTACAACAGTGAGAATCCTCTTAGAAAGACAAGCAAACAACAGTGTCTTCAGTTCAATACTTCTCCAGATCTGGAGCAAGACACCTATAGGCATCTCAGTAACTCGTTGAAAAAAACAAAACATCAAAAAAGCATTTAATTCCCTTTGGGTTCAATAAAGTATATTTGAACAGAATTATTCTCCTGCTGGAGAGGAAATCTTAATCCAAATCTAAAGTCCTATGCTGTCTGACACCAGTCTCTCTGTTAATGATAAACAGAAGAATCCCACAGCATGATACTTCCACTATTATGTTGTTTCTTTTAGACTTGCATCCAAGACTTTCCACTGAGCAATGATGCACTGCTTTGTGTTTGAATTTATCTCTACAAGTTCTGATTAAATATGAAAAGGTTTAAAGGATTTTGAATATTCCTTGAGTGTTAAACTTCTGTAATGGTTTAACTTTGAATAAAGTCACAATGTAACCTCAATATATCTTAAAATCTAGAGGCCTATATAAATTCCAAGTATATTCTTCGTAACAAATCTACCGAAAAACATGTTAATGTTAACTTTATATATAGATTTATTATTTGAAAGTGAAAAAAACAAACACAAGGCAAATAAATATCTCTATAGTCTCTATTTTTCAATCTGAAAGTTTATTGAACACATTGAGGGACCAATATGCAAATGATCCCTGAACTAGAACATAACATGTTGTTACCCGAATACAACTGTTTATTTGCAGCAGTCACATGAGTCATGATCATAAGAAGAAGCTCAGCATTATTAATGTGACCAAAACTAATAACCAAAAGGCTGAGTGAGATATTCGGCTATGTGGACGTTTCTCTGCATGATTATATGTGTGATAGATTACTAAATGATTAAATCAGTTTTATCAAATCTTCATCTAGAACTCATTTATTCATATTTTCCCAGCCAGCACATTTACAGCAATCTGGTTAAAGTGGAAAATAAAAGCATCTAAATACTTCAGCATCACGTTGGTGGCTGGAAAGCTTAGATAATCGCTGCATTAAAAGACAATGTTTTTATTCAGCAGATCTTTTGTATTTTTAAACGTCTTCTATGACCTGCCGATCTCATCTAAACTTCTACCTCCACTCCTCGAACCTGATGGAGTCAGATTCTAATCCCTGTTCCCTAAACACCCAGCGTTCTGCAAAGCAAGACAATATTTCTGTTTGGAATCTAACTATCTGGACATATAGCTGCAGTGAGTGATAAAACAACAGATTTCCCAGAATAAAACAGGCTACTCGTACACTGCTTCACTGTCCTGCTAACAAAACACAAAGCTGAACAGAGTCATAATTGTTATGATTAGCAGTGACAGCACACTAAGTAATGTTAAGCTGTTAGAGGTTAAATAACTTTTGACAGATGCCTAACGGAAACCATGGCAACCCCCTTCATGTGAAATTATTCATATACTTCCATAATGTTGCATTATTTTAGAGCAAACACTTTACATGAAAGTGTGAGTCTGGGATTATAACCACGCTGAGGGAGCTCATAACATGAGCAGATCTTGCACAGGCTGGAGGGCTCAGGTGGAATAGTTTAATGATCCAAACTGGGGACATTTGGGGGCCTTTTGACATAACCTGTGTAGTGAGTAATCCTAATGCATTAATGCACTGGTTTAAATTCTACAAGCGTGTGAGGAATAACGGCATAATGTGTTATAGTTAGATAACCGGCATCGTTTTCTTCCATTCAGCTAGTTTAACTGAGATGTTAAGAAAGAGCTGCATCTTGGGAAGTCAGTCTTCTGAGTTCCTCTGAATGAAGGCTACAAAAAAAATGACCTCATTTTGAGCCTAAATTATTCTTTCATACACAAAATTGGAATTTTTTCACTGTATCATGAAAAATGTTCACCTCCGTCTTACAAATCTGTTTGCAAACTAGAAAATTTTTTAGCTAACATCGTCTGATTTCTGGTGTTATTTAATGGTTGTTATTTTTTTAACCATACACAGAAAAATGGGCGATGATAACAGAAAGTACGCATCGCTACTTGGAGGTAGGGGGGTGGGGGCATGATACAAACTTTGATTTATCATCTAGATGATCAAATAGAATTGATGACGATTTAAAATAAATGGGTGAATTGTTTTAATTTTTACTTTTTCTTTCCTTTTTACCATTGGGTAACTGCCAAATTCAAAGAATAAGACAACTGTGGTTACAACTAGATGTTTACTGATATAAATCACACATCTTTGTGTAACTGGTGTCATAAAGAATCTAATTTTAAAATTAAATTTTTTTAAAGAGTAGTACTTGTGATTGCGGAGCAATGAACGCTGTGGCAGGCCGTTATAGCCACACAGTTACCTACATGTAAAGAAGTAATGAAGAGGGGTCGTCATTTTATTGTTATAATCCTACCACAGAATATGATTATTTTAAGTCCACATCCTGAACCCTAAAGATCAGATTACCAAACTAAAACATCTTTATCATCAGTTTCCCGCTGTACTACGCTCTGAGCAAAGGTCAGCAAATAGTCACGACTCATCAGGTATTGTGTAGCATACACATATAGCGTAGCTCCATCTTAACTACTTAGATTTTCAGGGGATGATGGAGAGAATTAGCGCATCATATCAGAGATATTGTTGTCCAGTTTCGATGCAACATTCCTGATAACAACAATAATAATAATAATCTTGTTATTGCAATTGTACATTCCAACCAAATGTGTGATCTGCATTTAACCATTACCCTTGGGGAGCAGTGAGACACCCAGATCGACAGAAAAGGAAAAGGAGCTAATGGTTTTCCTCTGAATGCTCTAAATTTTCATATCAATGTGTTTTTTTGGACCATGTTTTTTCTCCCACGTTTACATTTGATCACTGCTGCACTTTAAGAACCTTAAATACCATGAGAGCTGTACAAAATGACAATAAAAGTTGTCTAAGTCCTCAGGAAGTCAAAGTTATGTTGTCAGGTTTAAAGCTTGCTGCTTTAACCTAGAGCAGTGTTTTTCAACCCTGGTCCTCAAGGCACCCTTGCCCTGCATGTTTTAGATCAGGCATCCCCAAACTCGGTCCTCGAGGGCCGCTGTCATGCAGGTTTTAGAGGTTTCCCTGCTTTAGCACAGCTGATTATGAGGATTGCAGTAGAGCAAAAGCCTGTTAATCAACTATCAATTAAAATCAGCTGTGCTGGAGCTGAGAAACATCTACAACCTGCAGGACAGCGGCCCTCGAGGACCAAGTTTGGGGATGCCTGTTTTAGATGTTTCCCAGCTTTCACACACCTGTTATCAATTGATAGCAGATTACCGGGCTTTGTTGAACTGCAATCATCTGAATCAGGTGTGCTGAAGCTCAGAAACATCCAAAACATGCAGAGCAGGGTGCCTAGAGGACCAGGATTGAAAAACACTGACCTAGAGAATCCAGGGATGCTCAAAGTCTGTCCTGGAGGGCCACTGTCCTGCAGGTTTTAGAGGTTTCCCTGCTTCAGCACAGCTGTTTCAATTTTAAGTTGATTAACAGGCTTTAGCTGAACTGTAATCATGAGAACAAGATGTACTGAAACAGAAAAACCTCTAAAACCTGCAGGATGGTGGCCCTTAAGGACCTATTTTGGGCATGCCTGCTCTAGACCTTCAATAATCTAACAGCTTCCTGATGATATAAATTCTATATTAAATATTTTAGAACTACTGTAGGGATAAAAAAATGAATCTCTACATTACAGGTTATATATAAATTGTGCATAAAATTACCTCGATAGGTGATTGATCTCTGCCCAGCAGTCAAAACATTAAACTTTGTGACAGGCTGAACAGTGAACTGCCCTAAATGAAGGCATGGGTCCGACTCTCTTTGATCTGACAGTATAACCTTTGTTGTTGGACATTTTGCTTAAATTCAAACAGAGAAACTCTGAAATATTGAAACACTACTAGAATATCAGCTGCTAACTGATAATAAGTGCTTCTCGTGTTCATATCAACTGTGCTGTGTGTTTTACACAACCAACTAATAATAGATGGCAAACAACGGGATGTTTTGCTAAGCCACTCCCATCTTTTCCAGAGGACAAACTGTCAACATAACAAAGATCAACTATCCTTGCATTAATCTGTCAGCAGGTGAGTAAACAGTCCATAAATACACAAGCTACGCTTCCCTTCACGCTGGATTTACAGCAGGTGAGACCAAGGAAGGGTTAAGTTAGTTAAGTTGGATTCATCCACCCTCTGTGTGCATCACTGCAGTAACAGATCTGGATGGTGGGAGTTAGATCTGTTATAAGCTGACCTTTATAATTTGTTTCTCCTGAGCAGTAAATAAGCAGATTATAGGGGATTAATAACGGAGCTAATATTCAAGACTAATACTGAGATATTAAAGCCCAGAATGGCTGATCACAGTGTTTCATAATGCCGTCCTGGTCAGTGTTTTCTAATCCTGATCCTTGAGTAACGGTTCCAGCCTAGGATGGAACAAAAAGACACTGTTTCACACATCAACATCCACTAAAAAATACAATGGTTTTACTGCATAAGAGAGCTGCAAATAAAATAAAAATCTGCATAATTTGTATAGCAGATAAGAGTGCTCTAATCAGATGTTTAAAAAGAAAAACTACTTTGACCTTCAGTGCAATCGCCCTGAACTCCCCTGAGAAGAGCAACAGGATAGAAAGGTCAGGCTGAAACATCTGCTCTTATCCATTTCTAGTGCATCAAAGCAGGCTGAGCAGCTCTTACTGTATCAGTGAAACGGCCACGATTATGAATTCTTTTATTATTAAAAGCCCCACCATAAGGACACATTTCAGATAGATCCATGTGGTCACAGATGCAGCAAACATCTAAACTCTGATCTCAGATTAGTCATCCAGTATTTATAACCTTTTGATGTCAAAATTAATGATTTAAATTTCCACCTTTCTCAGTCCTTTAAAGCTGGTTTCTAAAATATAAAAAAAGAAGTTCATCCTAAGTTTATTTCACAAAGTCTGCAGTAGTGAGTTTTTACATTTAGGACAGACAAATAAAGTCAGGGTTCCTACAGCATAAGGCAAGTTAAATTCAAGATTTTTTAAGACTTTTTAATGCCACTTGAAATAAAAATTTAAGACCAAATTCACAAGAAACACAAGAAAAACCCGCTTGCGACAACTTAACCCAAAGGTTTATTTTAACATAAACCACTGCACTAATGTTTCAAATTTTGAAAAGCTTCCCATATAGGAAGAAAGCTAAAAACACAAAAATGACTTTATGAATTTAACTGAATTCACAAACTTTGTTTTAGCAGGGAACAAAACAAATCAGTTTTAAAGCCACAACATAACCAGTGCTAAGTCTTTTTTGCAGCTATTTTTCTTTGTATCGTTTTCTTAGTATGTTTGATTTGGTGATAAGTGGAAGCCTTGCAGAGACAAGGGTGGAACAAAACTGAGAAATATCGGCTGTTTCTCGGTAACTCGATTTTGACGCTTTGTGTTTCACGCTTCGCATGTGTGACTCCACTGCCTTAATTCCCATCGTCCCGAGCTTGAATGACTTCTTGCACAAAATACACTGTGCCTCATTTGTGTTCCCTGGTACTGGTTTTAGCCATGGAGAAAACTCTTGGCTGGATAGCCAATTTTCGTTACATTTACACTTGCTCACATTTTCCAGACAAGTTAACCCTAACATTAACGTTAAAGGTGGCAGCTAGAAAGAACGTTAAAAAACAACGCTTTTATTGGTTCAGCTATCGGGACGAAACCAATAATGGCGAGCCGTTATTTTTATTTTTTTATGAAAAAATAAATAAAAAATTGTCAATTTTAACGTTTTATTTAGATTACAAAAATAAATCGTAATAAAAATAATCCTATTTATGATGTTTTAAAAATTAAGACCTACGAAAGACTGATTTAAGATATTTCAATACCAATTAAGGCCTTTATTTTGAAGAATTCAATGCCTTTTAAGACGTTTTAAGGACCTGCGGGAACCCTGAAATGAAGTAACAAATGAGAAGCAGATGAAACAATTAAATGATCTAATGCATGAATGGTCAAAAAGAAATGTCTGTTAATACTAATACTTTCATGCATTATTAATATTTCTCCCTTTTCAGATTTCTAAGGCACAGAAATGTCTATTTATTCTTATAGAAATGTTTTTTTTAAAGAGGCATATTTTAAAACTCACAACGTGCAGAAAATACTTTAAGAGGCAAACTTAACCAGCATTGTTTTCTCTTTTATTTCATCACAGAACTTGTAGTTCAACTGGGCCTCTAGTGAAAACGTGAAATAATGATCTGTTCATCTAAATATTACCTCAAATCATCAATAAATGGACCAACAAATTTGTAAGATACACTCAGAATCATCATCTTGGAAATCTTTTATAGAAACCCCTCTTACCTGACACGGTTGCTGCAAAACTTGGTGAACTGCGGCTGATTAAGGTATATGAGTCGTGCATCTTCTTGGTCAGCCAATGACGTCTTCTCTGATGTGTCCTCTGTCTTTTCATATCCTGCATCAGGCAAGAAAGGAGTTTTTAACTTGGAGAACACAAACAGAAAACACCTCAAGAACCAACAAAGGTAAGGTGGGATGAAAAGGTATGTTGAATTCTTTGAGCCGTCATGTTCTGAAGTCCGTGATGCCTCAACACAGACAGATCTTTTATAGTAAATGACAGAATAATAATGTCATTCTTGGCTTTTGAATATTTCTTATTAGAAAACTATTTTTGTACCGTCACTGCATCTATCATGAAGTAAAGAGTAGGGCTGAAACAATCGGATTAATCGGGATTAATTGATTGTTGAAATAATCATCAACTAATTTAGTATTCGATTATTCGTTAACTGCAGTATAGAGACCCTAAAACGTGCCTTTACGTTTTAGTTAGAACAGTAGTTATACCAAGATTGTAAACAAATATAGAAACATTTTGCACTTAAAGCCCCTGTCACACCTTGAAGATTTAGACAGCGTATGCCTGACGTCCCAGAATCTTCTAAAAGGCTGGCATACGCTGATCTTTTTTTAATGTATTTTTTCAAGTTTTGGCGTATACATAGAATATTAATAATAATATAACAAGTCCAAAGCTTATGTCCAATGACAGCATAACTTATGCATAACACATGGCAGCATGATGCCCATGAAATGATGCACAAGCTAGTGTCCTGGGGGAGGGGAAGCGATGTGCCTGAAGGTGCCGAGCCTGCATAAAAAGATTTCCTTGATCGTGGTATTAACCTAGCTGCTGTTTACCGCCCGCCAAAGGAAAAAAAAAAAAAAAAAAAAAAAAAAAAGAACAAATAAATAAAAACAAAGAAATAAGGTTTGCAGTCGCGGCAGATTCAGCATCATGTCTGCTAGGATGTTTGTTGGTCGTTGGCTGTGAACGCAGGAAGGGCCCATCACACTAACCTTCTCCCTCACCCTATGATGGGGATGCAGTCTGGAGGAGAACTGAAGGTTTCCTCATGTGAACACCCTTTCATACCAAAACGCTGCCAATACGCCATTAAACAGTAACTGTAAGTTAGAAACACGTTCATATGGAACACGTCAAATTCATTGACATGCGTTAGAGAAAAGTTCTTAATAAGATACGCATCAGTGATGCACAAGTTACTCATAGGTTTTGGATTAGCTGAATGCCATAACTTATCAGTAACTTATACTTAACATATATCAATGCTTACATAACTTACCTGTAACTTATGAGTTAAGTGAATTTCTCCACTGTGAGATCAATAAAGCTCATCTAATCTAATTATGCCCCACGTACGAGCATACGCCGGGATACCTGTTAAGAAATTTAGCCGTATGCCGACGTGTTCCAGCGTGTTTTATTGTGCTCATAACTTATGCAAAACGGACCCATAGCTAAACCAACATATACTGGCGTTTTGCCAGAATTTTCATACGCCAGGCATACGCTGTTTAAATCATCAAGGGGTGAGAGGGGCTTAAGATTTTAAAAAATTGTCTGTCAATATGCTCTATCCAGAACACCTCAAGTGGAAAAGTTTGAGTTTCACCTGGTTTAATTTGGTAAAAAAAAAAAATCTTCTTTGAGGAAATCTTTGCTATACGATTATGAGTCGATTAATCAAACTAATAATCAACAGATTAATTGATCAGCAAAATAATCATTAGCTGCAGCCCTAGTAGAGAACTATTAAAAGTAGGTGACATTAAAGAAACATGAGTAATTCTATTTAGAGAGCACTCACTCAACCTTTGGAGCAATAATCTGGATGCAGTAAAATGTTTATTACGATATCTTAAACAGGTGAGAGGTTGTTAGGAAATACTTTGGACTTTCTCTGCCAGTGAAGCACATTTCTTGATTTCTTTAACATAAAGACACTGCCCCTCCTGCACCTAAAGCTTCAGTAGATCTACAAAAAAAAGCAGTATGGGATGTTTTTTTTTTCTGGTTGTGAAAAAAATACAATAATTGAAGAAATTGAAGCAGCAACTCATCCCTTTTCTAAAAGAAGAGCTGCTGTGGGCCGTCTATAAGCAGCGTGTCTGTTCTGAATGTGGCTGAGGGCGTTCAGCTGCTGCAAAGCTATGAAGGACCATGTAGCTTTTGTAGTTTTAGATAAAGTTTATGGAGCAAGGAGGAAGGCAAAGATATCAACCCCAATTCCAGCCAATTTTGCAATTAAACCAATAAACTGAGTAGATTAGCTTAACTTTGTGCTTGATTGCATTTAAATGTATAACATGAATCTAATTGTAACAATATATTCAGTTATTTCTGCAGCTGCATCAATAACCGTTGCTTTTCTTTATTAATTTGGATCTAAATACGATGAAACAACTGAAGTCAGTATTTACTGGATCACTGTTTATTAATAACATCACTTCACACAAGCTCTGAATTTAAAATACATCTCTGGGAAGCCAATATATTCTCAGCCTGCCCATAAAAAACACATATTAGAGTGTCAAATCAGGCCAAGATTAATTGTGTTTAGTCTCTTAGGACACGTCACTTTTTTAACAGCTGTAGGGAGGCCGTGCCACGAGCCTGAGCAGGTGTTTGCGCTCTACTTGTATATCAGCAATATATACAGTATATAGGGATAATACATATTTTTCATCAATACTTACTGCCTAAAAATTCCCTTTTGTTATCAACTTAACTATTCAGGGTATTGATGAGCTGTTTCATTTATTTCTGTTTGTTTTCTTTACCTACAGTACACGGTAGTGTGATAAGGGTGAAAAACTAGTCCTAATTAATAGATCCGACATAGCTTTGGGATATTTAAAAATTGTTGAAGTAGTCTAACAAAACACATGTGTAGTTTTTTTTTTAGCTTTAAAATTATTTGTGCCCTCTTACAGGAATAATTTTTTCTCAACTTCATGTCCAAAAACCTGAACTATCCCTTTAAGGTATGAAACCAGCAGAGGAAGCGGCTGACTGGTCATTTGAGGTAAAGGTTCATTCAATCAAATTATTTGAAAAATATGTTTCCATCAGTCTTTTGTGCATTTTGTCTTTATCAAAAAGGTTATAATAAATCACCTTAAGCCAGTATTAAATATTTTTTGTGTGAGGTTGATTAGATTTTTCCATTTAAGCTCTACTCATGTGATACCTAAAAAATGTGAATAACAAAAACTTGATGGAAACACATCTAATGACTTCTCTCTGATGATCAAAGGGCTGTTTGTTGCTGGAACCTTCCTGTCCAGTAAGACTTCCTGCTGCAGAGATCCTATGAGAGAAGATTGGCTGTACTGGCCTGATAATTCAAAACTACTACAGTGAAATTATTTTTGAATCACTTGTATTTCAACAACTGAAGTTTTTTTGTAGCTTGTGATTCAAAATGTTTTAGTTTACAGTTTTTTTCCTTTCTTACTTCCAAGTAAAGCAACTTTCGAAACAAAAATCTTCAGCAGGAGGAGGCATTTTTTTATGGACAACCCCTCCTTTGATGGATAAAATTCTCCCTCCATCTCAAAAAACAAAAAGCCCAGGACTGCACCAAGCTTCCCACTGAGGTCAACAAAGTGGGACGCTCTGCTAGCAAGGACAACACTACTGAGACACGGCAGGGGCAGCATGTGGGCTGCAGAGATGCTCACCCAGGTGGACTAAAGCAATTTTTTTATTGGCAAAGAGCCAATCAAAAATTGGCAAGAGTTGTACTTTGCGAGCAAGAGTAAAGGCAAGATGGGGAGGCTCAGTTCTGCAGGCTGCTATTCTTATAAAGGTGCATCATGGGAATGCTTACTTGGTGTAGAAAAGGTATAAAAATAAAAATAAGCAAAATTAGAACTAGCAAAGCCGTATTTTTTATATTTTAATGATTTAGTAATTACTGACACATAATTACTGGGTAAGCACTTCCTCTTTTACCTGACCGTCTACAAAATGAATGCAACCATGTTAGAAAAAAAAAAGAAGGAAATATACAAAAACCTTTGACTGCCCTTCAAAAATAAAACAATTGAATGTATTAAACAATATAACAAAATGTCAATTTCCATGCGAAGACATGATAAAACACACAAACACAAAAAACTAAGTAGGGCATAATATAGAAAGGTGAAGAGTTTTCAAAACATTTCACAACAAAAAAGAACAAACCAAAAAAAAGGTTAGTGTGTGGTTTAAAAACTCCTTTTATTCCAACACCCAAAAATAAAAAAATAACCCCCAAAGGTTAAGCTATGAGTATACTCCACTGGAGAAGGAGTCGAACTGAAAAAACAGGAAAAAAACGATCAATTCTGGCAGAAATAATCCTATCTATTTATACAGGTGCTGGTCATAAAATTAGAATATCATGAAAAAGTTGATTGATTTCAGTAATTCCATTTAAAAAGTGAAACTTGTATATTATATTCATACATTACATACAAACTCATATATTTCAGATGTTTATTTTGTTTAATTTTGATGATTACAAATGACAACAAATGAAAATCTCAAATTCATCATATCAGAAAATTAGAATATTACTGAAGACCAATAAAAACAAAGGATTTATAGAAATGTTGGCCAACTGAAAAGTATGAACATGAAAAGTATGAGCATGTACAGCACTCAGTATTTAGTTGGGCCTCCTTTGGCCTGTATTACTGCAGCAATGCGGCGTGGCATGGAGTCGATCAGTCTGTGGGACTGCTCAGGTGTTATGATAGCCCAGGTTGCTCTAATAGTGGCTTTTAGCTCTTCTGAATTGTTGGGTCTGGTGTATTGCATCTTCTTCTTCACAATACCCCATAGATTTTCTATGGGGTTAAGGTCAGGAGAGTTTGCTGGCCAATTAAGAACAGGGATACCATGGTCCTTCAACCAGGTACTGGTAGCTTTGGCACTGTGTGCAGGTGCCAAGTCCTGTTGGAAAATGAAATCTGCATCTCCAAAAAGTTGGTCAGCTGCAGGAAGCATGAAGTGCTCTAAAACTTCCTGGTATGTGGCTGCGTTGACCCTGGACCTCAGAAAACACAATGGACCAACACCAGCAGATGACATGGCACCCCAAACCATCACTGACTGTGGAAACTTTACACTGGACTTCAAGCAACGTGGATGAAGTGCCTCTCTTCTTTTCCTCCAGACTCTGGGACCTTGATTTCCAAAGGAAATGCAAAATTTACTTTCATCAGAGAACATGACTTTGGACCACTCACCAGCAGTCCAGTCCTGTTTCTCTTTAGCCCAGGCAAGACGCTTCTGACGCTGTCTGTGGTTCAAGAGTGGCTTGACACAAGGAATGCGACAGCAGAAACCCATGTCTTTCATACGTCTGTGTGTGGTGGTTCTTGAAGCACTCACTCCAGCTGCAGTCCACTCTTTGTGAATCTCCCCCACATTTTTGAATGGGTTTTGTTTCACAATCCTCTCCAGGGTGCGGTTATCTCTCTTGCTTGTACACTTTTTTCGACCACATCTTTTCCTTCCCTTCGCCTCTCTATTAATGTGCTTGGACACTGAGCTCTGTGAACAGCCAGCCTCTTTAGCGATGACCTTTTGTGTCTTGCCCTCCTTGTGCAAGGTGTCGATGGTCGTCTTTTGGACAACTGTCAAGTCAGCAGTCTTCCCCATGATTGTGTAGCCTATAGAACTAGACTGAAAGACCATTTAAAGGCTTTTGCAGGTGGTTTGAGTTAATTAGCTGATTAGAGTGTGGCACCAGGGGCCATCAATTTTGAACCTTTTCACAATATTCTAATTTTCTGATATGATGAATTTGAGATTTTCATTTGTTGTCATTTGTAATCATCAAAATTAAACAAAATAAACATCTGAAATATATGAGTTTGTATGTAATGTATGAATATAATATACAAGTTTCACTTTTTAAATGGAATTACTGAAATCAATCAACTTTTTCATGATATTCTAATTTTATGACCAGCACCTGTAATTATCAAATTTTTATTGTTATGTTTGGTCTGGGTCCAAGAACATACAGAGGAAAGCCCCACCCATACTGTCAGGTAAAGTTACCTGCATGTCATGAAGATGATGCTAATCAGATTCCAGAACACAGCAGTGTAAGTAGAGAGTTTAAAGGAATAGTACACCCAAAACATGATTAGCCTTTATTTTCTACTCACCCCCATGCTGAACAACACCCTGGAGTACTTTTTTGATATCTCAAATGCATCTGGAGATCTGGGAGGCTTCTTGCTGTCTGCTGACATTCAAATAATGGAGGTCTATGGTGCCCGAGTCAGAAAGGTCCATAAAAGTCCACAAAAAACGTGTCAATATTCCTCCATACTGCTCGTCCAATGTATTCCAAGTGTCCTGAGTGGGTAGCATCCAGAATTTACACGAAACGAAGTCATTTAGAATGTTTTTAGAGCATAAACAGTAGTGTATAGGATTTCCTGAAAGCGCGCGCCGGCGCGTTCATGACGCTACGGAAGCCGGCAGACCAAACCAGATGAATGTGCGCATTCAGCGTCTGCTCTGATGATAATGCAAGCGTAGAAGAAGAAATGTGCTGTTTACCTGTGCAAAGAAAGAAACAACGAAAGAAAAATGTCTGAGGACTTCAGTGTTGAGGAAGAGCATGAGTTCTTTGCCGAGCTGAATGAGCACTTTCATCTGGCTTGGTCTGCCGCGGTTTCCGTAGCGTCATGAACGCGCCGGCGCGCGCTTTCAGAAAATCCTATACACTACTGTTTATGCTCTAAAAACATTCTAAATGACTTCGTTTCGAGTAAATTCTGGATGCTACCCACTCAGGACACTTGGAATACATTGGACGAGCAGTATGGAGGAATATTGACACGTTTTTTTTGGACTTTTATGAACCTTTCTGTCTCGGGCACAATAGACCTCCATTATTTGAATGTCAGCAGACAGCAAGAAGCCTCCCAGATCTCCAGATGCATTTGAGATATCAAAAAAGTACTCCAGAGTGTTGTTCAGCATGGGGGTGAGTAGAAAATGAAGGCTAATCATGTTTTGGGTGTACTATTCCTTTAAGCTGCTCTATAGATACAAAAACAGGGACTATAGAGCTTCAAAAGGAAAGAATGTAGAGAGATGGCTTCAACAACAAAAAAGCAGCATGGTGAGACAGTGTAACAGGAGACACTACATTATATGGCCCAGTTGTAACTCTAGCCTGCTCTGCAGCATTACCTTCATGCCATGTCAAGGAAACAAAGTGGAAGACTGACACCACCTTTAAAAGTAAAGCTTTCCACTTTCCCTGCAGCATGCCTTCCTTCGCTATCTCATCTTACCTTCATCACTTTCCAACTCATGTTATGTAAAACCCTAGATCTCAAATTCCAGTCCTTGTTTTAAAGGTTTGCTTTGCTTAGCACACTGAGAAGTAGCTGACAAGTGTCCTACAGCTAAAAATAATCTGTTATTTGGTCACCAGGAAAACACAGAGTGGTTATCCCAACCTGGTTATGCAAGACATCAGATCAGCAAAGGTGGTTTATTGGATTAGCATGGTAGCAGAATGGTGTCAGCAGAGTGAAGGGTTGTGTCCTGTTGTTTGTTTAAACTGGACACAAAGAGAATCATTTTCATGGACAAAGGTGGCAGCTGGAAAGAATTCCTGCAATGAAAGAGCTGAATATCAAATCCAACACCTAAATATTATGGTTTCTCTAAGAAATTAAAAAGGTTAGCATTGTGCCCAGTCACTCTAGTGTGGTAGATAGAAAAAACAACACTGTTCCTAATACTTTAGGGTGGGAAGAGACTGCCCCTGTGACTGCACCAAGAGCCCATTGTGGGGAAGCAGCCTCAGTATATGATGGATGCTGCACCTCTGCTCTGAATGAGGCGTCGCAGCAGGAGCAGGCTACCAGGGTAAGACAGGTGCTGCAATGCACCAGTTGCTGGTGGTGTTCTTATTTACCTTCACTGCTACAAGGAGAAGGAGAAGTAGGGGCAGTGCAACTAATACGTAACAGTTGCCCTACACAAAGCAAAATGTACTGTTATAGTTCTGCCAAAAACACTCGTTCTAGACGGTGTAGCAAAAAGAATAAGGTAGGAAGGAATTTAGTGCTTTACAATTTAAGTTAGGACAGTTTATGTGTGCTAGTTAAAACTTAGGAAATTTTTTTTTTCTGCAGTCATATTTTTGTTTGCAGTTGTCCACTGCTTTTTTACGCATCTACACGACTTCAGAGTGGAAGTGTTAAAAGAAACTGAAGTCAAAAAGCCACAGCAATGTAAGAAGCTGTTTCAAAACATACAAATATATTCTCTGAAAGGCCCATATATGCCCGCTGCTTATTTAGGCTGAGAAAGAGACAGAGAGAGCAAGACTAGCAATAGATAACAGGAAGTCTGAACTGTGTAAAAAAGGTTTCGTTGTTTTGCTTCGGATCTTTCGATTCTGTCGGTCATAGTACATGCTGGACTAAAAAAATGTTGGAAATCTCAAGTTTTACAATGAGGACCAAATTTCAGTATGGAATACACACAGTTTTAGTAATACTAGGCATGCTAATGGTGCTAATCAGTATCACTAGAGGTGGATAATCTTGGTCCAGAAAGTAAAAGGCCTGTACAGAGATCAGTTCCAACCATCTGCATTTCCAGCTCCACAATGCAGACTAATCATCTGAGGGGCTAATCACCTGGTTAGCTGAACATGATGAAGGAAACCAAGGCAGAATTTTTACGTTCTGGCCCTGGATTATCCAACCCTATATAAGTATAATTGTTTAAAAATCTGAGTGATTTTCTTAATCCAAACATTAGTGAAACCCTGTTTTAAAACGGCTGCTCTCTCAAGACTTCAGGATTATTTCACCTTGGTCCCTTAATGTGATTATTTATTTACTAGTTACTGCATGAACGCAATAATATATTTTCAATGCCTTCCTTATATCTTTTTGATTGCAGAGATCAAAGCAATACAAAACAGAGATCATAAATTGGCCACAAAATACTAATTTGGCTATAAATGGACAAAAGCATTGCTAGATGCAGAGAATGAAGCCCCAAAAAACAGAAAAGAATGAGCTAGAAAGGAAAAATTAAGTGGACCAGCAAGAGAACAGAGGACAGTGAGTTTTACTTTCATTCATTCTGCACCATATGTTCCCATGTTTGATTTTCCCTAGAAAAAACAAAGTATTTTTGCCACAGATCCCTACCTTGTTCTTCAATATTTGTGGCTTCTTGTGGAGTCTTAGCCAACTTCCTCTGATTGACATCAAACTCCATTGTGCGGTTTTCCATAGAAAGGGGTCAGTGGGACATTTGTGCTCAGAAAAGGCACCGTTACATCCCACAACAGAAGCAGAACTCCATAGAAAATAAACACCTAACCCACCAGTACTGCTAAAAAAGAAAAGAAAAACAAAACAGAAGCTTGCACTGGTTGAAGAAATTCTTGTCCTACAGCTTCCTCTCTGAGCTGGAGGGCCTCTCTCATCAGTGACAAAAGCAGAACTACACCAGGTGACACTACAGTAGTGTGAGGTTTCTGAAGGAGAACAAGCAGTACAGCACAACACCATGCAGGTGGAGTCAGTCTGCAGGAGGACGGACTAAAGGTTTAGATGGAAAGACATAAAGCTTGGCTGTTTATTACATGCAAACCCTTTCCAGAAAGTAGAAATGTAACTTGTTTTTTTTTTATTAATGTGTTAGCTTTTCTTTTATTTGCATAAGCATACACATATCAATGACTTGCCACCTTGCTAGCATGATGTCTAGCTTTTCCAGGCGGTTTTATGCCAGCTATGCCCCTTAACCTCCTCAGGTTTCTACGACAGCAACTATTCTTATGCATCTGATCCAATTTAAGGCTTTGTGTTGAACAGTTTAACTGGATTGGGGAGGAGAAACAGAGCAGAGGCCTTAAAGTGGCCTAATACTGTAAATACTGATCAAGTATTCAACATTAATCCTATAATTTCTAAGTGTGCAATTATTTTCAACCAAATAGCTGATGCTGAGATGAAATATTTGGGAGTTACGCTAAATTAAGATTCCCAGGACACTTTTAAAAGGCTTTTCTGTAATGCTTTCTTTTTTGTCCAGTGTGATTCCCCAGGCTCTACAACAGCTTTTATAAAGCATACTGAGCCACAGCCTCTAACATCTCAGGGAAAACTATGCTTTTTATCCTCGCAGGCTACATTATCTCCAGTGTGTGTCATTAAATCACTCACTCACAAAGAAAACAAAAAAAGGAAACTAGACTAACACTTCCTGTGGGTTTTATATTATGGTCCAGGGCTATATTAAGCCACTTAAACATCCACAAACGCTCTACAGGGCTAAATAAAGCTCAGCTGGAGCAGTGAGAAGTGGCAGACAACTCCAATGGGAAAGCCTCTTGGGGAAGTATCAATGCCACAGAGAGTTGTAATATGTCTAGATACTGCCCAGATGTCAGGATTATTGCTTGTGTCAGCCAAGATGTAGATTGGTGGAACAATAGTCACATTGTTGCCCGGTGAGAAAAACTGTCCACAAAGCTCGACTATGACAGGCTGGTCTTCCCCAGTCAGTCTAGCAAGGTTGGGCCACTACAGCTTGTATCAGAGATGCAACCAAGCAAAACACAATGCTGTTTAAACAGCAAGCTGTGGGTAGTGAAAAGCATGTTCTATTTGTTGTTTAAAAAGGGTTAACCACATTACAGTAGCTATAGAACGGCAAAAATAACAATTTCTTCTTTCTATGTTACTTAAAGGGTCAGAGGACAATCTTTTATTTCTGGGTGGATCTTCTAAATAAGTCGTCCTCCTAATCGTCAATCATTCTGGTGATATGTTTACGCAAGGCCGTCCTACGTGCTCGTCCCTAAAAAGCTATCTTTTTCTGCGCACTTTCAGGTGTATATGTGCGGTGACCTACGGTTTCTGACAGTCATTGAAGCTCACCTTTCTCGCCGTGGTTCTTTGAAAATGGCCAAGGGTCATAAGGGAAAAAGTGTCTACGAAGTTTATGAGAAGAAAAGAAAGGCCTCAGAAGTGGCAGATATATTTTGTAATGCTTTGCACAGAGAGCTCTCCTTGCAAAGCATTATGGGATTTTCTGTTACAGCGGCCCACTGTCGCCATAGGCTGTTGCGACCTGACAGCAGCGACTAAAGGGCAGATTAGACTAAACCGCACACATCAAATGTTGCTTGGGTCTGGTCGCAAACCAGTTTCGCTGGTATGCTTCTGCACTGTTGGCCTGGAATTTCTAGGGATGCACAGCAGTTTTCTGCCAAGGAGCAGCTGGTTTTCATCTGCACACTTCTGCTTGAGGTCTGACGGGTTTTCAGCTGTCCAACACATGGTCAGGATTTTTTGGGGTGCGTAATGACGGTTGCAGAACCTCTGCACGGACAGAGACAGATTTGACGGTTGCAGAAGCTACGCGTCAGAAGAATAAATTGGCCTTAATAACAACAATGACGCAGGCACCAGTGGAGGAGGAGTCACGTGACCAAAAAGTAGGAGCAAAAAGTAGTGATCATCTGTCTGTACGGTAAATTAACTGAGTTCACTATAAAGTCCACTATATAGTCCCCGCTCTATATAGTGATTGAGGGATTTAGGGGTTTAAACAGAGCGTGCATGAGGGGAAATGGGCTCTGCATGCTCTTGCACGTATAATAGGCGTTCCCTCTCAGGAGCGGGTACAGGGTTACAAATATGCTTTTTTCAAGCGGTGGGGGTCGGTCTTTTAAAAATTTGCGCCAATACCTTTAAGACATAAATCCACAAACCTAAGATTTGGTACTGGTACTAACCCTTGCTGGGGTCCTTTTCTATTATCTTTGCATTCAGTTATATTAAAATACATTCAAATATAAAAATTGTTGCCTGTTTTACTAGTAGCTGCTTGACCGCATATCCCTTATGTCTGTATTTTTTAAAGAATGACTTTAGGATCCAATGCCTAATTCTTTATGTAAGTGCACCTAAAAATCTTTCATAATACCAGAGCACTGGTTCAATTTCGCCCAGAAACAGCTAGAAGGGATGAGCCTGGAGGTGAGTGGGCAGGTCAATAAGATGTGGCTGAAACTGTCTGACTGGACAGAATCAGGCTCGCTCTAAGTTTACTCAGTAATTAGTGGGGGTGGGTAGTGAGAATTTAGCAGCGCCAGCAAGAGAAAAATAGCCAAACAATAGTTAAGAGAAAAAAAGCTGACAATACATGTAACTAAAAGAAAAAATGTAGGAATAAAATCCATAAGACACAAGACTTTACTTTAGGAGCAATGCTTCCAATATAGGCCTGAGACAATAACAACTTCTCAGCTTAGAACCTGAGGCTACTTAGTAGTGTTGCGCCAATGCAATTTTTTGGCCCTGATACCGATACCAGATACCTGGATGTGCAGTATCGGCCGATACATGCCTACCTTTGTGAAGCAGGAAAAAAAAAAGACTAATACAAAGTGAATCCAGTAGAACCTTTTATTGCCTACCTGGAATGGGTGACAATAGTTGAATAAACTTCTGGCTGTCAAAATGGTATTGGTGCCCTATTTGTTGGTACTCGCCGATACCAATACCACCATTTTAGTGCTGGATCAGGGCTCCGCCAGATACTGGTATCAGTGCAACACTACTACTTAATCTTGTTTTTTTGTTTTGTTTTTTATTTATTTTGAATTTACCTGAAAGTGATTTCAGTGATCTCTTTATAAATCTATAAAGTTAGTCTAATATCTATATACTTTTATTTCATTTTAGCTGTAACTCAAGCTCCTCACATAATGCATTCAGCCTAGATAAATGTTTTAGTGGACAGAGTGGCCTATTTATGGCTGCAGTCTATTCATGGACACCCACGTCTCAGAGATGAGACCCACCCCCCCACCGCCGTTTTACTGTTTGTGAATGAAACGAAGGACTGATGAAGACTGGAGGTACCCTGCCTTAAACTAGGCTACATCCATAAGTCTCTTATCTGACCTCAGTGCTGTAACCAGCACCCACAACAACAACAACTAGACAGCTGCAAAATTAATCCCCCCGTACCCTGTTTGGCTCCATCTGGCTCCTCGTAGGCTCAGGCAGTCTGTAGCAGGATGGAAAGACCTGGGATGGCACAGGCAGCTGGGTCTAGCAGTGACATCACAGGGATGGCCTGGCTGAGCTTAGCAAGGGATCTGCAGGGAGAGAAGCCTTTCCACTGCGCTGACTTTATGAATGATCAAAGGCAAGAGCATATGGCATACGGTTTGCAGTTTAATGGGAGGAGGTGTGAAATGCTTCTAATGTCAGCAACGCTGCTGATCTTTTTATTGACTTGCAACACATCCAACCTAGTTTTTAATGAGGGGTCCTGAAGGATCTACCAGTTTTAAACATCTGCTTTCCAATGGGCTAAATATAGATCACACTAAAATGCTGATGTCAAGCAAATCTTAGCACAGCTTGTTAGCATACTAATAAATGCCAATTAGCGCTTAACACCAAAACATAGCAGGGACCTACGATCATCCTGTGCTCCATCGACTACAGGGTAAACAAAGACAAAGATGCTTCACAAAAACAAAAATCCCTTTTGGTTGGCAAAGACTTGTGAAGAGTTAATTAGGCCAAAGCTAATTAGACACATCCTCTCTGGTATAAGCTATCAGATGCAAGACTACAATCTCAGGCTTCTGTTGCACTTAAAAAATAAACTATTAAAATGACAACAAATCATAAAAAAACTACTTTCTACTACTACTTAGCAATGTCTATGTCATATATCCATATCGAGGGATAACAAGGTTTCAAAGAGATTTGACTTGAAAGAGCAAATATTATCCAATTATCTCTAAATAGTATAAATGATAAACCAAACAAGAGAGAAAGAGTCCAGGGTCAAACTGTTTCCTCCTAACTGCATGTTGCTGAATGGAAAGCTAGATGTTCACTTTATGAATGAAACAGAAATGATACATTTGTTCAGATAGACCCACTAACTGACACCCTATATCTGCTTGCTATAGTTCTAGTGTCCACTATAAAAAGCAGTGTCACATTGAATAGTTAATGCATGTTAGACTAAACAAATAAAAAGTATTTTATCCAATTTTTTGTTTTGCTTGTTTCTATAGATCAAAATCAAAGCAATAATACATGAAGGCATAGCTATAGCTATAAAGAGGACAATTATAAAAACAAACAAAAACAAAGACTACATGTAAAGATTTTTGGTAAATGGCCTGTACTTATATAACCCTTTTTCAAGTCAGAAGACTTGACCAAAGCACTTTATATTACATTCAGTCATTCACCCATTCACTGATGATGGCAACTACATTGTAGCCACAGCTGCCCTGGGGCTCACTGACAGAAGCGAGGCCGCCATACACTGGCACCAAAAGTCCCTCCGACCACCATGAGTAAGCAATGCAGGTGGAGTGTCTTGCTCGACGACACTGAAAGGGGGAGCCGGGGATTGAACCGACAACCCTCGTCATAATACATATTACTTTC